TCGAGATTTTTGATTAAGAGAAACAAATTTCTTGTCACCTAAACCAAGGATTGTTAGTAGTGTTAGGGACTTTGAGCTTGAGCATTGATGGTGAAATGTGTATGCTATTATTGGATACCAACCATTCCTTCATCTATTAAAAAACATTTATAGCCAAAGATATTCTATAAATCAAATAAAGAATTCTTTGTAGTTCCAAAATCACCCTAGCCTTGTCTATTCATAAAACACCAATTTCAGGATCAGGACTTGACTATTTGTTTAGTTTATTTTACTTTGTTATTTCTCACCTTAATGTCTCCACAACTACTCTCGGTCGATGCATTTTTATAGGACTAGTGTGACTTCTTGTTACTTTCTCCTTTGGTATCTTTATATTTTTACAGTACAAATGTCTCACAAAACTAAGCTACTTGCCTGTTGAAGGAGCATGATATTTAAGTAAACCGTAAAAGGCATCTTTTAGCTCATGTTTTCTTGGGCTTAAGGATCTGAGTAATGTATTTTAATAGGGTTTCTTTCTTTCTTTGGACTAGCTTGTATCAGCTTTTACATTCTGTATAATCCGAGTGTTGGGATTCGGCTTGCTTCTATCTTAGCTGGCCTTGTTGTGTCAGATATTTGTCATTTTTTAAAGTGATAAAGTGACTTGTGAGGGTTTTTTTTGACCCTTATAACCCTTTACTAATAATTAATTATCAAATTGACCTTCATTATAAACTATTTCAAAAATTTAATCCCCTCAAAAAACATAACACCAATCTGCCCCTGTTTGACCGTTGACCACGAAGCCTACCCGGGTATCTTTTGAAATTTTTTGTTTACCCGGGTAAAAAGGTGTGTACCCGGGTATTGTTCTTGATTGCTTGAATTATTTACCCGGGTACGGATGAGTGTACCCGGGTAGATCTTGTATGAAATTGACAAGCACAAACTTGGTAATAAAGCACAAGTCACAAGTACAGAGTAACAAATCAGTGTGATAGCATGCCAGACAAGCAGTATGGCTATGAATTGGATAATGTGTAATGGGTCAATGTGGTTTCAGGATCCCTGAAATCCTCAGATTTTAAGCTCATTCACTATTCAAAATGATATGAAATGCGAAATGGAAGTGAAGTGGAAGTGAAATGAGTGAAATCCATTTAGCTAAAGCAACATCTTCGGACCTTGTGAAATGGGAGTGAAAACACAAGATGCTTTCATATATTGTTTCCTTTGTTGCTTACCAGTGTCCACGATGTTGCCAATGGTGCCAGACACGGTGACCTAGAATTGGATCTGATATTTGTGTTTTGGGTGCCTTTGTTGCTAAAGCCTCCCTTTTATAGATGGAGACAGGAGAATTACGTGAACACAATTTTTTATTCTTTTTTGTGTGGCTTCCCAGATATTAGGTAATGACTTTTCACTGCTATCAATAATTGAAGGGTTGTTTACTTTACAAGATCTACCCGAGTACACTCATCCGTACCCGGGTAAATAATTCAAGCAATCAAGAACAATACTCGGGTACACACCTTTCTACCCAGGTAAACAAAAAATTTCAAAAGATACCCGGGTAGGTAGGAGTGTACCCGGATAGGTTTCGTGGTCAACGGTCAAACATGGACAGATTGGTGTTATGTTTTTTGTGGGGGTTAAATTTTTGAAATAGTTTATAATGAAGGTTAATTTAGTAATTAATTATTAGTAAAAGGTTATAAGGGTAAAAAAGCCGACTTGTGAGTCTTGTGACCATTAGCTTCAATCCAATTAATTTATCAGTGCAAAATCAGTGTGCCTAATTGTTATCAAAGTTCTCGGGGGCAAAGTATTGTCTCATAGTCTCCAGCTTTAGTTGGTATTAAGCGAAAACAAAATTAGGTTGTAGATAATTACCAAATTTTGGCGTAAACTTTAAGCAAGACCAAAGAGAAAGACTTCAATAAGATTGTGTTGACTTTTAACGACGAATTGCTAAAATCTACTGGTCTGCAGGCATAATTCTCGTGTTAATTTGATGCGCTGATGATAGATATGACTATTGCCTCCGAAAATTATTGAAGCAAACGAATAGTCATAGATTGGTATTGACGCGAGGCATCACCGCTGTCTATTTTCTGCCTAACCTCAGGTATTTTTGGCTCTTTTCAGAGCCAAATCATGTTTAAAGTTGACAATTTGTCAGGCATAATTATATAGTCATGACATATATCAGTTAAAATTTAGGGACACTGACCAAAATGTCACGCTTTAGTAAAAAAATTATCAGAATGCTACGCAAACAGTAAAATTTTCCAAATTGCCACGCGGCATAATTCGCTACATAGTATAGCGAATTATGTATGCAAGTAATTCGCTATACAGTGTAGCAAAATATGTCACGTCAGAATGCACAGAACCAAAAAGTGCCATGTGTCAGAATGTTAAAATTCGCTACATAGGGTAGCGAATTTCAACAATTTTGACACATGGCACTTTTTGGTTCTGACGTGGCATATTTCGCTACACTGTGTAGCGAATTATTTGCATGCATAATTCGCTACACTGTGTAGCGAATTATGCTGCGTGGCAGTTTAAAAAATTTTACTGTTCGCGTGACATTCATGGTAATTTTTTTGCCAAAACGTGACAAAATGGTCATTGTCCCTAAAATTTAATCTACTTACATATTAAACTTTTTACGTGTCTATTTTGATTATAATGTAAAAAAATAAAATATGATTTGTTCAAGGGAAAAGCACCATTTTAAATTTTTTGAGCAAAAAAATTGTTGAGTTAAAATTGATTGGATAAGTTTTTTCAAATAATGCAGTCAAACATGTTACATATGCTGACGGGACTAGTCTCGTCAATGATACTGACGAGACTCGTGCCACGTCAGCGCCTCGTAGGTAGTTCAATTACCGTAAAACTTCGGAATGTCATAACTTGTGACTTAGGTATTCAAATCAGATGATTTTTTTTTTATTTCACATAACATTTCGAGATCTACCCAATGACATCTCATTTGACATATTTTATCTCTCACAAACATAGTTTGAAGATCTTTTGGATTTAAACGCTATTATGATTGTGTGATTGTGGTACAATTGTTACAAATTCAAACTGTTTGTGGGAGATAAAATATGTCAAATAAAATATCATTGCGTAGATCTCAAAAATTTATGTGAAATAAAAAAAAAATCATCTGATTTGAATACCCGAGTCACAAGTTATGGCTTTCCGAAGTTTTACGGTAACTGGACTGCCTACGTGGCGCTGACGTGGCACGAGTCCGGACTAGTCCCGTCAGCATATGTGACATGTTTGACTGCATTACTTTGGAAAAATTTATCCAATCAACTTTAACTGGGCAATTCTTTTGTCCAAAAATTTTAAAATGGTGCTTTAGCCTTTGTTCAAGCTAGGGTTGGTAAAACGGGCTAACCCGGCTCGACTCGGCCCAGCCCGCATTCAACCCGAAAAAAAAAGTCGAGTTAGGATTAGCCCGAAAAGAAAAACGAGCCAGAAAATCTAACCCAGCTCGACCCGAATCGGGTTAGGGTTAGGGTTGGCTCGCGGGTTAGCTCGATAATCAGCTCGCGGGTTGGCTCAAAATAAGGCAGTGGGTTGGCTCGCGAGTTGATTTTGCCCATAGCTTCCACTTCATTGATGAACTCTTTCCCATCTCCCTCGGTGTTGTTGAGCATCTTCACAGCCACAAGAATTTCATTTGAGAGTTTACCTTTGAAAACTGCTCCATGAGCTCCTTCACCTGACTTCTCCCTAAAATTATTTGTAATCCTCTTTATATCAGCATAAGAGAATCTTGCAGGGTTAAGTGCCCTGTAATCCTCTAAGAACTTTTCAATTCGAGCCTGATCTTCTCCTTTCACTTTAAGATAACGATAGAGATGCAAACACGCTATGAAAATCAGCATCACCAGAATTGAACCAACGAACGCAGCTGCATGGAAAACACTAATCAGTTTCAGAAATCCATGAGAAAATGAGATAAGAGTGAAGGTGTCTAACCTGTAGCATCTAAAAATATCTTCTTTATTGGAGAAGAGGTTTTGACAGTCAAGATGGGTATTCAATTTGACACCAAACCGTTGGGAGAAAGAGAAAGAAGGAAAGGGGCAGATCAGGGTTGGAAAAAAAAAAATGAAGAGTAAATACCCTTTTTGGTCCCTGACAATATCTACGAAATCTTTTTTAGTCCCTGGCAATAAAAAAGGACCAAATTGGTCTCTAAAATTATGAAAAAAGGGCCACATTAGTCCTTATGTCAACTCCTCCGTCGCTAACGTGGCCCTTTTTACATATTGTTAGGGACCAATTTGGTCCTTTTTTATTGTCCGGGACTAAAAAGGATTTCGTAGATATTGCCAGGGACTAAAAATGGTGTTTACTAAAAAATGAAAGAAAGTGACGACGATGCGTAGGGCAGTTTTGATATTATTATTTTTAATTAAAAAAAAACTCAACCCGCGAGCTGGCCCGTTTGACCCGCGGGACTAGCTCATTTTTGTCCGGGTTGGATCGGGTCGGGTTGGATCAGGTTGACAGCTTATTTAAACCAACCCAACCCGACTCATTTGTGACGGATTGCGAGCCAACTCGATGAGTTAACTCGTTTTTGCCAACCCTAGTTCAAACATTGTAAATTATCATTTTTGGTGCAATTATAATATTAGGGAAATAGTTGTCTTATATCACATAAGACAACTATCTTATGTTGCACATTCCTAGAATTTTGTGCCCATTTTTTCTTTTCTTTTCTTTTTTATTTTTATTTTTAAATTATGAGTCCCACAACTTTGTTTCACTCACATAAAATAACTATCTCATGTGACATAAGATTAATAACTATCGTAATATTATAGTTTAAATATTGTAAAACACGCTTGTTAAAATCAATTTTATAATATTTAGTTTCACCTCAATTAACATATTAACAAAAAATGTCCAATCACGCGTTATAACTCGCACTAGCAATGTCAAAGACAAATCTTGTAGTTACGAAAACCGTAAGTTACACGCCTCTATATTGCCACAAATGAATGAATACACGATGGTTTAATCTGTGAATTATATTTCATCTACAAATTGTATTAATGAAAACCTAAAAAGACATAAACTATTTCTTTGTTATATATATTTCATTCAAGTTGTCCAGTTTCCTCTTAAACTGAGACTGTGAAGATGTAGATCTTTAGGACAACGGCTAGAGCAAGCTGAAGCAGAAAAATGCCAGCAACAATCAAGAACCACCTTTCACCTGCGGACTTGATATGTGCCCGGAGGTTAAGTGCCAAAAATGTTGCTGACATTAACCCTGCCACACCTGCAATCACCCATCTGAATATCTCCAGTGGCACAACGGACATACACTGCACCAAACACAATACGATGAAAATATCAAATTTCACACTTCCTTAAAATAAAATGGAGAAATTTGAAGAGCGGTAACTTACCAGAGCCGGAATAAAGACAAACAGGGAATATCCATATAGACATAAGAGTTGGACAAGGCCCGCTGGTGCAGAGAAGTATTTGAGGATTACATACAGACAAAGAGGAACAATGGTAACATAGCCATAAAACAAACCAGCCGACCAAGTCACCATATTTATGTCATAGTCCCATTCTTTGTTCTTCACCTTGTGCGCTATATATGTCACAAATGTGCCAATAGATGCTGCTACAAATATTAAGGTAGTGCAAATCCAGAATGGTCCATACCTGAGCACATCAGTGGGGAACTCAAAATTACATGCTACCATTCAGTTAAACAACACAAAATTCACTCTTTTGTTTAAGGAAAAATTATAAAAGTATTTGTTCTCCAAAGTTCAAAAATGGTGAACATCCTGTTCTCGGGACACCAGCTTTTATGTAGCAATAAATCAAACCACAGATGATATTTAGATAAAATAACTTGAATAAGAAATGAAACAAAACCAATTGATAATTAAACGGGGTATAAGCTAGCAGAAATGAAACAACATCATCCATGGAATCAAATTGCTGTAGGAGCCGCCAACCAAGACAAAAACTATAACTATGTATTGACCTTTAGATGATTTTATTGTAATTATCATAGTGATTATATTGAGCTACTTTACAACAAATGCTGTCAGTTATCAATATCATTTCAAGAATTTTCCTTGTGTTCAATGTATCTACCTAGTGGATTCTAATTCATCTACTGGAACAATAGCATGAAACTTCCTTATTCCTTTCGTTCTTCTGTCCTGCATCAATCGGTGTTAGTACTCAGTTTGTCCACCTCTGATGTGGATGGACCACTCTTAAAAACCTGACAGTGTTGAGGCAGGAGTTCATATCAGCTGGGTGTGAAATACTTAACTCCCATTTAAGGTAGCGGCTCTCTCCTGTTAACAGTCAGGAGCAGGCTCTCTAATCGCAAACAAATATTACTGACTATTGTTAACCATTAAGTTCACTTCCCCAGATAATAGCTATCAACTAGACAAGCCTACCGCTTATACAAAGTCAACTCTTTCAGTTACATAACAAAACCCTGGTATTAATATGCTTGTTTCAGAGATATACTTCAAAAGTCAGTCTATACAATGAGAAAATGTTGCATAGAAAACAAAAATAAATAAATTGAATAGCCCGCCCAAAAAATAGAAATAAAAACCCAAAAGCAGCAAACCACTAATTTATTATAGTTCTTCATTTATGTCTTATGCATGACTTTGGCTCAGAAGATATTACCTATCAAGGTTGGCACAACAATTTAGCTACATCTTTTCTTCATAAAGATGATGTTAACAATATCCATGTCAGAACTCAGAACTAAAGCATTGGAAGTTTGATCAGTCAATTAAATGAGCAAAATAGAAAGTAAACTTACAAATCAGGGTTGGTAGCAGTTTTTTCATTAAAAGTTCCTCTAAATGGTAAGAGTGAGTCTATAATTCTCTCTACAACATCTGAAGTGTCAATATCAAAGTACGGTTTGTAAGCAGCAACTGTAAAAGTCCGAATCCAACCACTTTGCTGGGGTTCATCAGAACCAGATACAGGTTTTGAAAATGAGTCTGCATAAAATGAATGAAACAATTCAACACAAACATATCAGACAGATATGAGATAATCACTTCCCATTAAATCCTGACTAACGAGGGTGGCGTGAGAGCAATCCTTGTACGCAGCCTTACCCTTGCATATATGCAAAGAAGCTGTTTTCCGGATTTGAACCTGTGACTTTTCAGCCAGAAAGGAATAGCTTTTACCACTATTCTAGGCTCGCCCTCTTCTATAAACATATCAGACAGATATCCAAGAAAAATAATTAAACATCATAACTCTAACCATAAAATTACCACAGTACAGAAGGCAATGTCATATATAATAAGCATCAACCATCCACTAGAGTGAAAGAATTATGTGCATAAAAGATTCAAATTTAAAGTAACATAAGAAAAATAACAGTCATTCTATGAACTGGTCTTAGTTCTAAATCAGCAGTAACAGTTATCTTTTCACAACACAATCATACATATTAGGTTAGCAAGTGTCACATCACATCCATCCATCTTGCCTGCATGGTTCCCTCTTCCAGGCACATCTTTTAACATTGCCATCAGACAATCAGATATATAACTTAACTCGATGTATTGCATGCACATGTCAGGTAAATATGATCCACATTATAAGGATAAAAAAATTAACGGAATTCAAACCTAGACTCAGACTAATGTTGGTACAGAAAGATTTCAGAGCCTGTCACGTATCACAAATTTCTGTAAACCCAAATTCCTATGATATCATCTCCTTAATTAAGTTGTTATCTTGATCAATAAAATAAATTCCTCAGGCTCAGCATCCAGTACTCATTAAGAATATTCATTGCGCAGTGGCTATCATGGAGCAGTTTCCCACCCACCCAAACCAAATCTTATCATTGGGTTCTGAGCAAAAGACTGGCCACATGCATCTAGGAGAAAGAGAAAAGCAACGTAACAAAAAAAGAAAGAGCACCTGTTCTAATTAGCACATATAAATAAAAACCAATTGTTGGGAAGCTTTCAACCTATCTAAGAAGATATTCAATGAAAAGCATAATCCACCAATATTGACATTAACAGCCTATGTGATATACAAATCTTATGAATGGAACAACGAACTTGCAAATAATTACTCTTCCAGTCCAGTCTCATAGGCTCAATCCACCGGGTCGACCACTAAGGCCCGTTATGGGACTAAACTAATGCACACCTAAAGTGAGACAAATACTGTAACGCCCGGCCACTTGTAAGAATCAATGACTGTCCCCACACACTGACACGAGACTTTTCAGTGTGCTTTGTCCTCACTCGCACACTTCCCGGGAAAACTTCCCAGGAGGTCACCCATCCCAGAATTGCTCCAAGTCAAGCACGCTTAACTGTGGAGTTCTTTCGATCCGGGCTACCGAAAAGTAGATGTATCTTGTTAGTATAGGTAGTACCAATTAATTCTTATAAGTCATTCCTAACTGTACCGTCCCATACCAGCACAGTCTCTGGAATCCCTCTCTTTCGGGTGTTGATTCGATTCATTCATGAACCCCCAAGCTGCAAGATTTGGCATGAGTCGCTCATTGCCCGTGCCCTTTCGCACCGGCGATCACTCCCTGCCTTTGCCAGCTCTTGGGATGTTACATGCCCACCAGCTTCCGCCTGGTTCGTCCTCGAACCACACCGTACTGGAAGAGAGGCCCTGCTCTGATACCACTTGTAACGCCTGACAACTTGCAAGAATCAATGACTGTCCCCACACACTAACACGAGACTTTTCAATGTGCTTTGTCCTCACTCGCACACTTCCCGGAAAAACTTCCCAGGAGGTCACCCATCCCAGAATTGCTCCAAGTCAAGCACGCTTAACTGTGGAGTTCTTCCGATCCGGGCTACCGAAAAGTAGATGCATCTTGTTAGTATAGGTAGTACCAATTAATTCTTATAAGTCATTCCTAACTGTACCGTCCCATACCAGCACAGTCTCTGGAATCCCTCTCTTTCGGGTGTTGATTCGATTCATTCATGAACCCCCAAGCTGCAAGATTTGGCATGAGCCGCTCATTGTCCGTACCCTTTCGCACCGGCGATCACTCCCTGTCCTTGCCAGCTCTTGGGATGTTACAAATACTCCCTCACTACACCTAAAATCTCTCTCCTAAGCACATGTGCCTCACACACAAGTAAGGGCGCGCTGCTTCACTCTAAGTGAGGCCCATACGCCAAAACAGTTAAGGCTCACCACCATCACATTGGGGAATCTTCTTCCCCTATAAGTATCCCTCTTTTCCATTGAAGAGGCATCTTTTGCATCATCACCCTAATTGTTGTTACTCGGCCGGAATACAATCACTCATAGAGCCACCGTGCCCTCACACCTTCCCTTGATTCTCAGTATGCTCGCCTGAGATCCATAGATGGTGACTCCATTGTAGAGTTTTGGTCCATACCAAATATTCTCTAGAACACTCCTATATCGATATACTCTACCCCTAGTGGGAAACAAATCTAATCCTAGCACACAAACAGTTCTAATTACAATAACTAGATAGACAGAAAAGAAACAAATGAGAACAATGGATTAGCACATACCATCAGCATCACGAGGAGGTCTGGAACCACCGCTAATCTTCCCCTGTGCTTCAGATGGGGGAAATGTCTGGAGATTTGAATCTACAAAGGAAAAAAAAAACTATTATCAGATTAACTATTACGAAATCAGTGTCCAAGACTGAAAGATCGAAGAAGTGTTGATTATCCAGGCCTACTAATAACAGATTCAAATAATTCTCAAATGAAATTACACCGAACAAAAGCTAGTTCAGTGAGCTTAATAAGCAACAAAAACGTAGCAAAATGAAATGCATCACGACTGAAAGTTGAAGAGTTTCCAGGTGTTAGAACCTGACTACGGAAACTGATCTATTCAGTTAAATCGAGTTGTATCTGTGTCGAATTAAAAAAAAAAAAAAAAAGGACATAGCAAAGCGTACAAATTCAGAATGAAAGTTCATCTAACCGAACCTGCGAACTTGACGGTGACATGTCCTGGATCTGGAACGGCCTGCAAGAATGAAGAGTGAGATAGATGCGGTAGAGGTAACAGCAACGGAAGATAGATAGATAGATAGATTTGGATTGAACAGTGAAAAGTGAATACTCACAGGTACAGATCCTCCTTGAACCTGCTGGTTATCAATCGTCGTATATTTTCCAATTCCGGACATCATCTTTCTCTTCCTCTAACTTTCCTTCTGCTTCTGCTTCTGCGACCACTCCCACAGATCTCTCCCTCTTTCTGTTGTATGTTTGGACTCTCACGCGGAAGCGACGATGCACTTTTCCTTCCTGCCAATTTACAACGACTCTTGCTGGGCCCAGCCCACCAAGATCCCATTCCCAATTTTTCTCAATCACCTCCAAAATTAATTTTTTTTCCCGGGTAACTGAATGTTTATGTACATGGGAAAGGATTCTTTTATTTCTTACACCCCTGACTTAAAGTTTCTTTATCATTTACTCCCTGCATCACTTTGACTTAAAGTTTCTTTATCATTTACTCCCTGCATCACTTTCGACTCTATGACATGAAAAAATTCATCTCATATTAGATGAGAAGTATAAAACCAATAATTAAAATGAGATATAAAACTTCTTTTACCTATATAGTGAAGTTAAAGTATCATTCTCATAATTTACAAAAAAAAAAGTATCATTCTCATTCGGTGGGAAGAAACTCTCGTAATTTTGGGGTGTATTGGATTGAGATTTCAAAGAATTTTAATGGATTATTTTCAGACAAAAAAATCTATTGGTATTCAATTAAGATTTTAATGGATTGAAAAATATATTCGATTAGGATTAAGATTATTTTAGAGTCTGTCCAAAACCATTGGTATTCAGTCAAGATTTTAAACAATGAAAAAATAATATTATGGTATTCAAAAATTTAATGATTTTAATGGATTTTCTATTGATGTGAATTTCGTGAGACTTTGTAGTAAGAAATATAAATAGGACGTCTCTCTCACAATCTCACCCTAACTCTTATGGGACGTTTGGTACAGGAGAAATTTTTATTTGTCCGGGAATCTCGATTTTCAAAAATATGATTTTTACATTCAGTTTACGATAATATCTGAAAATTTAAAATTTTAAAATTTTCAATTTCCCAAGAATTCGGAAAAAATCCGTGTACCAAACGGCCTTAGGAATTTTTGAGATTTTTCTATTGCAGTGTTTTCTTCTTTCTTTGGCAGGTTGATCCGCTCGAAATCAAGTTCCGCCATGAGAGCTTCGTCAAATCTCAAAAATAGCATATTTTTTAGCAATTTTCATCATAAAACAACCCAGAAACAACAAACAACGAGATTTTAATATAATCTATTTTAGCCATTTTTAAGAAATTTTGAAAGTTTAAAAAATGTTTTTTCAAGCTATGGGTCGCGATTTTTCTTAGCACAAAAGGTGTGATTTTTATATTAAAAACAATATAAAACAGTGGAAAAATAACAGGAAAACTAAAATCTTCAAACCAATTTTCGTTTTACATAAATGAAACAATATTTATTTAAAGAAAGATTAAAACTTTCATAATATAAACCCTATATTTTCTAACAATACATTCATGAATGAAATTTCTTCACTGTAGGAAACATTTTCAAACAATTTTCGTGTCAATAGATAACTAAAAACTTATTTTTCAGAAGTCCCAAAGCAATTTAAGGTTTCAATGTATCGATTGAAAAATATTTGAAATTTTTTCTAAACTTTTATGTAATAAAACCTAGAAATTCAAATTCGAATTTTTCTTAGAATATTCAATGTAAATATGCATATGATATAAGGTTACAAAACTCTTATCACGTAGAACAAAAACTCCAAGGTTTTCTAGATCAATTGGAAAAGGATTCGTTTTTTCTGCAATTACTGCAGATAAGTTATTTGCAGTAAGCCCAATACGACGTCGTTTTGGGGCAGAAATCATGGTATTTTTGTAATTTTAATTTATTTCAGGGTTATTATAGTCTTTATAATTATAATTTTATAATATTTTAATCCCAAAACGACGTCGTTTTGGACGTAAATGCAGATAACTTATCTGCATTAACTGCAAAAATATTTTTCTGTTAAAAAAATTCCAAATGAAATTTTATCATGAACTTTAGTTCTATATGCAAATTTAGAATTATTTTAAGGAAAAAGTATTTCTCCAGTCACCGGAGATAAAGTTATCTACAGTGAGCTTAAAACGACATTGTTTTGGGTTATAAGATTAAAAAATTATAAAGACAAAGACTAATATAATCCTGCAATATATTATAATTACAAAAACACCTTGATTTTCGCCCCAACACGACGTCTTTTTGAGCTCACTGGAGATAACTTTATCTCCGGTCACCGGAGAAATCCTTTTCCCTTATTTTAATAATTAAAAAATTTGAGTCTTATAAACATATATGCATAGTTTTGATATCAAATGAAGAAGATAATTTTCAACCCATTGGTCAAACTCAAGAGCAGGAATGAGAAAATGTTAATGCGTGGAGGACTAATATAACTTTAGATATGTGAAGAGTTGTTGCTTGGTAATTTTACTTTTTTTGAATTAATTTCTTTGTTATTTTATTTATTGACTCTTGTAATTTTGAATGTTTATTAGAAATTCTTATTATTTTTTAAAATCGTATAAATCTATATTGTCCTTTCAAATTTTATAAATTCTATTAAAATCTTTTAAAATCCAATGTTATGAAATCTTGATTATAAAAAAAGTCTTTTAAAAAAGTCTTTAAAGTTCCTCCAATTCTAAATTGTGTTTTAAAATCTATAAGATTTTTTATCTGAAAAAAGTCTTTTAAAATCCTAATTCAATACATCCCCTTAATTTCATGGCAAACTTTATCGGTTATTTTATAATAAAATTATAAATGGTTTAGTAATTAAAATTTTTAAATTCAAATTCAAGATATTTAGTTGAATTAAGAAAAAAAAAGTAACTAGGTGAGTAACCTCATTTCACTGTTATAATCTATATCTACATTATCATAAAAGGAATTCTCCTGATAATTATATATCGTTATATTTAATTGTTTATCAACCAGCCATTTACAATTCAAACGATTTAACACCATCTTTGATATAAAAACAACCAAATTTCCTTAACCACAAAGTTGCAAATTTGATTTGTCCTACTTTTTTTTTTTTTAATATTACTCTAAACGTTGTCTTACTCATTTAAATTAATTAAAATTTTAAAGTTGAAATATCTATTGTGAACTATTTTTTACAGCACAAGTGGTGGTACAAATAAATTCAGTGCATCAGTGCATGCGTATCATTACACGATTTCATTGCAACACAAAGGTGCCGCTTACGCTGAGCGCTTTCGCCCGCGACCTTGTGGTACAAAGAGTTTGGTTGTCACTTTTTTTTTAAGTTAAAAATTATTTGATGATTATATAAAAATTTTAAGAGTAAATATCCTTTTTGGTTCTTAGCAATATCTACGAAATTCTTTTTAGTCCTTGGCAATAAAAAAGGACCAAATTGGTTCCTAAAATTATGAAAAAAGGGTCATGTTAGTCCTTATGTCAACTCCTCCGTCACTAACGTGACCCTTTTTACACACTGTTAGGGACCAATTTGGTTCTTTTTTATTGCCAGGGCCTAAAAAGAATTTCATAGATATTGTCAGGGACCAAAAATGGTGTTTACTCAATTTTTAATTTAAAATCTGTTTATTTCAAGAAAAAATTATTTATTTTTTAAAAAATTGACACAACTTAAAAAAAACTCCTCCTAAAAACTTTTTATTTATGACCTTTTTCTTCTTTATATAAAAAAGTTTTTTTTATTATAAAAATCTGTTTAGCCTAATTTTTATTTCTAAAGAGAAGAAGAGCTAATAAAAAATCCTGTGCAGCTCGGAAAATGAATGGTGATTTTAATTGTTGTCTGTTCATTTGTTATTAAAAATTATGAATGGTTTAGGGTTTAGTATTTTTATGAATGGCTGGAATATTTTTATGGTCATATTTTTGTATTGCCTTCACATACAAGTCGTTTTTTTTTTTTTTGTGAGGTTATCTGTGGAAGAGTTTGCGAATCAGCTTCTGAAAAACGTACCACCCTCTTATTTTGTCAAGATTGCATAGAGACTACACTGTACAATATAATGTTACATAACTTACCAAGGAATTGTGAATGAATATGAGAAACGTTTTATGTAAAAATTACAACTAATATTATAGCATTTTATAGTATACAATAAGAGGAAAATGTTTGTCATTTTAAATGACACAAAGTTATGTCATTTTTAATGAAACTACGTTATTTTGGTAAGTTTTTACATTCTCTCTCAATAATTTTTTTTATTTCTAATTTTATAAATTAAAAAAAAGGACAAAACGACGTAGTTTCATTAAAAATGACACAAAATTTTGTCATTTAAAATGACAAACACTGTTTACCAAAAAAAAAAAATGACAAACACTAAACCCATACAATAAAGTACTGTACAATGGAGATTACCAAAAAAAAATTACTGTACAATGGATTGTTTAACCTGTTACGCATGGGGGAAAAAATTTAATTATTTCATTTTAATTAAATAATTACGCATTTATTGCAGTTTTAAAAATAATTACGGATCTATTGCACAATGTGACACATTTTTTGAGCGTCACATGTGACGTCTCATGTAGGCGTCTCTCACCTGAGGGAAGACGCCCCAATGGGGCGTCTCTCACCTAAGGTTGACACGTGTCATTTTTTTTTTCAAAAAAAATAATAATTTAATCAAAAAACTTCTGAATGCCATAACTTTTGACTCGGGTATCCAATTCAGGTAATTCTTATTTTGATTCCACATAACTTTTCGAGATCTACGCAATGACATCTCATTTGATATATTTTATTTTTCACAAACACAATTTTAATTTGCAAGAATGGTATTATAAGAGCGGTTAAACTAAGAAGCCTCTGAGTTCTGGGTTTGTGATTTAATATAAATAAATAAATAAAATTTTGATTTGTGATTTAATTTTTTTTGTAATACTTTTTTTTATTATAACAAAAATTTGGTTTGTGATTTAAATAAAAATTAATATAAAAATTATTATTAATAAGAAAAACAAACTAAAATTTGATTTGTGATTTAAACTAAAAAATCAATTTGAAAAATCTGTAGAAATAAAGAAAATAATTAAATAAATATTCTAAATCTCTAAGGAAGAAGGATATTATTTTTGAAATTAATGATTAATGCTATAAGCTTCTGGGTTATTATTCGTGGTCTGAAATTAATGTTGGCTTACGAATGTTTTTCAAAAATAAAATTACCTAAATTAGGCGTGATTGCCTCTTGATTGAAACACTGAGTTCTGCGTTTGTGATTTAATATAAAAAATAAATCAAGATTTGATGTGTGATTTAATTTAAAAAATAAATTTTTTATTTTTATTATAAAATTTTTTGGTTTGTGATTTAAATTAAAAGTAACAATTATTATTAATAAGGAAAACAAAATAAAGATTTGATTTGTGATTTAAACTCAAAAATCAATTTGGAAAATCTTTATTAATAAAGGAAATAATTAAATAAATATTCTAAATCTCTAAGGAAGAAGGATTACCTAATTTAAATTTAAATTATGTTTGTGAGAAATATAATATATCAAATGAGATGTCATTGCGTAGATCTCGAAAAGTTATGTAGAATCAAAAAAAGAATTACCTGAATTGGATACCCGAGTCAAAAGTTATGGCCTTCACAAGTTTTATGATTAAATTATTATTATTTTTTTTTTAAAAATGACACGTATCAACCTTAGGTTAGAGACGCCTAAATGAGGCGTCACATGTGATGCCCAAAAAAGGCGTCACATTGTGCAATAGATCCGTAATTATTTCCAAAACTGCAATAAATGCGTAATTATTTAATTAAAATGCAATAATTAAATTTTTTTGCCGCTACGCATGTGTTAAACTTAAAAGGGAAAAGTTCAGTGATGCCTCTGTGATTTGCTTCAAAATCACCTATGTCTCTGTGGGATTTTTTCTATCACATATGCTCTTGTGGGCAAAAGGGTAGGGGTGTGCAAAAAAAATGGTTCACTTGCCCTGCCCTTGATCCGACCTTGACTCGACCCATAAATACCCATATTTTTTGAACTGGTGTAAATACTGACCCACTTTTATTTGGGTCAGTTTTAGACCTGACTCGTTTTAATATTGACCCACTGACCCAAAACTTGACCCATACCCATTATGTGAAAAAAAAATCACAATTACATTAAAAGCAAAGTTTTAACGTAAAACAATTACGTCAAAATTTTTTATGAAAAATATTTTCATAAAAATTTTCGCAAAATTTTTTGACGAAAAATATTTTCATCAAAATTTGTGACTAAAAACATATCGGTAAAAAAATTTAACGGAATCTAAATTTCGTCAAAATATTTCGCAAAAAAATATATTCATAAAAACTTTCGACGAAACACATTTTCATCGAAATTCTTTGTCGGAAAAAAAATTCATCAAAAATCTTTACAGATTTCAAATTTCGGCGAAAGTTTTCAACGGAAACATTTTCGTTAAACTTTTTGACCAAAAAAATTTCGTCAAAATTTTTAGCTAAACACATTTCTATCAAAAAATTTCGACTAAATATTTTCGTCAAGTTTTTGATAAAGAATATATCCATCAAAATTTTCAACGGAACACATTTCTGTAAAAAAGATTCGTAAAATTTTTTGACAAAAATATTTCGATAAGAAATTTTGACAGAAAAAATATTTTGTCTAAAGTTTCAAAGGAAACATTTTCCTCAAAACAATTTCCATTGAAAATTTCGACGAAACACATTTCCATCAAAATATTTCATCAAAATTCTTTACAGATTTCAAATTTCGACGAAAGTTTTCGAAGGAAATATTTTCGTCATCATAAAATTTTGACGGCAAAAAATTTCATCAAAATTCTTTACATATTTCAAATTTTGGCGAAAGTTTTCGGAAACATTTTCGTCATCAAAAAATTTTGACGGCAAAAATTTCATCAAAATTCTTTACAGATTTCAAATTTTGGCGAAAGTTTTCGACGGAAACATTTTCGTCATCAAAAAATTTTGACGGCAAAAAATTTCGAATGCAAAAAAATTCATCAAAATTCTTTACAGATTTTAAATTTCGGCAAAAATTTTCGACGAAAAAATTTTCGGTAAATTTTTTGACAAAAAAAAATTTTCGTCGAAATTTTTAACGAAACACATTTCCATCGAAAATTTTCAACTAAATATTTTCGTCAAGTTTTTTGATAAAAAATTTCCATCAAAATTTTGAACGAAACACATTTCTATAAAAAAATTCCGTAAATTTTTTTGACAAAAAAAGCATTTTGACGAAAAAAATATTCTGTCAAAATTCTTTAGAGAATCTAAATTTTGTCGAAAGTTTCAAATGAAACATTTCCCTCGAAATAATTTTCGTCAGAACACATTCCCATCGAAATTTTGAACAAAAAACATTCCGTCAAATTTTTTGACAAAATTCTTTTTTCGTTTAAAACATTTGATGGAAGAAATCATTTTCGTCAAAACTGTTGACGGAAACTAAATTTCAATAGAAATTTTTTTTTTTGTAAAAATTTCGACGAAAAAATAATTTTGTGACGAAATTTTCGTCTTTTGCAACGTAAAAATTTCGACAAAATTTTGTGAGAAAACCAAGTCAAAAACGGGTCAGGTCAGATTTGACTCAGTTCAGAAACCAAGTCAGACCCACTTCAGAAACCAAGTTAGGTCAGATCCAAACTGGTTCTGAACGAGTTCAACAAAATCCAATCCAAGTCAGACCTGACTTGGATCAAATTAAAGCGGGTCGAGTCAAAATACCTGACCTATAAAAATCAAGTTGGGTCGAGTCGGACAAAACCTGACCCGACCTGACCCATGCACAACCTTACAAAATGGTATGTTTTTTATCACATATGTCCTTGTGGTTTTTTATTTTTTACAAAGCACGAGGACATATATGATAAAAAAAAACCAAAAGCACAGGGACATAAGTGATTCCGAAGCAAACCACATGGGCATTGATAAACTTTTTACAAACTTAAAATTGGGCCTATTTTCTCCTTTATTTGTTTTATTATTAAACCCTTAAATTAATCACACGGCTTTATAGCTAAAACCTGCAGTTCATAGGTGAATTTAGCCGTTGACTCATCTATGTTGGGCCATTTTTCACTTTGCATAACGACTAATGGTGCGGCGAAGTCGATATTCTCCAACAATTGCCCTATCAAGCTTCTCACAATATTTAACGAACACCTCTGTTGTCACGAAGAGTCTAAACTCAAGATTAAACAAAAACTCTAACTCCATGCTGTTCATCTCTGCTGTGCTAACTCCTCCCACTTGAGCATAATAGGCATTGCTGTAGTGCCTGTGAAATGTGCAATTATTATTAATAGTCATGCATTATATATAATATTTAAGGACTTTGTTGCTGTAGATGGAAAAAATTGCAACAAATATATTTACAATAAGATACAGAGATTTTATAATCTGCAGCAGCAGAGCTATTAAAATCAATATTTAATTGTGTAATTTTGGTCAAGTGCTTACACATCATCAGCAAATTTTGCAGCTACCACAACGCTTGTGAGGACGAGGCGGTGAGCATTGAAGGAAGTGAGATAGCCACCCATTTTGTGAAAATACCTGTCCATGTATATTTGTGCAATGACGAAACAACAAGGGCTGCAGCGAGAGTACTTGTAAATGCGTTCCATGTAGTGTGTAACGCTCAAGTTAGGTGCTTCCGAACCATGAAAGATTGTAACGGGATCCTTCTTTCTCATTGACAGCAACAATTTCTCATTCTTCAAAATGGATTTCTCCCAGATGGAAGACACGTTGAGCAGAGCCCGGGGAGTCCCTGATGCCCAATTTTCAGATGCATCCACTTCTAATGATTTGTAGGTCTCTGATCTGATAGCCATCATGCCTTTGAATGCTGTTGTTGTCCCTATTTAAGTGCTACACCATCACGGCCGTGCCTTTATCACGGTATTGGCGTCGTCATTGGTTTTAGAGAATGGTATGGAACTTTTTTGGTCCTGCTTTTGTTTCTTTCTGACAGAGAATATTAAGAAAAAAGATTATTCTTTTCTTTCGGTTAGAGATACGAACACACTAGTTGGACCATTCGGGCACAAAATAAGTATTCAGGACTCGGTAAAGCTTTTGATTTTCTTTAAACATCAATGAATTCTACGTGTGTATGTATTGTACCCGTGGTACAAGCATAAACCACTAATCAACCAAGATATTTGTGGAGGGTAACAGGTGCGAAAGCGAAGTATAAATAAATACTGGTTGGTGAGAATAGTGGGCTCTTTCACCAATCGGGGTTTTTTTAAATTTTTAGGGCATGTCTGGTGTGATGTAGGCTTGATAGTAGAAACTAAAATTTATGACAATTTTTGTTGTTTGGTATGATTATCGTATAGTATAAGTAGGGATGAAACTGGGCTTTCGGCTCGGCCTACATCAGGCTAGATCTGACTCAGTATATTTTGTATAATAGGCCGGGTTCGGGCCTTAAAAAAGCCTGTTTAATAAAAATTTCAAAAGGTCGGGCCTATAAGCCTACAAGCCGGCTTATATTGTACTATTTATTTTAAATAAAATAAAATATAGTAAGTATGTCTTGAAGAAAAAAAAAAAGATATAAATTTAATCAATTGCAATTCTTTATAACTTAATTATATTCGATTGTATTTTAATCTTACTTTATTTCTTATATAGGAGGAACCAACATCTCAACTAGATTGTGTATATGAATATATTAAAAGATTTTTGGGAGAGGTTATTCTTACTACAAGCATCATGATGTGTTTGTTGGATTCATGTAGTTATTTTAATTTACATAGTATGGATTTGTTTGTTGGATCTGATGAAATATATGTTATTTAGTTTGAGCATTTTGCTTTTGAAAATGACTTAAATGCATATTGTATGAGTTCTATTATGATTCATGATTCTGTTTGGACGTTGAAATTATGATTTTTGGCGTAGCAACAGAATTTGAGTACTTTGTAAAGTTGATTCATGGTTCTGCTTGGAAGTTAAAAATTAATAGGCTAACGGGCCAGGCCATATGTTTTTTCATAAACGGGCCAAACCAGGCTAACAGTTAGACTCATACTAGGCTTGGGCCATGCCAAATTGAAATTTTTTGACGTGGGCTTAGGCTTTTCGGGGCAAAGCTTGGCCCAGCCCAGCCCACTTTCACCCCTAAGTATAAGCTTATACAGCAAATCCTTTTATACAACAGGATCCTTTTATATATCACAATGATGTATAACTTAATCAGGCATAGGATAGTAGAATTAATCTTGGTAAGGGGTTGATGTATTACCCAAAGCAATTCTCAAGAATTAATATATTATTTTAATATTAATATATTAAAATAAAAAATAAATTTTTAAAATATTGGAAATTTTTATTTTTATAAAAATTAATATATTTTTTGGACACATTGATTAACATATTTATATAAAAATTAATATCATCTGATATATTTGGAAAAATTATATAAATTCGTTATTAAAATTTATTTTTGTCAAAAATATTTTTTTTATCCTATCTAGTATTATACAGTGTATTACCAAATACTGAATGATATTATCTTATACAATATTATGCCAAACGCTGGATAGTATTGAAATTTAATCAAGTCTTATACAATCACAATCAGATCTTACACTATCAAGTCTTATCTCATAATGTATACCAAACATGCCCTTAATGTACCAATTTGATATTAGATTAATAATATTTATCAATAAGAGACGTTTAATATCATTGGGGCCCTCAGCGGCATTGAGTGTTGCCCTCCTTCCCCGCAACACTTACAAGATTGTGACAAGTGGTACAATCTCGTTAATTTAATTACCGTAAAACTTCGGGAGGCCGTAACTTTTAACTCGGGTATCAGAATCAATTTTTTTTAATTTCACATAACTTTTCGAAATCTCCATTTTTTGCTCCCACTTTTTCTTCGTTTTGTTTTCTTCACAAAAATAAATTTTAAAATTAAGTATTGTCTCGCATAGGTGTTGCTAGACCTATATCAGATAGAAATTAAATTAATTAAAATCTCAACAAAATTGATTTGAAAATCGAGGAAGCTAAACAAATCAAGGGTTTCTATCTCTTCTCACCAAATTTGAATTTGAACGCTTTTGTGATTGTGAAACTATTATTTCAAATTTGAACTATATTTATAGAAGATAAAATATGCTAAATGAGGTGTCATTGCGTAGATCTCAAAAAGTTATATGAAATCAATTTTTTTATCTAATTTGGATACCCGAATCAAAAGTTACGGTTTTCCAAAATTTTACGGTGGCGAGACTAACGAGATTATGCTACTTAACATAATCATATGAATGCCATTGAGAGAATCAAATATCAAATTGATACATTAAAGGAGTAAAAAAAACCTTTAGTTTAAAGAACCGAGAATCGTGAGATATTGGTAACTAATATAATATATTTTTAAGGGGTAGGATCTTTTGACATCGGTGTCAAACTTTAAAATTTAACATCAAATCCTAAACGTTGATTTTCGTCGATCAACTGTTATCATTTATTGGAATCAAACTTATTAATTAACTATTAATTCCAAACAAATGATAACAATTAATTGACGAAAATCAACGGTTAAGATTTGATGTCAAGTTTTAAAGTTTGACATCACTATCAAAAGATCTTATCCCCATTTTTAATTTATTAATATAGATGGATGAAATGTAATATAAAATAAACATAATATAATATGTTCTTAATTTATTAATATAGATGAATGAAATTAAAAAAAATATAATAATATAATATAATATATTTTTAATATAAAACAATATCAAAACATAATATAAAATAAACATAATATAACATATTTTTAATTCATTAATATAGATGGATGAAATTAAAAAAAATCAACTAAACTCTTTTTGATATGAGATAGGATATTATGCCTACCTTTTTTTATGTTTTTGATCTAATGATGTTAGATATTAGTAAGTACGGTTAAAAAGATAAATAAAATGACCTATCCCTCTTAATTATTCAAAAATTCAAAATGGCAAAATTAAAATGATAGTGGGCACATTTATGATTTATCAATATAATTATTTTTTTAGAATACCAAAATAATATACTTTGAAAATTATTTAAAAAAACATAAATTGATTGATTTTTGGCGTGTGAGCCCGTCATTAGATTAAGGTGACATTTTCACCCTAGTTCCATTGGACACATGTCATCATCATCTCAGTGGTGACACGTGTCGTCTTGATCATGTTAGTAGAACTTACATAGATGATGACATGTGTCATCCTAATTTGTTGGTAGGATTCGCGTGGTAAATTTTTTCATAATTTTTTTGAAATGTATTATATTCATATCTTTCTCTACATGGTGAATTTAGTTATATATGTAATGAAAAAAATTTCAGAAATTATTAAAAAATATGATATATCGAATATTAAGTGTTGGGTAATAAAGTGGTAGAATAACACAATATAAGTGTGATTTTTTTTATAGAAATATAAGTGTGACTTTAATAGATTATACAAGAGAATATAAATTTATGAATGAATAATTTTTAGAGAAAATTAAAGTGACATTTATTGAAAAAAAATATGGTATATGTAATCACGCATAAAATGTTTTGGACATGTGAAAAAAAGTATTGGAAATTCCACAAACTTTTCAATTGTGTAAAATAATCTGCAACTGATAAATCTGCTTGTTGCAGCTTAAGAATATCATCTTCAAGATCAGAAATTTTGAAAACATCTGGTTGAGAAAACCTTTCTTTCAAATCATTCCAAACATCAATTGCTCTATCAGCCCATAATACTGATTGTGCAATTGATTCTGAAATAGATTTATGCATCCAAGAGAGAATTATGGTGTTGCATCTATCCCATGCAACGAATTGGATCGTCTGCATCAGGAATGTCAATTCTTCCATCTACAAATACCAATTTATTTTTGGAACGTAAAGCCATCTTCATTGCTCTAAACCAAGTATGGTAATTTTTGCCATTTAGACAAGGAGAAACAAGAATCAGAGATGGGTTCTCATTGGGATGAAGATAAAATGAATTGGTTGGGTTTGTCAAGAAATCAGGAAGAGGAACTTGATTTGCCATTGTTATGAACTTCAATGAACAAAAGAAAAAAGAAAGAAAAAGAAAGCTTCTAATCGACAATCAGAGCTTAGAGCTATCTGATACCATATTGAAAAACTTGATCTGAATCATACTTCTTGAATTAATGAATAGAAAAATATCTTGATATGATATTTAGATAAGATACTGTACATTGAAGAAGAGAAAGATAGTGGCGGGAAAATAAAGAAACTGAGTTAACTAACTCCTAACAAATAACTGTTAAACAGATTGACTCATAAGAGATAACTATCTATTAGATAATAAGAAGACTAATTGAAAATTAATTTAAAAGAATTAATAAATGAAAGATGACTCAATAATTAAATAAAAAGAAAAAACAGGAAATTCTTAAAGTGAAACTATTAAAAAGGATTTATATCAAAACAATCTTCTTAAAGAATTATATTTTAATAAAATATAATGGATGATCGAAATAATTTACTCCACCTAATGGGAAAAAAACTTTAGTTGTTGTTGTATTGCAGAAAGAAAGAGAATTACAGTGTAAAAATTTTATAATTAAATAATTATTTAGAACTCTTATTATCAATCTTATAATTGCTAATATTAATTTTTATTTACTGTTAAGTTTATATTTATACTAAATTATTTGGGTTTAAAATAATTTATAATTTTTTTTAAGTTAATCAAAATTATTCATGTACTGCAAATTGCAATTAATTGTGTTGTCGAAGTTACTAACACCCTGCGTCTTAAACGAGAATATAAAATTTACAATAGATCATGAGAGGTGTGCCGTCGCTTAGGACATGATTTTTACGTGTTTTAATTAAAAAAAAAAACTCAGACTATTCAAATTATGATTCTTTGTTAATTTTAATTTATTTCATTGATTGTTTTATTGTAGTTATAAAGTAAATGAAAGTTTCTTAACTTATCTACAATCAATTGGTGATAAGTAAATTCAGGGGTTGTACTTGTTTTGATTTTCTTACAAACTCGCAGTTGTCATGATCAAAATGCAAAAGTTTATTTGGTTGTTGAGTGATTGTTATTTTTTATCTAACTAATCATTTTGTAAGATATCATAATCTTCTAACTACTGGGAGAAAATTGCCCCATGCTAAGTGAATGATTAGCGTGGCATACACTATTATTGTTTAATATCTAACCAAAGTTATATAGTTATCGGCCACTATATATACTTACAAATAATTGAAATAATATTACGTCAATCTCATTTTAATTTCACTCAATCCCCAAAGAGAAAAAGAAAAAGAACACGTCCATCGTTGTGATAATATTAATTTTTATAAATTTTGTTATTTAAATTTTTAAAAGATATTTTGTCTGCCAACTATGGTAACTAAACATGAAAACTGTTGAAAAGGAAAAAGGTATATTCAAATAGCGAAATTTCATGCCACATGGTATATATTATGATTGGCTCGCTTCATTGCACAACAAAGCTGAGCTTCAATTTGAGCTTGGGTTAAATAATTTATATGTATATATATATTTTTTTAATTTTAGTTAGTTCATATCATAGTATATTTAAATTATACTAAATACAGATTATCTGTGCACACAGACAGCACTAAAAAGAATTATAATTTTATTAAATATTTTTTAATTTTACTATAAATATTTTTTTTATACAAATAGTGAAAATTAAACACATAATCTAATACAACTTATCCAAATCTTTCATAAAAAATATTTTAAGTTTTAGATAGGACTAAATTATAATTATAACCCGGATCAAATTATAATTAATTATATAATTATATATAATAAGTATAATTTATTAAAATTTAGCCAGAACCGAGACCATACCCAGACTATATGTGACTACGCCACTAGCCCCGATGTTGTAGTATACAAAAATTAAAATTCTAAATAATCATCATGATTAATAACATATAATTCTCCTTAAAGGAAAGTCAATTTTTAAAGATTTTGCATTTAATATTTTTCAAGGTTATACAATTACTTATAATCATTTTCCTTTTATATAACCTACAATATTATTTTTCTTTTTTTAAGAATAATCCAATGTTCTTTTTCATAAAATGTTATTTTATCCTTTCTAACTAATTAAAAATTAAGTTTAAATATGATTAATTATCAATTTAAAGTTCATATCAATGTTATTAAACGAGTTAAATTTCTAAAGTAGTGTGAATTTTTTTTAACCCTAAACATTATTTACCACAAAATTCAAATTAATCGTTGATATGTGTATAATTGCGTGGATCAACTTAAAATATATTTATACAGTAAGGTATTATTATGTATTTTCTACTTAACTTTTATTTTTAACTAACGATAATTAATCTTCGTAATGATTTGACAGATAACGGATAATACATTATAGTAAAAGAAGTTTTACGTTTACCCCCAAAAAAAAAAAAATTTACGAAGAAAGTAAATGGAAAAAATGTGTATCATTTTAAAGGATGTAAAGTTATGTCATTTTAAGTAAGAGGAAGAGATAGATAAAGTAAAGGGAGAGAGAAAGTGGACATAAAAATAAAAATAAAGGTATGAGTCGCACCTCTTCGTAAAAGTGAAATGATATAAGTTGTGTGATTTAAAAGAACAAACATTTTTCCCAAAATAAATTTCATAAAATATTATCGTAAAATTTATTTCCTACACATATATAAAAATTTATAAGACTCATTTTTTTTTTCTCTTTTTTGTTCATATATGGTTTCACATGAATTTCATACACCTAATAGATAAAATTATTTTCTATAACACTAAAAACATTAACCAAAAAATTATTGAAGTTGTTTGTTTTCGTGTTCAAGCCTCCGACGTGTCGACATGCAAAACCATCGTTTAAAACTCGTTGACCTTCCTACTTAAAAAAAAGAAAAACTTGTTGACCTAAGCCCCACTGAGTCCTCTTGTTATTAACCCAAGCCACGATCACAGAACTTGAAAAAAAAAAAATGACTTCCAAGTTCTCTCATTCTCAATCTCATTCGTTTTCAAAGCAAAAGCTTTTTTTGATTTGTTTCTTGATTGTCTTCATACCCTTCTTGCTCTTTGTGTTTTCGGCTAAGAACAAAAGAGTCGCAGTTATCACCAGCACGGTTCAGGTGGAGAAGAAGACAAAACCAGCTTGGTTCGACGTTATCGCAAAGGGTATTAAAAACAAAGAGAAGATTAAGGTAGGCCTCGTTAATATCGATGAAAGAGTGGACGGTAACGTATATGAACAGCTAGATACACTTCATCCACAAGTAGAGACTGTATCTGTCGATTTTGAACGTGTCGATGAGAATTTGAAATGGAAGGAGTTTTTTCCTGAGTGGATCGATGAAAATGAGAAATGGGGTAAACCAACGTGCCCCAAAATGCCAATGCCGGCGTTGGAGAATTATGAGGATCTTAATGTTGTGGTGGCTAAAGTTCCATGTGGGAAGGAAGGGATTAGGGATGTGTATGGGTTGCAAGTTAATTTGGTGGTGGCTAATTTGGCGGTAGAGAATGGGTGGGTAACGGAGATGGACGGTGATCATAGGAAGGTTTATGTTGTGTTTATTGGGTCTTGTGGGCCCATGGTAGAGATTTTCAGATGTGACGACCTTTTAATGCATCAAGGTGCATATTGGGTGTATAAGCCTGATTTGAGAAGCCTAAAGCAGAAAACGCTTATGCCTATTGGTGCATGCCAGGTAGCTCGTGGTTATGCAGAAACAGGTACACTTTAGTTTCAATTCTGTGTTTTTAATTTAGGTTAAAAGATTTCTCCGATAAATAGAGATAAGTTATTTTTGATGAGTCTAAAATGACATCGTTTTGAGACGGAAATAAAGTGTTTTTATAATTTTAATATACTGCAGAATTATATTAGTCTTTGACATTATAATTTTTTAATCTTATAACTCAAAACGATGTTATTTTAAGTTTATTGGATATAATTTTATCTCTAGTAGCGGAGAAATACTTTTCCCTTTAATTTATGCTCTATATATTGTGCAAAAATTGAAAACTAAAAATGCTAACTATTATAGGAATTGAAATTCTTCGCAGTTAAGGAAAATAATCTTCGCGAATCTTAAATTTCCAAATCCACACATATCCCTTCTGATACTCCAATTTCTTTATTAGTCATTATCGGATAGTGATGCTGTGCTACCTTTTAATGCTTTCAGTCACATATATTCAATATTCATAGAATAAAGACACTGGAGTAATTAAGTGCTTGTTCGAATAATTGGCAATTTGAATTAATCTAGAAAAGAAATTTACGATAAAAACTATATTTCTATTTTGGATTGATTCTCATAACCATCATCTTATAAGATAAAGACAAATTAATACAGTGGGTTTACATTGTGTCTCTCCAAATCTCTACAATTATGATATATGATTTCGCAATAAAACACAATTTGACGGGGCCTCACTTTATTCTTATGTTGTCTAGCTCCTCTTTTGAAATACAAAGTACAACTATTAGTTGTAACTGTTGGGAATGAAACGAGGGAGCCCAAAACCCTTTGCAAATGGTACATCCACCAATGGGCCAAATGACAAACCATAATAAGTGGGCCGACACCACATCTCAACCCAAAACCTTAAGGCTGTAGGTTTATGGGTCTTTTGCACTTATATGGTCATCACTTGGTCTATGTCTAGACTATGTGGAACTTACTTCACCACTACTCACTCACACTTGATTATTTCCAACATCCTCCCTCAAGTGTAAGGCCCAATATCATTCTTACTCTAAGGTCAACTTCTGCGGAAGTCTTTTTTCTCTTCAAATATTAGGGTCACACTAGCCTTCTGCAGAGGCCTTCCAAACACTTAGCCCAGATCGTTAGCTCTGATACCACTGTTGGGAATGAAACGAGGGAGCCCAAAACCCTTTGCAAAGGGTACATCCACCAATGGGTCAAATGACAAACCATAATAAGTGGGCCGACACCACATCTCAACCCAAAACCTTAAGGCTGTAGGTTTATGGGTCTTTTGCACTTATATGATCATCACTTGGTCTATGTCTAGCCTATGTGGAACTTACTTCACCACTACTCACTCACACTTGATTATTTCCAACATCCTCCCTCAAGTGTAAGGCCCAATATCATTCTTACTCTAAGGTCAACTTCTGCGGAAGTCTTTTTTCTCTTCAAATATTAGGGTCACACTAGCCTTCTGCAGAGGCCTTCCAAACACTTAGCCCAGATCGTTAGCTCTGATACCACTGTTGGGAATGAAACGAGGGAGCCCAAAACCCTTTGCAAAGGGTATATCCACCAATGGGCCAAATGACAAACCATAATAAGTGGGCCGACACCACATCTCAACCCAAAACCTTAAGGCTGTAGGTTTATGGGTCTTTTGCACTTATATGGTCATCACTTGGTCTATGTCTAGCCTATGTAGAACTTACTTCACCACTACTCACTCACACTTGATTATTTTCAACAGTGACTAGATACATATATAATGCTAAGGTAAAAAGCCTTACAATCCGCGTGTGTTTATTCAACCATGGATAATGATTTGCAGGTAAAGAGGTATGGAGGCGTCATATCGGAAAGTTAGCCTATGTAACTATCCTTCACTCATCAGAAGCTTATGTTTGTGGTGCAATAGCTCTTGCTCAAAGCATCCTTCAAACCAAGAATAAAATCTATCATACCAGAGACCTAATCCTCCTGGTTGATAAATCAATTGGTCCTGAATCCATCAAGGGTCTAAAAGCTGCAGGATGGAAGATCAAGCGCATTCAACGTATCTTAAACCCCTTTGCCAAAAGTGGTGCATACAACCAATGGAACTATAGCAAGCTACGAATATGGCAACTCACCATGTATGACAGAATCATCTTTATAGATTCTGATCTTTTAGTCCTAAAGAACATCGATTATTTCTTCTTTTACCCTCAATTATCAGCTGCACCTAATGAGAAAACACTATTCAACTCCGGGTTAATGATAGTTGAGCCATCCCAGTGCATGTTCGAGAACATGATGCAGAAAACTTCCGAGGTGAAACCATATAACGGAGGTGACCAAGGTTTTCTTAACCAGATTTTCACATGGTGGCACCGTTTGCCATCGAAGCTAAATTACCTGAAATCTTTTGACACGCAGGGAGGTAACAATGAAAAGCATGAGGTACCAGAGGATGTGTATACCATACATTATTTGGGTTTGAAGCCATGGATGTGTTACAGAGATTATGATTGTAATTGGGACATGAAGGATCACCATGTTTTTGCGAGTGACTCGGCTCACGAGAGGTGGTGGCAGTTGTACGACGCCATGCCGAAAGAGTTGCAATCTTATTGTGGACTTACAGAGAAAATGAATAAAAGGATTGTAAAGTGGAGAAGAATAGCAAGAAATGCTAGTTTATCTGATGGGCATTGGAAGATTGAGGTTAAGGATCCTCGAAAGGAAGCAATTATTTAAATTAGAATAAGGTTAAGTGTGGATGAGCCTGTGTCCTCTAGCTCCATGCCCAAAATAACTTAATCATGACTTGCGGCATGTGGATATGAATTTCTAGCTAAGTTTATTAGACACTAAACAAAAATCAAGTTTAATATATTTGGATAAATTGTTTGGCATACAATTTTCTTTTATTCTACATTTCATACATTTTAACAGAGATTGAATTCTGGCATGATTCACGAATACAGTGAAATTTCAAGTATAATTAAAATGTATCATTTTAAAACTGTATGAAATTCTCACATTTATTTATTTTTTATGATAAAATATTAAGAATAAATGTATTGAAGACATCTTCAATCCTTGAATTCTAAGTGCACGTGCAATTAAAACCTAACTAATGAGATATCTAAATGTGATAGAAGTTTTACATTGATTTGTAATATATAACTATAAGTAGCAAAAATTCATAAATTTGATATCTTAAGGTTTAGTTGAGATATGATGTCAGAAGCTAATATATATTTATTTAGAAAAAAAATCAAACATAATTTATTTTTAATTTCTCGATTTTATCATTAATCAATTAATTTATTAATCCAGTCAATGCAGACTATTAGAATAATAAAACTCTTCCCACCAAAATTTTAATACAATTTAAACTCGATACCATTAATTAATTTTAAAATCTCCACAATTAAGAGTTGATTTGAAATGACTTTTATTATTGAATGTTTTCAAGCACTTATTAAAAAATATTTAATAGCATTTACGAACATTATTCTTAGTATTATTGAATATTTTATAAAACTAAAAATATCAAATACATATAATTTTTTACTTTAAACGTTTTCATTTTAATTTTTCAATTACTGTATTAATTAAATACACACATTAACCACACTCATTTGATAATTCCAGTGACAGAGTAGTAAATTGAACCAATCTCTATCTACTGCTTCTAACAATGAGTTTATTATATATGATCTGGTGTCCCAGTGTTCCTGTCAGATGATAAGTAGCATCAGCATTGATGTTGCATTGCAGTACGCAGGCATGACCAAAAAAAAAAAAAAAAGACCAAATTCCACGTGTTGCAAACATAACTGGTTTCTTCTCCATTTTTTGTTGGTCCATTTTCCATGTGTTACCTGTTCGTAAGGACAGAACATAACAATAACCATAGGCATCAATCACCGACGCAGAGATAAGGACCCTGTTACTGTTAGCGATCGAATTTAGGGTTTTGAATGGAGGAGCAACAGCACAAGACCACACTGGATTCGGGTTGGCTCGCTGCCAGGTCCACTGAGGTCCAATTCAATGGGACTCAGCTCACCACTACTCACCCTCCAACTACCTCCACTTCCCCATGGATGGAAGCTCTCGTTCCTGGAACGTAATCTCTCAATTTGCTTTCATGATACAAGTTCCATTTCAAAAATTAATTAATTAATTATTATTATTATTTGTTTTCTTTCTGCTTACTCGGTCTCTCTGTTCTTTACTCATTTGACTCCACAGTGTTCTGGCGACTTTGGTGCACAACAAAGTCGTGCCTGATCCTTTTTATGGCCTGCAAAATGAAGCAATCATAGACATTGCTGATTCTGGAAGGGACTATTACACATTCTGGTTCTTTACAAACTTTCATTGCAAGCTTGTACGTGTTGTCCTTTTCAGTTTTCCCACATTATGCAAATATAGATTTTGAAGTTGCATCGTTTGGTTTAAATTTCACATTAACATTGAGCTTCTAATATATTCACACATTGATATTTAAAGGTTGTGAAATTAGTTTTCAACTTAGAGACCTATATATATATATATATATATATATATATTATCCAAATAACAATCTTATATGGAACATTAAAATGTGGTTTCTTATTTGATAATTCTTTCCTTACGGTTTGATGGATGGACATCACTAATTTCTTGACCCTTTGCAGTCAAGCAATCAGCACTGTGATCTGAACTTTCGTGGAATCAATTACTCTGCTGATGTGTATTTAAATGGGCACAAAATCACCCTACCAAAAGGAATGTTTCGAAGGCACTCTCTTGATGTCACTGATATTCTTCATCCTGAGGGTAGTAACTTGCTTGCTGTTCTTGTTCATCCTCCGGATCATCCTGGGACAATTCCTCCTGAGGGAGGACAAGGCGGTGACCATGAGGTCCGAAATTAAAATCATAAATCTGATCCATTAATTTTTTATCCTTTTCAATAACTTAACTTTCTGATTTCATGAAAGCTTCAAATATCAAATAAAGTGTTTCAAGAGCTCTGGAATCAGTTAAAACTCAAGAGAGTTAGAGACTGTGAGAGAGGAAGAGGAGTGATGCTTGCGGAATATCGAAATCATTTTCTTTTTTTCTTTTGTAGATAGGAAAGGATGTGACCACGCAATATGTTGAAGGTTGGGATTGGATGGCTCCAATAAGGTGACATTCCTATTACTTGTAATGGAGTGTGGTAATTAGCTTTCTGTTCCATAAATAATATATTTCTTTTATCTTTGTTCTTTGAATTAGAAACCTATCGTTCTTTTTTTAGTTTGGTTAGCCAGTGTCTGGGCATTTTAGGCATTACTTGTTGACTGTTTGGAATTTGAAGAGAATTGGAACTATGGAGAGACCATGTAAAGAAAAATGTATCTATACCTAATGCAACTTTTAAATTTGATTGCAGAGATAGGAATACTGGAATATGGGATGAGGTTTCCGTTTCTGTTACTGGGGTGAGTTGTATTATTTGTATTAGCTCACTCTTCTCTGTTTGATGCATCGTGGGTCCTAATCATTTTGAGATTCTTTGTTAAATATTGTTGAACTCCAAATTCAATCATATATTGGCTTTATGAAATATATTTTGGGGAGTCACTAAGATGTCTGGAAAACAAGACCAGGATATTGCAGAGGCATGAGCTAGATGTCAGAATTGCTATGTTAATTTTAGCTTTAAATGCAGTCCATACAATCAATAAATCTGATCAACATTCTTTAGTGTTACTTTTTTTTATAGTTGATGATGCTTCCAGCTATTCCTTGGTAGGATGATTTCAGTGTCTGTGTTTGATGCAGCCAGTAAAAATAATTGATCCCCACTTGGTTTCATCTTTTTGTGACAATTATGAGAGAGCATATCTACATAATACATGTGAGTTGGAAAACAGGAGCTCATGGGCTGCTGAGTGTTCATTGACTGTCCAGGTGACAACGGAACTTGAAGATAGCATTTGTTTAGTAGAGCATGTTCAAACCCAAAATCTTTCTATTCCTGCAAATTCACGGGTGCAGCAACATACATTTCCTGAGGTCAGTGACAGCATTCATTATGCCAATAACAAAGTTTAGTCCATTGTGTTTAGATCTTTAACACTTAAGAAGAACTTAATCATTAATTCAAGGCATCTTGATCAACAAATTTGGTAATTTGAGGAAATTTGTCCAATTTCACACCCTATTCTCTTGAGTAGTGTTTTTTGACAACTTTTGTGCATGCTTGTCTATATGGCTTATGTCATGTCTTTGTGCTGTATAAGTGTGTCTAACTTTTTATATAGCTCTAATTTACTGTGATTATGATGGTTGGAATTAACTGTCATATCTTGAGCTAGTACTATAATCAGAGGGCCTTTGTTATCCTGCTGATTGTTTTAGGTTCAAAATACCCTTAATAATAAGTGACTCTCTTATCTTTGTTTACTTGTCTAACGAACAATGGTTCAGGTATGACGGGGGAAATTTAATGAAGATATATTTGCAATTTTCAACATATTGGCATTCATAATTTGTAAGTTATTACTTAATGTCCTTCTTTAGTGGTTAAGCTATAATGTGTATGATCTGAAGAAACAAAGCTGACAAAAATAAAGCATATAGAAAAATTTAAAGCAGCCTAAGTGAGCACAGGGACAGAGCCTCCACCCCCCCCCCCCCCTCTCTCTTCTCTCCCTTTTTCCTTTTTTTTTTTCAAGTTAAAAGATATGCAATCTTGGAATATTATCTAGCATCCTTTTTCGGCTGATCCTGTTAACTTGCATGTATTGGGGTTTAAGTTTCAATGCTTCTGTTCATGTGCTAATGGTTTGAATTACCAGCTTTTCATCGACAAGCCCAATCTATGGTGGCCCAATGGAATGGGAAAGCAATCTTTGTACAATGTTGTTATTAACATTGATGTTAAAGGATTTGGTGAGTCTGATACCTGGAGCCATCACTTCGGCTTCCGCAAAATTGAGAGTCACATTGATGATGCTACTGGTGGAAGGTATGGTGACATCTCATATTTCTTCAATGTTTTAATTTTCTTCCTTTTGCATAGTAGAGTTTTAATCTTTAAACTGTTTCTGTATGTGTTTTGCTGTATGCATGGTATTTTATAGGTTGTTTAAAGTCAATGGAGAACCAGTTTTTATTCGAGGGGGTAACTGGATATTGTCTGATGGGCTACTGCGTCTCTCAAAGAAGCGGTATAATACAGACATCAAGTTTCATGCAGATATGAATTTTAACATGATTCGTTGCTGGGGTGGTGGACTGGCAGAAAGGCCAGAGTTTTATCATTATTGTGATTATTATGGCCTTCTGGTAAGCTGCAGCCTGGACCATCCCCTCATTTTTGCTTAAATCTGCATGTTAGTATTTTCACTTTGTTATAATTTTTATGAATTTATTGCATTAATGCTGCTCTGCTGTGTGCTTATACAGTTTGTTTATGTTCCTTTCCTTTCTGAGTACTTGTGTGGATATAGCAGTTTCCATTAACTTGAATGACTCAATCATCATTTTTAAAAGCAGATATTGAATATTTTTTTGTCATTGGCTTATTTTTTGGGGTCTAATGTTGGGCAGGGTGGGAATTTTCTGCAGATCTTCTTTTTCTAAATTTTATTATTTTGTTTGAGGTTTCCTGAGAGTAATTATAGTTGAATGGTCAGTTTGGTTATGAGATCTGCTGCTTAGGATATTGTGATTTGCAGATCCTGTGTACAAATACTATCATGTTCTTTTACTTTCTGAAAAGTAATCTTTAAAGCTAGACCAAATGATGTATTCAAAAAAAAAAAGCTAGACCAAATGATCACAGTCAATTTAATTGTTTAAGAAGCTTATGCAACTTTACCAGATAATCCTTGGTCCCATCCAATATATTAGGTTCTTTATGTTTATATTACATCAATGGCAGTATTGGTTTTGAAAATTGATCGTGTTACTGGTCTAAATCTTGTAGGTATGGCAAGAATTCTGGATTACTGGGGATGTTGATGGACGTGGTGACCCAATATCTAATCCAAACGGTCCACAGGACCATGACCTTTTCTTGTTTTGTGCTAGAGACACAGTCAAGCTTCTAAGAAATCATCCTAGTCTTGCCCTATGGGTGGGTGGAAATGAACAAATTCCCCCAGATGATATAAATGCTGCTCTGAAAAATGATCTGAGGCTTCATCCTTATTTTGAACGTGTAGATGAAAATAGCAAACCTGTAGGAGACATGTCCCCAATGTTGAGTGATCCTAGCCAGTATCTTGATGGCACTCGCATTTACATACAAGGTTCATTGTGGGATGGTTTTGCTGATGGGATGGGAGGCTTCAGTGATGGTCCTTATGAAATTCAAAATCCTGAAGATTTCTTCAAGGATTCCTTTTACGATTATGGATTCAATCCAGAGGTTGGTTCTGTGGGAGTGCCAGTTGCATCTACCGTAAGAGCAACAATGCCTTCAGAAGGATGGGAGATACCTGTGTTTAAGAAACTTTCCAATGGTTATGTAGAAGAAATTCCAAATCCCATATGGGAATATCATAAATACATTCCTTATTCAAAACCAACCAAGGTTCATGATCAGATTCAACTTTATGGTGCTGCTAAAGATCTTGATGATTTTTGTTTGAAGGTAAGAATTCTTCATGCTGGTGGACATTCATGATGCATTTTTCATCGTCCTATATTTATTCTTGTTGAACTTGATGGTTAATTTTTAAGCTGTAATCTTCTCAGGCTCAACTTGTTAACTACATACAATATAGAGCTCTTTTGGAGGGATGGACTTCTCGTATGTGGAGCAAATATACAGGTGTATTAATATGGAAGACGCAAAATCCTTGGACTGGTCTAAGAGGTCAATTTTATGATCACCTACTTGACCAAACGGCAGGTTTCTATGGTTGTCGATGTGCTGCAGAGCCAATTCATATACAGCTTAATCTGGCTACATATTTTATAGAGGTAAGTGTCTAAATAAAGTTCTAGTTTTATGCGTCATTTTACCAATATGATAAATATTTTTTGACTTGTTATATAAAGTGAAAATTAAGATAGGAAGCCAAAAGGAACAAATTAAAAAGATTACAAGTGTAACGAAGTGGTGAAAATTTTATTATGATTCACAATTTTCTTCGCAATTTATGACATGGTGCAGTTATGAAAGAACAGTTCATTAAAGGATTTGTATCATTTTATGTTCCTTTATAAACAGGTTGTTAATACTACATCAGAAGAATTGTCTAATGTAGCTATTGAAGCTTCAGTATGGGATCTCGAAGGAACATGCCCATACTTCAGGGTTCATCAAAATATCTCTTTGCTGCCAAAAAAAGTAGCACCTATTGCTGAGATGAGGTATCCAAAGTCAAAAAATCCAAAGCCAGTCTACTTTCTTCTTCTCAAACTCTACCACATGTCAGATTATAGAATTATATCTAGAAACTTTTATTGGTTGCATCTTTCTGGTGGAGATTACAAGTTATTGGAACCATATAGTAAGAAGAAAATACCTCTCAAGATAACATCGAAGGTTTCGATTGAAGGATCCACTTATAATATTCAAATGCATGTGAAGAACACATCTAGAATACCAGACTCTAAAAGTTCAACATTTGAGCACAGTTCAACAGTTAGGCTAAGGGATGGTTTTTATGGTACAGACTCACTGGAAACTGTACATTATGGGGCTGGAAAAGAACATGAAAGTGGTTGGTTTAAGAGGATACATAGATGTTTTGCTGGGGAAAGTGATGGTTTGAAAGTTACTGAAATAAATGGGCATGATGTAGGTGTTGCTTTCTTTCTTAATCTTTCTGTACATGCTTCAAACTCGGACTACAAGGAAGGGGAAGACACAAGAATTCTTCCGGTTCATTACTCAGATAACTATTTTTCACTGGTCCCAGGAGAAGCCATGCCTATAAAAATATCTTTTGAGGCTCCTCAGGGTGTCACTCCTCGAGTTATTCTGCATGGCTGGAATTACCATGGAGGACAAACCATTCATGAAGTTGTATGATAATCGTACCCAACCGTGTGAAATGATTAAGTCTTGTATTTTATCATTAAAAAATTGTTTTTCTCTTTTAATCTTTTGTTTTTCTACACCTTAGGGGACTAATGTACCCTTGCAACAACATTTGAATATTAATCAGAGCAATTGTATGTCAAACTTAAGAGAACCATGTGAGGGATCATTGGCAGAATTTACATGAGAGTGGATCCTCTGATACATTATTTAATATGATTATATCATATAGGAGAATCAAAATCAGACAACTGTAAATTAATGATGATAAGGGGAAAAAGAGAAAAAATATTGGGATAGAAATTTATAAAATTATTACCATTGATTTGTTCATTGATGATTGATGGTTAAAATTTTCTAAGTTAAATAATACGTGAGATGGTCCATTTTCAATTTACACCATTAGAAACATTATCCCACACCATTTTCTTTCCACCCAATTACTTTATACCAAACAAAACCCTCAAAGATTTGTTTGATATGATTTCAATTTAGTGATTTACACCATTAGAAACATTATCCCACACCATTTTCTTTCCACCCAATTACTTTATACCAAACAAAACCCTCAAAGATTTGTTTGATATGATAAATACAAAGGAAAATAAAAGAAATGGGATAAGAAAAAAAAAATAAGCAGAAGATTTTCACTTCTCTTATTTAATGGAAGAGGTTATGCTTATTATTTTATTATTATCTCTTGCTATTAAATTTTAACCGTTGATTTTCGTCAATCTAACGGTTATTGTTTATTGGGTAATAATTATTAATTTCCAAAAAATTATTATTATTAAATTGACAAAAATCAACGATTAAGATTTGATAATAAGAGGTAATAAGAAAAAAATATTGTAAGTATAACTTACCCATAATTAATTTTATCTAATGAAAATGAAAAGAAGCTTCCTTATACAAACCCATGATCCCCCGAATATGTAAATGCACTTTCATTGTTCTGAATTCTTAGCAAGCACCTCTGTATTGTTTATTTGGGTAGTCATTTTCCATATTGTTTAGTTGGTAGTTATTTTTCATGATGTTTTAACCGTTTCTGCTTCAATTGTAATTTTTATTTATAGACCTATTATGAGCGAAAAGACATTAGAAAATTGCTCCACTTAATTTATTTTTCTCCTTTTCTTAAGCTTATCCTTTTTGCTAAAAAGAACGTAACATTTCCCTTTTGTTATTAAGTTTTATAAAAAGAAAATAAAAATTTTCATTAATAAAATTAATTTACATAAAAGAATTATAATAAACAAAAAGATTGATTTTGTTAAAATTGTGTCGTTTTAAGTGAGAGAAAAAGAAACGTAATAAAAATTATGGAGAAGAAAGTTGGTGATTTTTTTTATTTAAATTTTAAATAAAAAACATGAACTTTAAATAAAAAAATTAGTTTTAAATAAAATAATTATTTTTTGAAAGGATAAATATTTTTCCAAGAAAAAAAAAATGAGACAAAACTATTTTGTTTCCCTCCCAATCCTCTCCTACAAGGAAGAAATGTTTCAAAATGCAGAGGTCCCATGAATGAATCCATGGAACTCTCTTTCTTCTTTTACATTTCCATTTTCATCCCAAAATAATATACCAAACAGCCTCAAACGAATTATTTTTTATCCGTAGGGCTTAGGATTTCTGTGTTAAACAGTGCTGTTCCCGTCCCATCAACCTCTCTATTCTTCTTTTCATGGATGAAATCCATTCTGAAATTCAATTCCCATATCCCTTTATGGGTGGATTCTCTCAATTCATCCTTCAACTTGAAGGCACTAACTTCTCAAAACCCATTTCCTAGAACCTCAGAATCTGTCCTCAACCATGCAGACTTAAGTTCTCTTCTCTCGGTCTGTGGGAGAAATGGAAACCTTAATCTTGGTTCTTCCATCCATGCCCGCATCATCAAGCAACCTCCATTTTTCGATTTTGATAGCTCCCCTCGTAATGCCCTTTTTATTTGGAATTCTCTTCTATCCATGTATTCAAAATGTGGGGAACTGCAGGATGCCATTAAGCTGTTTGATCGTATGCATGTGAAAGATACTGTATCATGGAATGCAATGATTTCTGGGTTTTTAAGGAACAGAGATTTTGATAAGGGTTTTTGGTTCTTTAAGCAAATGATTGAGTCAAGGACACTGCATCGTCGATTTGATAAAGCAACTCTGACTACACTGTTGTCAGCTTGTGATGGACCGGAACTCTCTAGTGTAACCAAAATGATCCATGGTTTGGTGCTTGTTGGTGGTTTTGAGTGGGAGATTCCAGTGGGGAATGCTCTTATAACATCATATTTCAAATGTGGGTGTTTTGATCAAGGAAGGCAAGTTTTTGATGAGATGCTTGAGAGGAATGTTGTAACTTGGACTGCGGTGATTTCTGGCCTTACACAAAATGCATTTTATGAGGATTGTTTAAAATTGTTCGCCCAAATGCGTTGCGGGTCAGTGAGTCCCAATGCTTTGACATATTTGAGCTCGCTCATGGCTTGTTCAGGTTTACAAGCATTGGGGGAAGGGTGTAAAATTCATGGCCTGCTTTGGAAATTGGGAATGCAGTCGGATTTATGCATTGAAAGTGCTTTGATGGATTTGTATTCAAAGTGTGGAAGTTTAGAAGAAGCATGGCAGATTTTTGAGTCTGCTGAGGAACTCGATGAGGTTTCCTTAACTGTGATACTTGTAGCTTTTGCTCAAAATGGATTTGAGGAGGAAGCTACCCAGATATTTATGAGAATGGTGAAATTGGGGTTTGAAGTTGACCCCAACGTTGTTTCCGCTGTTCTTGGGGTATTTGGTGTTGGCACTTCTTTGGCATTTGGTAAGCAGGTTCACTCTTTAATTATAAAAAAGAACTTCAGTCAAAATCCTTTTGTTTGTAATGGACTTATAAACATGTACTCTAAGTGTGGAGAGTTGTATGACTCGCTCCAAGTCTTCTATCAGATGACTCAAAAGAATTCAGTTTCATGGAACTCAGTAATAGCAGCTTTTGCTCGCCATGGGGATGGTTTCAGAGCACTTCAGTTTTATGAAGAGATGAGAGTGGAGGGTGTAACACCGACAGATGTTACATTTTTGTCATTACTTCATGCTTGCAGTCATGCTGGCTTAGTTGAGAAGGGCATGGAGTTTTTGGAATCTATGACTAGAGATCACAGGATAAGTCCCCGATCAGAACATTATGCCTGTGTTGTTGACATGCTGGGCAGGGCGGGACTACTTAAGGAAGCTAGAAATTTTATTGAGGGATTGCCTGAGAATCCTGGTGTACTGGTTTGGCAAGCATTGCTTGGTGCTTGTGGTATACATGGTGATTCTGAGATGGGTAAATATGCTGCCGATCAACTATTTTTAGCTTCACCAGATAGCCCAGCTCCTCACGTTTTGATGGCTAACATATATTCTATTGAAGGGAAATGGAAAGAGAGAGCACGTGCAATTAAAAGAATGAAAGAGATGGGAGTAGCAAAAGAAGTAGGCATAAGTTGGATTGAGATCCAAAAGAAAGTCAATAGTTTCGTTGTAGGGGACAAATTGCATCCGCAAGCTGATATTATATTCTGGGTTTTGTCTGGGTTGTTGAAACACCTGAAAGATGAAGGTTATGTTCCTGATAAAAGGTGTATTCTGTATTACTTCGATCAAGATAAAAAGGATTAGTTACTATATTTATTCTGATGATTCATTTTCCAAGTAAGAATCCTATTTATGTTTGTCCAGAAAACTTGTAAAGAACCTTAGATACACCACTCCAAAAGCTAGCTCGAAGGGTGGGAGTGCCAAGGCCTTATAAACCTCACATTAGTTGTCCATACAACCAATGTGGAACTATATTTCTCAACACGCCCCTTCACACGAGAGCCCACTGGGCTTGAAGAGTGGACAATGCAACAGGCCCAATCTACCTGTGCTAAGAAACTCCACAAGAGAAAGTGGGGGGCGGCGAGGCTCTGATACCATGTAAAGAACCTTGGGATACACCACCCCAAAAGCTAGCTCAAATGGTGGGAGTGCCCAAGGCCTTATAAACTTCACATTAGTTGCTCTTCAACCAATGTGGGACTATATATCTCAACACGCCCCCTCACACAAGAGCTCTCTTGGCTTGAAGCGTGGATTATGCAACAGGCCCAATCTTTGGTTTACTTTTTTTGTGCTTTTTTATTTTAATTCCACTTTTTAAAGCGGGGGACGGTGAGGCTTTGATACCATGTAAAGAACCTTGGGATACACCACCCCAAAAGCTAGCTCAAAGGTGGGAGTGTCCAAGGCTTTATAAACTCCACATTAGTTGCTCTTCAACCAATGTGAGACTATATATCTCAACACGCCCCCTCACGCAAGAGCCCTCTTGGCTTGAAGCGTGGATTATGCAACAGGCCCAATCTTTGGTTTACTTTTTTTGTGTTTCCACTTTAAAGTGGGGGGCAGTGAGGATCGAACCTCAAGCTCTGGTACCAAGTAAAGAACCTTGGGATACACCACCCCAAAAGCTAGCTCGAAAGGTGGGAGTGTCCAAGGCCTTATAAACTTCACATTAGTTGTCCATACAACCAATGTGGAACTATATTTCTCAACAAAACTAATCAGCCTTGAGCCATGTTTGGATTGTTGATAAGAGAGGAAAGGGGTAGAATGAAATGAAATGATAATAAGTTTCATTGTTTGGATTTTTAAAAGATGGTGGAATGGAATAGAAACGCGATGCATGCCTATATCCTTTTGGAGCTTCATTTATGTTGTCTCCTGCCCTTGAAACGCGATGGTGGAAAGAGGGCGTTTGGTACGCGGGATTTTGAGGGATTCTCGAGAAATTGAATTTTCTAAATTTTAAATTTTCAGATATTATCGTAAACTGAATGCAAAAATCATATTTTTGAAAATCGAGATTCCCGGACAAATAAAATTTTTTCATGTACCAAACGACCCTTAAGTAATTGTATATCATATCAAGACACAATAGGACTTGTCCATTTTTTGTAATTCATGTAGTAATAACTAAGATATTATGGAGAGTGAAGAGATTCAATTCTCAGCGATATTCTCTTCTTATTCTCGTTTTCCATTCCACTCTTCATTTATGTGGAACTCGCCTATAGAGATCACGTCAGTGATGAGCCCCTCCTTCAAAGAGAAAAAAAAAAAAAAAAAAAGGAGCTATAATTGTTTTTGAAAAAGAGAAAAATCCTATTTAATTTACTCTTTAGGTAAAGGGCACAAACAAGTGGCACTTGGTCATCCAGACACTGATTGCTACCCAAAAGTCACAAACGACCAAATAAAAAATAAGCAAAAAGAACTATTACTCAAATGGAACTTAACTGTAAGAATGGGGAGCTTGAGCTTAATAACAAGTCGTACGATTCTCCCATTCGGAAATCGCAATTTTCCGTTGTTTGTGGAGAAGAAGAAGCCAAGAGCGAGTTGCAGTTGCAGCGGCAGAGACGATGGTCCTCTGTCCACTGCTTCGGCTTACGCCGTCCTTGGAGTGGACACTGATTGCTCCGCCGCCGATATTAAAGCTGCTTTTCGAGACAAAGTACAAACAACTTCAATATTTTGCATTTTCATTCCATTCCATTCATTAATTCTACAATTCATTCATGTTTGTTTCTCTTCCTTACAAAGGTGAAGCAGTTCCATCCAGACCTCAACAGAAATGAAATATATTCTGATACTATGATTCGCCGTGTAATTGAAGCATACCAGGTAATCACTCCCACTTATACCCTACTACTCAATTTTCCACCTAACCTGCATACTTGATCACTGCAGATACTATCCAACTACACCTCATCACAAATAATTGAAAGGTAAATCTTTTCTTCCTTTTTTCCCCCCTTTTTTTATTCTAAATTTACCATTTCAGTATTGGAATTTGGAAGTGTTTCAGAATTTTATTTTATTTTATTTTTCTCGATTTTAGAGGTGTAGATAGCTCAAAGTTTGTGGGCGTTTTCCTTCCCATGATCCATAATTCCAACAACTTAATTTGTTTTCAAATTTACTATATGCATACCTTTGCAATGCTGAGACACTTGGAGTTGCACTTGCAGGGAGTGCTTAGATCCCTTCGACGCGCCAGAGTGTGAAGCTTTTGATATTTTTGTTAACGAGCTTCTTTGTGTCGGCAAAGGTACCGTATATGTTTCTATTTTTGTCCCTCCCTTTTGGAGGTATTACAAGTCACACAGCACTGACGTTTAGCATTTTTATTTATCAACAAAATCAGCACTAGGCTACCAGACAGAGCTTGTTAACTCTGTTCTATGGGAAGTTGGGAACTGGGGATTAACAAATATGCATTTACTTTCCATTACATTGACAAATTTAAATTTTTCACCAGCGTGTTCAAATTCCTGTGTGGAAAGAGCCCCTCATGCTTTCACATATGTCTCTTCAACTGGAACAGCGCGTGCATCATCTCAAGGTATTCCTATCTGTAATTCCGTATCTTAATCTTGTGCGAGGCATATATTATATATAAAGAATGGCATATCTTCACTTTAGTTTAAAAATATGTTCTGCAAATGGCATTCTTTCTATGATTATATAAATACAGCTATCCTCAATAACCACTTTAAGGTCACGGGGAAGATTACCAAGTTCAATGTGCTGTTGGACAATGCCCTAGGAGTTGCATTCATTACGTAACACCATCACAAAGAATTCTGTTGGAGGAGCTACTTGACAGGTAACTTTAGTCATACACCAGAACTTTACTTGGTGGTACTAGGTAGGCTGTGGTATAATTTATCAGATGAACCCCTTTGTTAACGTATTATTTCCCTTATAAAACTAAAAACATACAAGCTTGCCTGATTTTCCCATTTATCTTTTCTAGCATAACATCCTACCATTATTGTGATAAATTTTGTTCAAATGCCACACAGGATCTCAAGTTTATTATATCCATTCCATTGATCGTTTATTTTTCCTTTTGGTTGATTTTGCAGTATAGTGGATGCACCCTATGATACATCAGCAGAGGCAGACTTGCTCTATTCACTTATAACTAAAGCCAAATTTGAGAATAACCGATACCAAAAGCCAAAGAAGCAACCCAAAAAATCAAGCCAGCATGTCGATTGGTTTTAACATTTGGATTCATAGCAAGGCATTGCTAGATATCAGCTGCTGCTGAGGAACCTTGTATCTCAATTCTCTGAAACACAAGAAGAATATAAGCTACTTACAATTTCGGATGTTTTTTGTTTCATTTTATTCCATCCTCTTTCGTATGATTTCAGCAGAGGCAATATTTCTTGCAGTGTTGAAATGCAACAGGCTTGTTTTCCTTGTGTAAACAAGTTTATCTAATCAAACTACTTTTGGGCTTGCTGAGATTTTATTGTTTACGGTATTTGTTTGTTGACCGAATTGACTTGATGTAAACTAGAGAAATTTGGTTGAACCACGAAAATCTGATGAGCCAAAGCCAATTTTTCTATAATTTGTCAAGTCATACATAAATGGTTAATTTTAGCTTTAATTTTGATTTTTGGATTAAATATATCAATTTTTATTATAAGTTTCGACAAAATAATATTTTTATGACCAATGGTTGAAGAAATTTTGTCCTTGGTTCTAATTCATTTTTTTTTTATATTTTAAAATTTTATATTATTACCTTATTAGCTTCTTTTTAATTTCTACTTTATCAATATCTATCTATATTGTTGTAAAGGAGATTTTTTTTTTCTTTTTTAGGTCGAGCTCCTTTTTTTGTTTTTATTTTTCAAGATTATCATTACAAATCAATCGCTCAAATATGTAAAAATAGATGTAAAAGCATAACATAATAAATGCATCTTATTGTGCATTCAAATATTTAAAGATAAATATTGAAAAAGATAAATATATATATATATATATATATATATATACATACATATATATATATATTGGTGAATAATTATAAATGTATTTACACTCCAATTACCATTTTCTTTCAATACTTCATGATTTTTTATTATTTATAAATCTATCTATTATTATTTCAAAGGGGATTGCTCTTTTTGTCTCCAATTTTTTTTTTTATTTCAAATTTCAATTATACGAGTTATTTAATTGTTTAATCAAATACAAATATTACAAAAGGATAAAAATATAAATGCGATTTACTTTTGCAAATTACAATTGTAATTGCTTTCAAACATTTCTCAGTTTTTCATTATGTAATTACATTTATTTCATTTAAGTAATTATAATTGACTTAATATAGTCTTAATATTCATATATTTTATTATTGAAAAATTAGAACATGTATATATAGAAATTAACAAATACGTAGTTCGATCAATATAAAAAATTCAACCAAAAATACTAATAATAATTATAAAAAATTTAGAGTACATAGATAATTAAACTAATCAAATTATTTTAATATAATAATACAATCTTCATATATAATTATTTATTTATTCGATGAAAATTATTAAATCTTTTTACAGATTGTGTTTGGTTTTAAAATAATGGGTAATATTTTTTTTATATTGCATATGAAAAATATTACCTTTTAAAAAATATGAGCGTAGGAGATATTACTTTTTTTATATAATATAAAAAATATATTATTCCGAGAGATTTTTGCTGTTGTCTATTGCGGGCCTGGGCCTGGCCCGGTCCGAGTTATTTGTTGATATGATTAGCCGTTGGAAAACAGCTGCATTCATTGTCCCATCCCACAATTCAAACCCTTACTGAGCAGTGAAGTGACCGTTATTTTAACCAGTGGAGCAGTAAAGAAAATTCTCTCTCTCTCTCTCTCTCTCTCTTTCTCTCTCTCCTCTTTCTTCTCTCTCTAGCTCACCACAGAAAGAGTGTTCATTTGGCAATTCTGTAATATTTCTTCTTCGAGATCTCCCTTGTCCAAGTCATGGACGGTGCTCGCTCTTTCCTTCATTTCCATTCTTTCTTCTCATTTTGCTTTATCTTTTAACGAATGGGTGGTTCTTGCAGATCCAATAGTTGAAATGCTCACTGAACAATTTAATCGTTTTGTTATTCACTGCAATTTGAAGCCATCCTCAGGTTTCTATTCTTTCATTTATTGCAGGTTCTTTTCCAATTTTCAAATTAAAAAAAATTAGTAATTATTGGATTATTTGTTTAATTTCAGAACCAATAGTAGCAGATAAAGCTTGTGAAATAGGTTTGTCTTCTTGATACCACTCTGTGTTTTAATGTCATCTTTATTTTTTTTAGTAACAAATATTACCACTCTACGAGATTATTTTTCTGCAAAAGGTCCCTTCCCTACCTTGTCCTTAATAGTCTTCCTTTTATTGTTATTATTGTTGGTATAATCAGTTTAGGAATGCATACATGAGTTACTTATTGAATCATTTTTTGTTCAAATTTCCCAAATCAGTTTCTGTTTACACGTACACGTTCATTTTGTGTGGTGGTAAAACCAAGTATATTTGAAAAAGAGAAAATGATTTGGGATTAAGATTTGTTGTATCTGATAAAATAAAAAAGAAAGTAAAAGATTCTTAACTCGGGAAACTAGTTTTCATCTTTGCTTCTGCTATCTGCTCCTTTTTTTTAAAAAAAAAAAAAAATTGGTATATATTCAGATAATGCATCAGTGCAATTGAACGAGACCACTGACAACATGGATGAGAATAGTGTGTCCAATGAAATTTCTCCCGATCAGGGTCATACACTCCCAATATTGAAGAAAATCCTCGACTTGAGTACCGAAGTTCAGGTAAATTTTGAATGTTGGTTAATGTTTTGATCAAACTAAAGAATCAAGATCCTTCCAAACATTACTTCTAATCAAATTCCTTCCATTTATTGCTTTTGTTAATGTTGGTTTTCATGCATCAGAGTGTATCAGAATTCGAAGAAACAACATGTGACCCTAAATTTTGAATGTTGGTTAATGTTTTGATCAAACAAAACGATCAAGATCCTTCCAAACATTGCTTCTAATCAAATTCCTTCTGTTTATTCCTTTTGTTAATGTTGGTTTTTATGCTTTGACGGTATCAGAATTTAAAGAAACAACATGTAGCCCTATCTGATGAAGTGAAACTCACAACCGAGTCCTTTCCAGGCCTAGATGTTTTAAAGTCAGTTCAGCTTCTTGGTAATGCTCTAACATAAACATAAAATTGAATATAATCTCTAGCTGTTCATGGTTATTTTATGCTAGGTTTTCATCTTTATGTCTGTCATTAGGTTCTGAATATGAAATCTTGAAAAGAAAATACCTGGCGGAGTCCTCTGAGCGTAGGCGGCTTTACAATGAAGTGATTGAACTCAAGGGTAATGTCAGAGTTTTCTGCAGATGTAGACCATTAAATGAAAGTGAAATTGCAAATGGAACAGTGGCATCTGTTGTCAATTTTGAGTCATATCCTGACGAGCTTCAAGTCATTTGCTCTGATTCTTCTAAAAAGCATTTTAAATTTGATCATGTATTCAGACCTGAAGATAACCAAGGTAAATGAGAAGTTAGAACTTTCTGTTGGTTTAGTTTCTATTAAGAAATTTCTTTCATAGTTTGGCTAATGATTAGTTGTGATTGTATTAATTATTTTATTGTGCAGAGGCTGTTTTTGCACAAACAAAACCTATTGTTACATCAGTGTTGGATGGGTTTAATGTTTGCATTTTTGCATATGGCCAAACGGGAACGGGCAAGACATTTACAATGGAGGGAACACCAGAGCATAGGGGAGTTAACTATAGAACCCTGGAGGAATTATTTCGGATATCTCAAGAGAGACATGGCATAATAAAATATGAATTGCTAGTTAGCATGCTGGAGGTTTACAATGAGAAGATAAGAGATCTCTTGGCGGAAAACCCTGCCGATCCTACTAAGAAGTGAGTTTTCATTCTTCTTTAGTTATACTATAATTAGCATCTTAATTTTAAGTTTTGAGATTGTAAATAAAATAGCCACTCTCACATTATGCTAATGAAAATAAAATCTGAGAGTGCCAGACGAAATTGCTTTGCAAGATAGAGATGCTGATAAAAAAGAACTTGTAACTTTTCTGAAAGACCTTATGACTTCAATTAATTATCTCTGCATCTGTCTTCTCTGGTAGCATATGAGTTTGCTTATAGAAGTTAAACCCATCAATGTCGTAATCTTGCTCTTTTCCTCCCCGTGTGTGTTGTCTATCCTTCAGCATGAAACTTTGATGTTCTAAATGTTTCTCAAATAGTGGAGAACAAATAATAATCTTTATCTATTGAAATGAAGGTTGGAGATAAAGCAAGCAGCAGATGGGGCCCAAGATGTCCCGGGACTTGTTGAAACTCGTGTTTATGGAACAGAGGATGTGTGGGAAATGCTGAAGTCTGGAAACCGGGTCAGATCAGTTGGATCCACCAGTGCCAATGAACTTAGCAGTCGTTCTCATTGGTATGTCTTGGTTCTTTCAGATAAATGGATTTTGCGTTAGCACTTTTTTTATTTTTTAGTGTTTAAATATTTCAATCATATAACTAGCAAAGATTTTTTCTTGAATATGACATATTTAAAGTTGGCAGAAGCAAAATTCTTTGTATCAGTAAACTATTAAAATATTTGAATGAAATTATTGGCAATTTTGAAGCTATGGTAAAAGTTTTCCTTGGTAACCAAGAGGTCCCCGGATTTCCCTCACCCTTTACCCTCGCTTGTCTGAGGTTTCATGAGAGTGATTTTAAATTATTGGGCAAGTTGGCAAGGTATAGATATTACTTGTACATATTTTATGATGACAAAGAGGTGGTTCAACATGCAGTCTATTGCGAGTAACTGTTGTGGGGGAGAATTTAATCAATGGCCAGAGAACAAGGAGTCACCTTTGGCTAGTAGACTTAGCTGGCAGTGAGCGTGTGGGGAAAACTGAAGCTGAAGGAGAAAGGCTGAAGGAATCTCAATTCATAAATAAGTCTCTCTCAGCACTTGGAGATGTTATTTCAGCCCTTGCATCCAAATCAGCCCACATACCTTACAGGTGATTTTCTTTTATCTCATCTCTAATGTACATTCCTACATAATGATTCTTTTTCTCGTTAATATTTATGTTCTTCATTTTTCTTTTTCTTTTTCTTTTTCTTTTCCTCTTTTTTTTTTGAGACAGAAACTCGAAGCTCACTCATATACTCCAGAGCTCTTTAGGTGAGGATTCATTTTAACACTGCTCCTTTGGGGATGGACTCCTGCTTGATTTGATTTAGAACCAAATCTTGGATTAAAAGCAAAGATCCAATTGCAATTTCACTGCTGTTTTATTATTTAAAAGGTGTTTTGGTGTGTTCCTTTTCTCTTTATGAATTTTTGTGTTGTTGATCTGGGATTGAAATGTAGGAGGAGATTGCAAAACTTTAATGTTTGTCCAGATAAGTCCAAGCACAGCAGATTTAGCAGAGACACTTTGTTCATTGAATTTTGCCACACGTGTTCGAGGAGTTGAGAGTGGCCCAGCCCGCAAGCAAGCAGATCTCACTGAGCTGTTTAAGTACAAGCAAGTGGTATGCTACAGTCTAATTGTTCTTTTAATAAGAATGACCGAGAATTTTTTAATAATTTATATTTTTTTGAGGGGTGGAATGGTGTATAAATAACCGTGATTTTTTTGTTTCTTAAAACTGGGAATTTCATCACAAACAGGCAGAAAAATTTAAACACGATGAGAAGGAAACTAAGAAATTACAAGATAACTTGCAGACCGTGCAAATGAGACTTGCTGCAAGGGAAGTCATGTGGCGAAATCTTCAAGAAAAGGTATAACTATGACTTGTGTCATACATTTCATTAACTCTGAGAAGGTGTCAATTATATATGGTTCTCTATACCTAGTTTATGTACGCAGTATTTTTTACAGGAACTGCTATTATTAATTCGTTCAGTTTGAAAATATATTACTCATTAAATGTGGGGTTAAATTTTAAAAGGTTCGGGACCTTGAGAACCAGTTAGCAGAGGAGAGAAAAATCAGATTAAAGCAAGAAAGTAGATCACTAGCTGTTGTTTCAGCTCAATCTTCAACGGTGGCGTCATTAAAACACACAGAAGCTCAGAAAATGATAAAGAAGCCACCACTGAATCCTTCAAAAAGACCTCCGCTGAGAAGAATTACTAATTTCTTGCCTCCACCATCTGAAAGAATGCCCTCTCTCATGGATGTAAAAGAAGACATTGCCAGAACGACCTCAGTGACTACTACAAATACAGAAGGCCGGGCGAAACCAAGAAGAAGGGTATCCATTGCTGTGAGACCACCCTCTTCCATGGATGGAAAGGAAAACATTGCAAGAACAACCTCAATGACAACTAATCTGGCGAAACAAAGAAAAAGGGTATCCATTGCTGTGAGACCACCACCTGCACCATCAACAACACAGGTCATCCTTCAACCTAGAAGGAGAGTTTCCATGGCTACACCTCGTCCTGAGTCAAATTCTGACATGACAACTCCACTCCGTACCTCTGTCTCTCAACCTCAATCCAATGGTGGAAGCAGCGTTCAGCAATCACTGATAATAAGGAACCAAAGGAAAGCTCGGTATTCAAAGTTGTTTGCCCCAATGCAAGAAATGAGAACATCAGTGGAGACAACGCCAACTTTGATGAGGAGTAGCAGAAAGTTTATGGGTAGTCCAACACAGGTTGATTCGCGGATGACTAGGCATCCAACTATTCTTGCACTGCAACGCAAATCTTTAGTGTGGAGTCCTCTCAAGCTGAGAGGCCTTAAAAATAGCAGAAAGTCTTCCCTTTTGCCGTCTCGGCCTTCCACCGAAATGCAATGATCTTTGTTTTCTCAAACAATGACAAATACTCGTGCTTACAAGTGCTTAAATCAAATCCTTGCAGGTTTTTCAACCCAAAATTGATAAAAATAAAAATCCTTGCAAGTTTAAAATTTAAGTAAATAATGTTTATGTGTTGGTTTTATAAATTCATTTTCTTTTAATAAAATCTTGATTACCATCCTTCGTTTATTCTAGTACATGTTCATGTTTATGTTCATTGTTCAATCAAATTTCTGATCCTGTGTAACCAGTTCAGTTCATCATTTTCTCAATTGTTTTTTTTATCGCCCTCCGATAACAGCATCTCAGATTTGGGATGCATAAAAATTGTATTCAAATTTAATCAAAAATAAAACAAGCTCAAGTGCTCAACGTTAACTTTTCCAATTGTTCAGTGAAACAATAATCCCTATCCGTTTCTGGTATGCTTGAAATAAACGTTTCCACCATTGTAAAATATACAACTCCAAAATACCAAAAAAAAAAAAAGAAAGAAAAAACTGTTGCGTGCATATAACCAAAATATGATTAAAAACCCAAATCGATGCAGTATTTTAGCATCCTGTGATACTATCTTCTTTGTTTGGGTACACTCATATCTATACTAGTATCAATACGTAAAATAAGGGAACAATCATTTTAGTTTTTTTTTTTTTTGGATAGACAATCATTTTAGTTAAAACAAAGGGGAAAGTACTTCTTATGTGACTGCAGAAGGGAAAATTTGCAGCAACAGAGGATACGCGTCCGAATCCTGGATTTTTTTTGTTTTGATAGGATCCACACGTGTATCCTAGGATCCGCACGTGTATCCTAGTGTTAAAAATTTACTGCAACTTTTCTCATCAGCACCAACACGAGAACCGACGGATCCTGAAACAAAACATAATGGTTCAATAACGTAGCCGTTTCCTTCGTTTCCTAAGGATGGACTCGACCGTTGCAAAAGAGAGGACGTTACCCTGTCATTTCAAGAAATAGAGGAACACAGCAGAGGTTTCTAATCAAGTCCCCACAACCTTCGGCTTCAAAATTTCAAGTCAAAGTCAAAAGCGCACCAATTGTGTCTATTTCTTCGTCACCCATAATACCCACAAGTTTAAGAAAGAAAAGCATCAAAATTACGTGGATCTTTCTCTCCTTCAAGACTGGTAACAAGATTAGTTTTCACCATTGAAGTGCAAGAAAGCTGTACACCAAAGTGATGGATTAGTAAGCGGACTGAAACAGCGCCCACCATCAACCCTGCAAATCCCTGCTATGAGAATTTAATAACATATTATTTGAGAAAATATTATACTTACAAACATTTTGTTTATAAACACACTATTACAAATTAGAGTATATGACTAAATAAGAATCTATGACCGATTGTATAAACGGATCCTTCCCTTATTATTATATGCTAATACTATTACTTCATTTCAACCAATTCTTTAAATTGTTTTTTTAATGTGTTTTTTTTTATATCAAACGTCCCTAGTTTTTTTTTTTTTTAAACGCCAAGAATATGCTGATCTTTATTCAAACTTCCAATTTGCTAAAAAATAGTGTTAGCTTCCAAACTCCAAAGAGCTCACTGCTCACCTATTTTCAGCTATTTCTACTTTTTGGTTGGTATTTTCAGTTATTTTCCTAAGAAACGTTTCCAGTACGTTGTTAATCAGCTTTAATTTCGGGGAAATGTAATTTTTATGTTGCAAGATTGTTGTTTTACAACAATTAATTAAAATTATGTATTTTCAGAAATACATTATAATAATTGTAAAGCCATTTTTATTTTTCTCTTTATGTCAACAGGCAATTTTTGAAAACACAAAAAATAAAAATAACTTTAAAATTATAACAATCTCTTCTTATAATCGATTGTTACAATTTTTTTTTTTTTTGCAATAACATAAAAAAGGGACCTTTAATTTTATATTGAAAACAGCTACAGTCTTCGTTTGGATGCTTGAGAGAAAATGAAAGAAAAGAAAATAGAGAAAAGAGTAAATAAATCAATGTTTTCCCTTCGTTTTGATCCATTTTTACGTTATTTTATACTGTATCGTATAATTTTTTTGTTTGTTAAATTACTTTATTATGCGATAAATAATAAAATGAAAATTTTATTAATAAGACTTTTTTAATTGTAATGAATATCTTATTACAAATAATTCCGACAATCTCAATAAAAAAAAAGCATTCACTTATTAAAGAGATAGTGCCATTTGATAATTTTGTTTGAAAAATATTCATCATTTTAAATGATATAATTTCATATTATTTTAATTAAAACTAATGTGTCTTGTTGATTTTTTATTTTATCTTTCATCTACAAAATCAGGAGAGAAAAAAGAAAATATTATGAAAAAGAAAGAAGATACAAAATTATCAAAACACCATAATTTTATTTAAAATAATATAAAATTATATTCTTTAAAACGAGAAGATTTTTTTTTTATATTTATCAATATAAGTGTCTTGTCAAGAGAAATTCCGTATTGCAGGAGTAACAAATCAGACAGCAATTATCAATGTAAAAAAAATTACTACAAGAAAAAGAAGACAGATACAGGCGGCAAAAGATTTGTAGGCAATATTGCGCGACCCAAGACTGATTATTTCTATTTTCATAATACAAAAGGGCATAAACTTGAGACGGGCATTCATCTATCAACCCCAAACGAAAAGTAAAAATTTTCAAGCAACTCCGGTAGAAAAAGCTTTACATTGCACAACAACACGGACAAGCTGAGCATGTGACATATGACGTCAAATAGCAGAACGGCCAAATCGGATATATATATATATATATATAACATTAATTAACCCAACAAAACTGCAGCAACACGTGTTTGCAATCCCAGTGGCTAATAAGATCCATTCACGAAGGCAGGATGAACGCTATGCCCACAATCTTATTAGCTGGGAGAAGCAAATCTTGTCCGCTCTCTCTGCCGAAAAGCTTGATCCTTTGGTGAAGATGTCTTTCCTCCCATACCAGCTTGGCGCATCATTTCTGCAACGTTTGTCCAAGTCACATGTAAATAAATGAAGTATACCAAATGCTGCTAGTGTATTTTTACAGATATGATAACAGCAAACGAAAGATACAAAACGAAGGAATAAAGTGGATATTTCATTATCATATCTCTACAGTAGCCTAAAGGTTCCTGTTATATAGGAAGATACAAAATAACTAACTTCCGTAAATTACGCAAGTGAGAAGAAAAATAGTACAAACAGAAAACGTGACTGATATCAGAAAAAGCAACTAACTGAATAAATAAAAATCTTTTAATACCCCCCCTCAAGATGGAGAGTGGATATTTGTGATTCTCATCTTGGAAAGAAGAAAGGTGAATTGTGTCGGATGCAGAGCCTTGGTGAATAAGTCCGCAAGTTGATTGGAAGAGGCAACAGGGAATGTTTGCAATGAGCCTTTGGAGATATGTTCTCGGATAAGATGACAATCAATTTCGATATGCTTTGTGCGCTCATGGAAGACAGGATTTGCAGCAATATGAGGAGCAGCCTGATTATCACAGAAGAGGTGAGCAGGAGAGGAGTGAGGAACACGAAAGTCATGCAGCAGAGAGAAAAGCCAAATAACTTCACAAGTGGCATTAGCCATGGATCTATATTCAGCTTCGGCAGAGGATCTGGAGACAGTAGACTGCTTCTTTGACTTCCAAGAAATGGGAGAGTGACCAAGGAAAGCACAAAAGCCAGAAATTGAACGACGTGTGTCAGGACAACTGGCCCAGTCTGAATCAGAGAAGATGTTGGGCTGCACGGCAGAATCAGAGGAGAGGAGAATTCCTTGACCAACAGTATGCTTGAGATATTGGAGAACACGATGGGCAGCCTGTAAATGTGGAACACGTGGAGCAGACAAAAACTGACTGAGACGATTAACAGCATAGGATAAATCTGGACGAGTAAAAGACAGGTAGATCAGTCTGCCAATGAGTCTTCGAAAAGGAGTAGGATCCGGAAGCAAATCACCAGTGTGTTGAGAAAGATGCAAATTTGGTTCCATGGGAGTAGGCTTGGGCTTGCAACCTGAGAGACCTGTGTCATGAAGAATGTCAAGTATGTATTTGCGCTGACTTAAAAAAATCCCTTTAGAAGACCGAGCCACCTCAACACCAAGGAAGTACTTGAGAGCACCAAGATCTTTCAACCTGAAACAACTATCAAGGCTAGAAATAAACTCTCGAATTGTATTAGAATCATTGGATGCAACAATAACATCATCAACATAAATAAGTACAGCAAGCATAACTGATCCAGAAAACTTCAGAAACAGTGAATGATCAGTTGCAGATTGAGTAAAGTGCATAGAGAGCAAAGTGGAACTCAGCTTCTGGAACCACTGACGAGACGCCTGTTTGAGGCCATAAAGAGACCGGCGTAAATGGCAAACCGGATTCGGAGGAAGAGAGGTGTAATAATCAGAATAACCAGGAGGCAGTTTCATAAAAACCTCCTCAGTGAGATCCCCATGCAGGAACGCGTTGTTAACATCCAATTGATGAAGATACCACCCATGGACAGCAGAAAGAGCAAGGAGGAGACGAATGGTGGTATGCTTAATGACAGGCGAAAAAGTCTCAAAATAATCGATACCTTCTCTTTGATTGAATCCTTGAGCAACAAGACGAGCCTTATACCTTTCAAGGCTACCATCAGCATTGCATTTAACACGATAAACCCACTTGCACCCAATTGGGGTCTTTCCAGGGGGTAGTGAAACAACATCCCAGGTACTGTTTTGTTCAAGGGCAAGAAGTTCTTGTTGCATGGCAGAACACCATTCAGGTAATTGGGAAGCATGAGAATAGGTAGGGGGTTCATAGTGTGTGGATATGGTGTTGACAAAAGCCAAATGAGCAGGGGATAAACGATGATAGGATAAGGAATTGGACATGGGATGGGCTATGGTAATGGTACAGGCATAATCTTGAAGGTATTTAGGAGGATGAGAAATTCGGGAAGGGCGAGGGGGTAAAGCAGCAATGGTGAGTTGAGTGGGAAGAGATGATACAGGGACAGAATCGAGGGGTGTGGAAGAAATAGGAGAAGAAGTGAAAGGAAAAACAGATTCAAAGAAAACAACGTCCCTGGAAATAAAGACACGATTAGAGTTGAGATCCAGGAGCTTGTAACCTTTGTAACCAGAGGGGTAACCAAGGAAAACTGCTGGTAAAGCCCGAGGGGAAAACTTGTGTCTGGTACGTGTAAGAGTAGAAGCATAACAAAGGCAGCCAAAGGAACGAAGGTGAGAGTATTTGGGGGACTGATTATAAAGGAGAGTGAAAGGTGTATTATTAGACAGAACAGGGGAAGGTGTGCGATTGATGAGATAAACAGAAGTAGAAACACAGTCCTGCCAATAGGGAAGAGGAATATGGGACTGAAAATGGAGAGCACGAGCAACATTGAGGATGTGTTGGTGTTTACGTTCAACCACAGAATTTTGTTGTGGTCTGTCAACACAAGAGTGAAAAACAACAATACCTTTTGTGGAAAGAAAAGAAATGTTGAATTCTGGAGCGTTATCACAACGAATGGACTTAATAGGTAAGTGAAACTGAGTGGAGATGAAATTATAAAAGGTGATAAAATTAGAGGAAAAATCAGATTTCTGATTAAGAAAAAACACCCAAGTAAATCGAGTACAATCATCAACCAGTGTAAGGAAAAAACGACAACCATCAACAGAGACAGGGGTAAATGGTCCCCAAATGTCACAATGAATTAAGTCAAAAGGTTTTGCAGATAAAGTGGGATGTAACAGAAACGGTAGACGCCTTTGTTTAGCCAAAGGACAAACAGCACAATGAAAATTATCAGAAAAAGAACCAAGATGTAAACAATCTTTCATTGATGATAAAACCGGTAAAGACAGATGGCCTGGTCTAGAGTGCCACAAGGCAACATTCTGGGAAATTACAGAAAAACAAAGGGGAGGGGGGACATGATTGTGGGGAAGAAGAGCAGCTGCATCAAGGATGTATAAGCCGCAGACCAGATTAGCAATCCCAATCATTTTGCCCGAGAGACGTTCCTGGAGAAAACAATGAGAAGACAGAAAATGAGCAACAACATCAAGATGACGAGTAAGAGCCCCAATACTCAAAAGGTTAAAAGAAAAAGCAGGAACGCATAAAACATCAGTGAGAACAAGGCAATCAGAAAGAACGCAAGAACCCTTAGAAGTAACTGGGACCACAGCACCGTTGGGAAGAGATACGGTGGAATCAGCGACTGTAAGGGAGGAGACCGATGAAAGAGGAGCACATGAGACATGATGAGTGGCCCCTGTGTCGAGAACCCAGCAAGAAGAAGGCAAGGAAGAGGGAAACTCACCACTGAAGCTTGCAACGGTAGGATTGATGTCAATCTTAGGTGAAGCAGACTGGGTTGAAAAAGAGGGAGAGTTAGGTGGCGAAGAGATGAGGGTGAGGAGTTGCTGGCATTGATGTGGCGTGAAATTAGGGAAAGCTGAGGGTGAGTCAGAGGCAAGTGAAACGGTAGCGTTGGAGTGAGGAGGCAAAGTGGGCCTAGGTGGTTTGGGCCGATACCCTGGTGGGTATCCATGCAACTTGAAGCACTTGTCCTTGGTATGGCCCACAGTATTACAGTGAACACAGAAAGGGCGCTGACGGCGAGGGCCTGCACTAGTAGCAGCAGCAACGGACGGCGGTGAAACAGCCGAAGACAATGGAGCAACATCAGGAACCACCGGAACAGAGGACGTGATTTCGCGCTGTCGTTCCTCTTGTAACACCAAGGAGAAAACCTTGGACAAAGAGGGAAGGGGATCCATGAGAAGGATCTGAGCCCGAATCGAAGAGAAAGATTCATTTAACCCCATCAGAAATTGCATAGCACGATCCTGATCACGATCACTGTTGATGGAGCGTAAAGCCCCACAAGTGCAAGCATAAGAGGGAGAGTAATCCAGGAGCTCATCCCACAGTATTTTCAAACGAGTATAATATGTGTTGATTGAGAGAGCACCCTGTTGCAAAGATGAAATCTGAAGTTTAAGATGAAAAATACGGGGACCATTCGCTTGGTGAAAACGATGGCGGAGATCAGACCAAATGTCATAAGCATTAATGAAATACATCAAGCTATCAGCGATGTCTTTGGAAACAGAATTAAGAAGCCAGGAAATCACCATGGAATTGCAGCGATTCCAGGCTTGAAACAAAAGATGGTCCTGAGAAGGACGAATGATAACACCATCAACAAAGGATGACTTGTTCTTAGCAGTCAGAGCTATAAGCATAGCTCTAGACCAGGAAATAAAATTCGAACCACTGAGTGAGTGAGTGACTAGTATCAAACCGGGATGATCACCATTACTAAGGTAGTAAGGACTACTGGTGTCATGAACGGATTGTACATTAGTAGAAGAGGTACCACCAATAGGATTAGAGGTGGTAGAGGTATTAGTATTACCACCGCCACGAGCCATTGAAAAAGGCTAGGACAGGGAAAAAGGAAAGGTCAAATCTGATACCATTTTACAGATATGATAACAGCAAACGAAAGATACAAAACGAAGGAATAAAGTGGATATTTCATTATCATATCTCTACAGTAGCCTAAAGGTTCCTGTTATATAGGAAGATACAAAATAACTAACTTCCGTAAATTACGCAAGTGAGAAGAAAAATAGTACAAACAAAAAACGTGACTGATATCAGAAAAAGCAACTAACTGAAGAAATAAAAATCTTTTAATATGTATTATGTTTCGTTTATCTAAATTTTTCAATTATGCACGACAGACAAAGACAACTTCGAAGCCCCATCCGAAAAAGGGGCAAAATATTATATGCATGTAATTATATATAACTTTATGTCAAATTAGTACTACTAAAAAGAAGCAAGTAACAAGTTGAAAAACTTCTAACCTCGTTTTCTCTCAAGCTCCTGGTCGAGCTCTTCTTTCCACTTCCTCTGTCTTTCAGAAAAGTTTAAACTGCAAGTATAACATCTTGTAGTTAAACTACTCTATATTCTTTTTAAGAAAATTGATGCTGAGAAAACCAAAACAGGGCAAAGAATTAATACAAACAAACCTTGGGCTACGGGGCTCCTGTTGGGAGTCAACTGTCAGTCCTTTCCATTCATTAAGGGGAGATGCTGGAATATCCTGTGAACCATGGTTATTTACATTCCCAACAGTTGATGAGGACCTGCCATTACTTCCAGGACTTCCAGCATTGTCAACTGCTTTAGACGGAGTGCTAATTGGTACCCGACTTGGTGACCTGCTTTTAGGAGGTAATTTCAAGTATTTTCTAGCAGCAGTGTCATCACTTGTGCTTTCAATGACATTGGGAGAACAAGATGTATTTAAGCTGTTGTAAAACTCTTCATATAAAGGTGTCTGCAGTTTTTTCAGTTCAAGAGCCTGCCATAAACGCATACGGTCATCATTAACAAAGCACAGCAGAACGACTAACTCATTCCAAGGCAGAACGACTAACTTATTCCAACTATAAGGAATACCTTCTCATCCAAAAACGCTTTAATTTTTGACTCTGTGAGCTCATCATCTTCTTCTGACAGAGATGGCGCACATGGAAAGGAAAATTCTCTCTGCCTCTTATTAGCCCCCGACTGACCAGGTGGCATGTAAGTTTCATCAGTGTCAAAACTAACTCCTCTATTTTCCAGTTCTGGACTTGCATCAAATTTACAGCCCCAATCATCAGAGGGGTCAGACATCGGGTTGAAACTCTACATTAAAAAGAAAAGTTTTTGAGAAGTCATTAATTTCATATTTAAACAAAATAATAGGAAAGGGATCAACTTATATCACGGTAAAAATAAGAACTCTTACACCAATTATTAACCCTTGATTCCACTTGCATCAAACGGCTCTAATTTATTGGAGATGGAAATTCACGTGAACCGTAAGATGCAAATAGAATCAACTAAGAGTTCTTATTTGTACACTGGTTTGAGTTTGATTCTTCCCCAAAATAAGGACCTCTATACAATCACCTCAATATTATCTGACATCAATGATTTGTATTTGACATCACTCTCGGAGAACTCTTCTTTGTCATCAATCTCACACATGTCATCATCATTGCTCATTCCCCACGACTGTTTATTTCCCGAGTCCTGAGGATTTACAGTTGAGCGGCAAAGGCTACATAAATCACAAAAATTTGTTAACCATGATCATATTATCATTTCGCTAGCATCAACAAACAATCACATAATAAACTACCAAATCTTACAAGTTCAAGAAAGAATGTTTCAACACTTACAAGGATTCAACATTTGGGGCGCATGATGGTGAAGAAGCTCCAGAATTTTCCTGTCCGAAGCAAAAGTTATTTTTCTTAAAATTCAGTTTAATTTATAAATACATACAGCAGCATCTTAAATACCACTTGAATTATACATACCACGGCAGTAGATGACAGAGGAAGAGAATCCATAGGTTCACCAGTAACAAAGGGATGCTGCAGCCAATTACAAACTTAAAGCTAATCTTTGGGAGAACTGAATAGTTCTTGCAAAACATTGATAATAATAAAGTAGACTCCACTACTAATCAATAGCAGTTCTAACTTAAAATGTTCTAGCTTTCATATGCAAAGTCAAAAGAGAAATGCTCATAGAATCACCTGCAGCAATTCCGACGCTGATGGCCTCAAAATTGGTTCCCTACAAAAGGATTATATTTTTATGTGACATTTGTAATCTAATAATTAACATTTTAAAGGAAATCATAGTAGGCATATGCTCTCTCTCTCTCTCTCTCTCTCTCTCTCTCTCTCTTACACACACACAAATTAAATATTAAAACTCTTCTCTCTTCTTTTTACAAATTAGTTGACGTTATAAAGACATACTTAGAATCTCTCTCCCAACCCCCTTTCCCACCCCCACTCCACCAAAAAAAAAAGCTCTGTAATGTTTAGCATAATCAATTTTCCAGAACTTATTTTAAGAGATAAGAATATATTGACGCAACAAAACAGAGTAAAACTAATTATGAATTCATGATAGAAGGAAAGCACGAGACAATTAAAAGTAACATACTTCTGCAAACATTTTAGCAGAAAATCTTTTGCTGCAATGGAGAGATGATCAGGGATTGGCGGATGAGACTTGGTTGTCCCTATATGGAAGAGAGCAGCAACCTGAAGGTCCATTCTTTAGTAAAAGTTCAGAGAGAAACTCAAACAGAATTTAAAGAGTCGACATAAGATACCTCTTGTTGGTATTGCTGGCTCCAGGGAGGCTTTCCCGTGGCCATCTCAATTACAGTACAACCCACGCTCCATATGTCAGCAGAGCTGAAAAAGCATCAACGTATGAAAGCATCTACATTTAGTTTCAAAGGATACACCATCACAAAAAGATATTATACACATACGTAGAAGAACTTAGCAAAATAAAAATTAAGCAAGGCCCCAAGCACATTATATAAGAAGCTCCAAATAAAATTTCAAAGGCAGAACCCTTGATCTTGAATTCATCTATAACATATAACTATCTCTTCGAGACAAGGCAACTAAGTGGCATAGGGTAATAACTCTGCTTCAAATTGCTTAGGACGAGAAACTTTAAAAGTTAGCCTATGAATCTTCCTGAAAATTCCTGCAGCTTACTTTTATATCCTGAGTAAAGACTTATATTTTCTAGTAGAAACCATCATTGTATAATTAAGGCACTACTAATGCAGCTCTAGATATACAAAACTGTGGCATAGAATGGTCAACACTTGGAACCATAAACCAGTCAGTCTCACCTAGTATACCAACTGACATCTAAACAGAAGAAACATGCAGTTTTAATCATTTCAAAGCATATTAAACCAGAGGAGTATATCATAAATATGTAAAGAGGGTTAATGTCCTTACAAGCTATGCCCAGTCTGGAGAATAACTTCAGGAGCCATCCAATATGGAGTACCCTTCATAGACTTGGCACCGGAAATGGTAGCCTAGAGCAAAACAATACACCTCTTAAACAAATATGCAAATGGAAGAGCCTTCACAAAGGTAAAGCAGTATTCATAATAGTAGGGTAACAGGTAAGACTGATATTACCAGCTCAACGACCTGTTTGGATGCCCCAAAATCTGCAAGTTTTATGCACCCCAAATTATCTACAAGAATATTGGCCCCCTGAAATTAATTTATATTTCAACATGAGCCACCGAAAAAGAACCAGCTGACATGCATATCAATGACATTTTAAGAAAAACCACCTTAATGTCTCTGTGCATTATTCCATTTTTGTGCAAGTACTCCAGTCCAATTAGTAATTGCTTCGTGTAAGTTCTAATGACCTGTTGAATGAATTAGTGGAAATAAGTAGGCATATTGAATTACCAAAATAGAATAGTTCAGTAGCTAAAACTTACAGCCTCAGGGAAAGCTCCAAACTTCCCCAGTAGTGATGATATGGATCCACCAGAAACAAACTCTAGGAAAATATTTAAGGTGTCTTCTTCTCTGACAGTACCCAAATATCTCTGCAGCACAACAAAACTATTCACTCAAGAGATAGTTTGGGAGAACTAATTGGTTTATTAATAGAATACCACACTCACAACAATGTTGGGATGTGAAAGATCTTTAAGTAATTTAACTTCATCCTCAAGCTCTTTTACGTGAGCCTGTTAACAGTATGCAGAACATTAATCAGACAACAGCTCAAGAACTCTTCTAATTGAATTAAGATCTCAAAGATAATCGAAGCCCAAAATCTGAATCATGCCACGTTTAAGAAGAAAGAAACATAGCATTTATACAATCCCAGGTTGGAAGCATATAATATGGATTTACTTCCCTGCTTCTACAAGTCTCACGGTAACCTTGATATTTAAGATGACAAATAAAACTATAACATAAAAAGTGCAACGACATAGTTTAGAACAATTTGTAACATGCAAGAAGTAAAATCAAAGGTCTATAAGTCAAAACTATTATGTTTATTATTTGGAACTGTATTTACGAATGACTAAAAATAAATTGACTGTAATCAAATTGCTATAGTTGCTGCAATAAGAAGTAGTAGCACATAGAACTTAATCAAGTAACAAACCTGTGCCTTCTCCTTCGACGCACTACTGGACGCAATCAAAACCTGAAAAACCAGACAAGATAGAAAAATCAATTGAAGTTTTAAAGTTAAAACTACGACTAGTTCAAATAAAAGCGAACGCGAAAGATATATTGACAAGGAAAGGGCCGAAGAAAACGAGAGTATAACAAAGTCAAATCGGAAGAATCAAGGGAAAAGGAGAACCGAGACCAAAGAACCATAAAACAAATCCACTTCAAAATCAACAGAACGTAAAATCAGAAAGCCGAAATTAACAACGAAGAGAAAGAAGGCCAAGGAAGAGCGAAGAAAGGAATTGACCTGTTTAACTGCTAGAAGCTCTCCGGAATCAAGATTCATTCCAACGTATACTTGGCCAAAGGCACCGTAACCGATCAACTCGCCCTTGCGCCATCGGATCAGAGGCGCAGCGTCCTTGGAGATGGGCGGAGACGGCAGCGAGGGTTTGGAGAAGACTCTAGAATTGCGGATGCAATAACCGATTTTATCAACTAGGGTTCCTCCAACTCCGAGCGAGGGTTGGTCGTTCTCCGGCGATGCACGGAATACCAGTGATCGGCGAACTGATCCGACAATGTCTTGCATTTGTGATCTATTTCTATCTCTTTGCGAATCAGAGTGAAGAGTGAGCGAGTGAAGATTGAAACGCGATGCGAGAGACGTTGCGTCTGCAACTATAGAGGGAAAATGTACTTTTCAAAATTTGGTGAGATGCGAATAAAATAAATATCAATTTAAGGGGGCATTTTGTTAATTGTTTAGTTTTCTGTACTTCTTAGTTAATTTGGAACACTTCACTTTCCTTTTCACCCCTTTTTATAAACACGATGTCCAATCTTTGTTAAACTCATCATTATTATTGACTGGACTTTCTAATTTTACTGCCTCAAGTTTTCTTTTTAATAGCGAAGCCACGCCCACTCATACAACCATAAATAATTAATTATTCACGCTCTTTAACAACAAAATGTGTGTTTCGTTATTAGAAAATACTTAAAGTAAGTAATATATACATATATCAATGAACAAAGAAGAAAAAAGGCAACAATTGAATGGTACAAAATCTATTAATTAATTAAATTAAAGTAAGATGATAATTTAATTTCTTAAACTTCATCATTAAAAAATATTGTAATGTTTCTTTCATCCTTATTTTTACAATTAATGAAACAAGTCAAGGACATTTTAATCCATAATGATAAATACAGATAATCTATTATTTCTATTTTTAACTTTCATAATTTATTTCTTTTGGTATTCAACCCGTATCAATATGGTTCGAACACTGTAGGATACATATTGGATATAACTCTCTTGACATCATTTTTTCCATTTCAAGTCCAATTAGAAGATATTGTTGCATCATTTTGTTAATTTTAAAATATTAATTGATCAATATCTCTTGTATTTTTATTTTCATTTTTTTGCCAATAATTATATGCCATAATTAACATTATTTTCTTTACTATACATTTAGTTAAAAATTAAAGGTATTACCAATAAGGATGGGCATAATTGATTGAGAATTAGATTCATACCCTACAAATATGTGAGTTCAAATTTCGCTAGCCTATGTAAAGACCTTGTTGATGGGCAATCTGTAATTCCTTTTAGAAATCTTCAAAAAAGTTAAAGAACCTGCCCTAACCCTAATAGAATTCCGATATCTAACTCTACCTAAATTTTCTTTTAAAAAAAAATTAAAAGTATTAATGAAAAGGTTTCTTCAAATGAACTCAAGAAACTAGAAAGTTTCAGTAAAGCTCCATAAGAAATGAATGTTGCCTAACACTAAAAATTCAAAGTTGATGATTATGTCACAAGAAAAAATATGTGGAGAAATAAAGACAGAAAATTGTTGAGTTGTAAGAATGTCAATCAAATCCAAACATAGTTCCCTTGCAGCCACAAATGCATGTTTCTCTAAGCCGAATTTTGTCAATGCCCCATTCACACAAACATAAATTTATAGTTACTGAGTAATTAAAAAAATATATATGGTTACTATTATGTGATTCTATAGACTAGCAGTTACTTCGATATTGGGAACGGAATTATTTATTTATTTGTTATAATAGGGTCCATAAAATTTTATTTCAGTCAAAAAAGAACCAGAAGGTATGATACCAAAAGTTTAGTTTTGATGTATTGATAATAATACTTTTTCCTATTCAAAAGCCCAAATTCGAGCAGGTACATGCCCCCTAACAAGAGCAATTGAAATTGAATGCCAAAAGTTTCCTAGACATCATAAATAAGGACCCAACATAAACATCAATCAGTATGGGCGAGTATGTATATATGATGGGGCAAATGGCTATATGCTCAATTGTCGTGCCTAGCTCAAATCCTATGATCAAATTCCTGTAGTCACTAATTGGTATTTCATTCACAGCGCCTCTCCCATACGAATTCAGCACATAAACTATACAGACAAAACAAGCGAGGGGGCAACAAGCAAGAATGTGAAGCTCAAGTGCTATAGCACATTAACATGAAAATCATTAAATTCTGTCATGTATGATAGGCCGAGTGTTGTTCCAAAGCCATTGGCGAGCAGAGCCATCCAGCAATGGTGAAATCTGTGAGGCATCAAAGTAGTTAAAAAACAATCAACCTGATTCAACCATACAAGATTTTGAAATAGAAAATTGAGTGGGAGTATGCTTTAAAAGGAAAAGGGTAGAGGGTGTGGAAGTAAGGGAGCTAGCCAGATTGCACAATGCAGGACATCCTTTTGTTGTTGTTTTAGAGGGGGAAGGGATGGTTCCGTGGACTTGCCAAGGAGAGAGAGGATAGTCAGATAAACACAAGCATGCTCCGTGACTTTTAATATTCTTAAATTGCTAAGTGGCAGTGGGATCGAAATTTATATTTTAAAAAAAATATTAAGGACCATACTGGAAATTACAAAAGCATATCCAGATGAATTTCTCTCGCTTTAAACTTTAAAGCAAAGCAATGGATACAATATCATCCCAGAGAGAATGCATTTGTGTAAAAGATAGGGAAAAAGGACTAAAGGAGAACCAAAAGAAGAACAAGAAGAAAAAGAAAATCACGCAACACACTATAAGGCAAGTCAAATGTACCCAAAGGAACCAAAACAAATACCTTTTCCCAGACTAGTGAGTGGTAGTTGTTAAGCCAATCAACCTCTGCAACCGATAGCAGAGACAAATCAACCAATTTAATCTGCAAGATATGTCCAGGTTAATAACAAGTTTATGAAAGAATATATGACTCAGAATAAAACATTCTAAATTTCAGGAGAAACTGAGAAGAGTGAACGAAAATTGAAAGCAACACTTCAGGTCCTCAGGAAATATATTTCAAATATAAACAAGCATTCAGAACGGATGTGCAGCCAATTCTAATTAATGATAAATTTCCCAAAAATACTTTCGGTAATGCAGATAAAGAGAAAATAGATTAGTTCTAATTTCTGATTAGTATATTCACTATGCTTTTGTTTTATAGGATCAATATCCCATAAAAATGTCTCATAATTTATTGATAAAAAACTATTCACACTGAAATGTCAACCATCAGATAGGCCTCGAGGACCTCTTAAATAAAGGACATGAAACTAATATGTTAGTTGAGAAGCATATTCAGATCCAAATTTTATGGAGGATAAGCAATTCCACTGCCTCATGCAATTTAAACATCCTCAATTTCCTGATGTTGAACTACAACAAAGGTTTTATCTATCCCTCAAAAAATAAAATAAAATAAAATAAAAAAACCCAACAACCACAACAAAATATATATCAGGTGAGGGTGACCAACAGGCAACGGCATACCTGAATGGGTACATATGTAAGTTTTTCAAATCCTAGGTATTCAAATCCTCCAAAACGATTTGGTGTCTCAACATTTCTCACATACAGGAGATTCTGCAAGCTAAAAGAGTGTCATTACCATGCAAGCCAGATAACAAGACCGAAAAAATGTTATTTTAACAGTTAAGCACTTATGCATAGAAAAAAATGGGAAAACAGAATAATTAATACACTTGGTGATCAAGTAGGATGGTATCCTGGCATTTTCAGTTCATTAATAAATGATGCTGAGAATATTGAAATATATGAAAATCTCAAATCAAGTAATTCACGGCAAGCCTCTTAAGACCCTCATGACTCGTGGTAGGTTTTGCAATCCATGCATGAAAGTTGAAACTACCATCTATTAACCAGTGAGGAAATCTGGAATATAGCAATCAAGCTTCAACAGATCTTAAAAAAGACTTGGCCTCTCTCAGCATAAGTTCAAAATATTTTTTGAATTATTCTCACATACTTTAGCTTAGGTGTAAAGGATGAGCTTTTAAAGGAGTGAAATTAAGAAGACTAAAACAACACCTAATAAAACTAATTAATTGCTAATCCACACAATCCAACAACACTAGAGCTAGAGTTAACATTTCAAAACATGTAAGATAGCTGAAGATATTATAACCTCAATCCGAATACCAAAGGCATGGTCTTCATAATAGCCAGGCTCATTGCTAACAACCATGCCGTTCACTAGAGGGGTCAAATTTCCATAACGATAACTAATACTTTGAGGGCCTTCATGAACATTCAATGCAGCTCCAACACCATGCCCAGTCCCTAAATTGATAATGGTTAAGCAAAATGTTCAACCAATCAAAATCCATTTCGCTTAAAGTAAATAAATAAGAGTCCCCCACTTGATTTAGGAATATACCATGCCTGTAGTCAAGTCCAACCTTCCAAAGAAAGGAACGGGCAAATGCATCCAGCACAAAACCAGGGGTATTTTGTGGGAATACGGACAGATCAAGAGCTATATGGCCCTGCAATTTGATATACGGGTTAAGACAAACAATTAATTATGAACTTCAAATTGCCAGGGCTGAGAAGTTAAACATTAAAAACAAAAAAATTAAACACATACTTGAAAAATAAAAAACTATGCATTAGCATGATTGAAAAATTAACCCAGATTACTGAATTGTGAGGGACACTCTCACGAACTAAGTGCAGAAATAAACTCAGGAAAAAAAGTATTGAAGCAAAGTACCTGTAAAACTCGGGTAAAGCATTCCTTCTCTCTTGCTGTAGGCTTGCCGAAATGAACTGTTCGTGTTATGTCAGTTGTGCCATCAACATATTGGGCACCACTATCCAATAAGAATAATTTATTGGCATCCACATTACTACAACTCTCTGGTTCTGGTTTGTAGTGTATGATAGCACCATTTGGACCCGAAGCTGAACCAATGAAATGAATAGATTACAGCTCAATACAAAGAGTAGTTGAACCAAAGCCTGCCTATATATATATATATATATATGTTAGAGAAATATAAAAATCACTAATGTAAACTCAACCAACAGCTTAAACTTTTGGGTTGATTTGGTTCTTTACATGGTATCACAAACAATTGAAAAGGCCCTCACCCAATATTTTTAAGCTTCTGGGTTGAATTGGTTCTTTGTATGGTATCAGAGCTTTGGTTTCACGAGTTGAATCCTCACCGCCCCCCATTTGATTAATAAATAATTAAGTATTGTGGAGTTTGTTAACACAGGAAGGTGGGCTTGTGCATTATCCACCCTTCAAGCCCAATGGACTCTCATGTAAAGGGGCGTATTAGAGAAATATAAAAACCATTACTGTAACCTCACCCAACAGCTTAAGTTTTTGGGTTGAATTGGTTTTTTACAATATATTCACAAGAAGCACGTAAGAGAACTAAAAAAAAATACTATGGCAGACATATTGATAAACATATTTACCATGGAGGAATAATAGCTACATATTTATAGAATTACCACATTCTTTTACACAGAATCACGAATGTTGTTCCTTCACTGTCCATATTTTTACCAGGTGGAGCTTTTTTGTAATTATCCCTAAAATAATTGGCAATTAAAAGAATCTGTAGAAAACCTATAGTAGTATCTTTTCATGTTTCTTTAACCATAATTCAGTGCAAAAAATAAATAAAAAAACAATTGACAGTCTACCACAGTACCACTTATGGTGTCAAAGCTAGTATCCAAGAAACCAGCTTGTTTTGAGCGAAACTCGAGAAGTTTGTTTGAAACTTCTACTTCTGTTAATAACCTATCCTTAGTAATTTCTGTCTCTAGCCAATCCCAAAACTGAGCAAGGGCAGCAGCATCCCTGGAAACAGTAAGATAGCAGAATTATATAAATGCTGAAGCCAGCTTGCATATGTGACTCCTGATCATAAATGCAAGCTCCTTATTAAATATTTTTTAAATATCCAGCAGGGGGTCGAACAAATCAAGCAGCCTGACTGCCAAAGCTGAATGAAATCTGTTTTCTCTTTAATTTAAACAAGTCACATTTTATTAATAATAATTTAGGAATATATTAACCCACTAACATCTACATGCATAGAAAAAAGAAGACAATATAAACCCACACCCCAGAAAAATCATGAGTTGACAAATTAAAGGTAAGTGGTAATATAAGTTGACCACAAGTTCTTTCATAATTTTCCAAAACTACAGACCAATTTTCTTAATAACTGAAATAGAGAATCCAATGCAAAGCTTATCCGGGGCATTCTATGGTTTGCATATGTAAAATAACTCCAACATCATCAACATCAACAACATCAACATCACCTAGATCCCAAAATAACTCCAGTTTGATAAAAATCACCAAAATATAGAAACAAGGCATGCAAAAACATCAACGTTAATTATCACCAAGGTAAGATATGGTAACCTTAAATGACAATTTTGCATTCCTTCTAACTCCAATTCATTTTTTATGGCCTTTGCCAGAGAAACAGGGGAGGCTTTATGGACAGCAATGGGTACGTCTGAGTGCTCAATGGATCCATCAAAACCTTTGGTCCTAGTTTTGTGTTTTTTCGCATGGTTCTGATTATATCTGTGGCAGGCAGCTTTGTAGGCATTTACAATAGCAGCATTAACAGATGAAGTATCCAACCAAAGAGCAACACCTCGTGCTGCCAAACTGAAAAAGAAAATCAAGCTCAGTTCCCAAAACAGTGCTGCTTTGACAAGCAAAAAAAGTAAGCATAAATAATTGACAGAAAGAAAGCTACAATTTAGAAAGTCATCTTGGCCCATCTACTATAATATTAGACATTTCCATTAAAAGATGCGAAAATTAGGAGCGTCATAAAAAAAAAATAGATTCCCCATAATTACCTTTCAATTTCAGATATAATTGAATTGTATGGCCTGAACTCTATGCTTGCTTTCTTCAAGTGATCACTCACCTCTTCACTAACTTTTGAATCATCTATAAATAGTTTTGCTCCATCGATCTCCACAATAAAGTATGCATACACAACAGGTGAATGTGGAATATCACTTCCTCTCTTCAAAAGAAAAAGTTACAAGTTACTCTCATTGAATGAAATATTAAAAAAGAGCAGTGGAAAAAAGGAAATAAATAAGCTACTTATATTAGACCCGAACAACTTGAATAAGATCTTGAAAGAAGGTTTACAAGGATATGGGATTGTATTATACAAATAACCATCAGTACATCAATTAGGTGTTTAGATACATTACCAAGTTCAACAACCATGCAATTTCATCAAGCATGGAGATGACAATTGCAGATGAACCAGCACCAGTAAGTTCTGACCTCAAAGATGACAATTTTGATGCTACATCCAAACCAGCATACTTTAGGTCATGCACTCTAACTGGCTTATTTGAAGGCTTTGGCCTAGATTCTTTCCATATTTCATCGACAAGATTTGAATTGTACAAGTAAACGAGCTCATGGTTTTTCTTAGAGATGACCTCCTTAAGTTCTTCTGCAGCATCCGAAGTAAAAAGAAACTGCCTATGGGAGAGAAAATTGTATCAGGCACAGGAACAATAAAAAGCGCATAAAAGGAAAAGAGGGGGAAAAGGTTTATCAGTTTATGTTACTAAAAGAGTATAAACAAAGGACTTTGACGGGATGTTTAGGATTTAGATTACGAATTAGAAAATATAACCTACTACTCAATGGGTTATGAAGCTTCAGGGTAGAAAATATACACTCCGCAATAAAAATGGTGATCTGGTGCTATAAAGCTCTCACTATGCGCAGGTTCAGGTTCAGGAAACAATTAGACCCATTGTGCGGGGGTCTATAATAGACAGTCTTGTCTTGCATTTACAAGAGACTAATTAAATAAATCGAGTATGTGACCCCTAGGGGTCACCCCGCGACCTCGCCCACAGTTGTGTTAAGGTTCCCCTTCAAAATATACACTTTTTCCATAAATACAGACAATAATACTTTAGGAATTAGAGCATAACTGCATAAGAATAACAAATGTAGCGCAGCCAACCCATGAGAAGGTGCATTATTACTCACAGGATCAATTCCAACTCTACCACCTGGAGCCAAAACATCATTGAGCCATTCACCAGTAGTAGGAACTCCTGGATTTCCAGCTCGCATGAGAATCCAACTGGAGTTCAGTTGCTTCTCCGCCTACAATGAAGGACCAAAGAAATCATTAAATTGATATGCTCCCTTCCTTTGTTCATGCAATGAATGACAATTCAAAAAGAGTTTCAAAACCTGGAGAAAATATCGGCCATCTGTCCAAAGAGCAGCTTTGTCCTTAGTAACAACAGCAGTTCCAGCACTACCAGTAAAACCTGATATGTAGGCTCTCCTCGTGTAACATTCAGCAATGAACTCGCTCTAACACCATATTCATAATTATATACATATACATGAGTTCACCAACTCTGTGGGCAAAAAGTACCAAAACCAATCATATGTTAAAGCAAAGCAAAAGCAAAACAAACCTGGTGAGCATCTTGAGAAGGGATGATGTAAGCGTCAATGGCAACTCCGGGTTTGGAGAAAAGGTGTCGGAGAGCAGTGAGCTTGGGGTCAGGCTCGGAATCAGCACGGGTCTTTCTGATTTCAGAAGACGTCTTCACTTTGATGGAACTGCAATTCCGAATAGCTAAGAAATGGGGCTTCTGGAATTTGAATTTGCTAAAAATAGGGGTTGGGTGCGAAACTGAGGAAGAGAGGGGAAAGAAGAAAGTGTGGGATGAGATTGAGAAAGTGGGTGATGTCAGGAGGACTCGCCGCATTGCAGTTGCAGCTGCAGGTGATGAGTATGACAGCGAGTGCATAATGATATATTATGTATGGCACTGGTACGGGTAGGGGAAGAAGGTAACACAGACAAGAAGGGCCAAGCAACACAAATATCAGACTTTTTATATGTTATATATTTTTTATTGTTTTATGCATAATATAGACGACTTTTTTTTTAATTATTTACATTAACTTTTTTCTCTACACTTTTTTTTTTTTTCTCACATGCTCACTTTAATCAAATACTTTAAGAATTAATTTATGAAAAAAGTGTATGTCCTTTTAAATGATATAACTTGTGTCATTTTATTCTCACAGAGAGATGAGACTCACACATTTATCTTTTTTTTGTCCATTCTCTCTTTTACATGATCTATTTTTTTTTCTCATTTTAAAATGACACACATTTTTTTCTTAATTTATAGGGTGACACACACTTTTTCTCTTAATTTATAGGATTAAACGAAGGGTTCATTTTTTCTGTAGTCAACGTAGATAAATTATCTACGTTGGACACAAAATATCGTTGTTTTATGACAAAAATTAAGGTATTTATATAATTATAATTTATTTTAGAACTATAATAGTCTTTTTCATTATAATTTTTTAATCTTTCAACTCAAAACATTATTTTACGAGTAAATATAGATAACTTATCTACATTCATTATAGAAACATTAAAACTTTAAATAAATTTCAAGTTACGAGAGATACTATGTTAAAAAAAAAACAATAGTGCACATTTCGTTGGACTAGGAGAAAAAAAATGTCTTCTTCAACTTGAGAGTCATTTAACCCTAATTTGTAAATTGTTAAAGAGTAAATATTTACTTTTGTTTCATATTTGTAACTCGGATAGGCTTAATTAGGCTTAACGTGGCCCAGTGTACTTTTACTCTTGGCCGAATGGTTTAGTTAGAATTAACTCGGATATTCTAAGTGCCTGTTTGGATCCTCTTATTTTTAAGTTAGAAGCTACTTATAAGCATAAGCTAGGCCAAACAGGTTTTGGGAAAAACTCTTATAACGAAAAGCTCTCTTTTTTATAATGAAGAAAAAAGCTAAAAACTAAAAGCTCCTAGGAGGAGCTTTTTTTTAAGCTCTTATCTATTTTTCTTGAATTGTGTGCTTTTTTTTTAAATGAAGAGTGATAAAGATAGAGAGAAAGATAATTTTCTTGAAATATGTGATTTTAAGTAATTTTTAAGCTAAAACTTTTATGTAATTTCTAAACAGCTTTTAGCTTATTTTTTTAAGCTCTTTTTTTTAGCTTTAGCTTATAAGTAGCTTCTAGCTTAAAAATAAGAGGATCCAAACAGGCTCTAAGTCTATGAAACATAAACCCGTCTTCTAGAAACCCAAAGTGTAAACCTAAATTGTGAGCTTTAATCCACTATATTTTCCCACTTCCTATTGATAAGACCACAATTAATATAACTACTAGGTGAATAACTACTCGATATCCATATTTATCAACAACAACAACAACAAAAAAACTACTCGATATCCATTAATAATACTTCGGGCTAATATTGAGATAAAAGGTAGAGTTCAAATTAACTAAAGGCCTATTCATACAAAACACATACCACAGCCAAAGAGATCAGATACACTTAGTTGATGTTCCTCCCGAACAACTTCATACATTAATAAAATCTTTTAACATAATGATTTTAAATCATGCTAAATATGATGATTTAGCATGATGGTCAATATGGTTAATGGATTTCTATGGATATACTGATCACTCGATTATCCTTCATGTGGAGCTGTTAGCCATTGTGGGAGCATGGTGAGAGGGTAAAGCGTGAGTCCCCCTAAATCACTGTGAACCTGAATTTGAAGGATCACCTCCCTCCACTTCATAGTGGATATTAAGATGCTTGTGCGGAAAGATATGTTTCATCAATCACTCACATTCTCCGCGGGGCCAGCTCGTGTGCGGATTTTATGGCCAAGTTCATGCCCATAATGATATAGTCTTTAGAACTTGGATCGAGCCCACTGGGCACTGATAGAATCTTTGCTGCTTTCTGAGGCGACGCTATGGGTAGTATAACCTTTCACAAAAATTAGCGTCTTGTTTGTTTCTTCTCTCTCTTTAATTGTTGGGCATAATATTTTAGTATGTCACAGAGTAAAGGAGAGAGAAACCCGTGGTGGTAGAATTTTTTTTTTTCAGCCACGTACGTAGAAATGTTATTCTGTTATGGGACATTTAGTTGAGAAAATGGTTGGAAAATGAGTTTGGTAGAAAAATGTAAAAAAAATTATTTGGTTAGAAAAAAATTTACCGGACAAATTAGGTAAGATTTATAAAGTCTATGTTTGGTTCGAGGTAAAATATAGATGGAAAATAACTACAAATTACAAAATAACCCTTGTAGCAAACACTATTGTCTAATAGAAGAGGGTATTTTTGGCATCAACATATGTCCTCTTTCTCTCATTAGCCTAGCTAACTTCAAATTACTACATTGGAAGAGATATTTTCAGCACTATTTTTTCCCCTAATTTTTCACACAAAAGTAGATGGCTAGGCAAAACGGATGCATAGTTAAATTTTTTAAAAACTTCAACCAAACAAGGAAGTCCAAAAATGACACATTGAGATGCATGGCTAACTTCTAAAAAATCTTCAACCAAACGCTCCCTTAATTTTTATTTTTTTTCAATTTCTACTCATTAAATAGAAATAGTATTTTATTATAAGATTCATTTTTTTTTAAGTTACTTTAGATAATTTGGCTAATATTCACTTAACGACTTCGTTTTGGGTCGAAAATCATGGTGCATTTGTAATTTTAATTTATTTCAGAGTTATAATGGTCTTTATCGTTTTATTTTTTCAATCCTAAAACGACATTATTTTGGTGAATATTAAATAAAATTGTCCAAAGTAACATTAGATACTTTTTTTCTTTATTATATGGGGAAGGATATTGTAGCAACCAAGTTGTGTTACTATTATGTTACTACCAATCAATCTCACCGTTAGATCGATTATGTTGATCCAACGGTTATATTTATTTTCATCTTTGTATGATTGTGATTCCCCATATTTAAAGTGAAAGCATTAAATATGAGAAATCATAATCATACAAAGCTGGAAATAAATATAAAGTATTAAATTTGAGAAATCATGACTATACAAAGGTGAAAATAAATATAACCGTTGGATCAACATAATCGATCTAACGGTGAGATTGACTGGTAGTAACACAACTTGATTGCTACAATATCCTTTCCATTATTATATTTATAAAACTTTTTTTTGTTTTTTAAAACATTAATGTCTTTGTTTTATTAATTTAATTTTTTTATATTAATATTGATAAAAAAAAATTCATCACCATTTTCTCCTGTTTAATTATTAGGGTTATCGTATCGTGAGATTCGTGACACCACGTTCAATCTTCTTAAAAAAAATCATTTAAAATAAAGAAACAGATTTTTATCACTTTTAATAAATAAAGTGAATCCCCCCTCAGCGTTTAAGAATTATGACACCACGTTTTCAATCTTCTTAAAAAAAAAGTAAACATCCTTTTTAATCCTTCTCAATATCTATGAAGTCCTTTTTAGTCTCTGGCAATAAAAAAGGATCAAATTGGTCCCTGAAATTACAAAAAAAGGGTCATGTTAGTCCTTATGTCAACTCCCAAATATGTAGAGTGGCCCTTTTCTTGTACTTTCAGGGACCAATTTGGTCCTTTTTTATTGCCAGGGACTGAGAAGGACTTCGTAGATATTGTCAGGACTAAAAAGGGTGTTTACTCTTAAAAAAATAAAAAAAACACTGTCAGTCCTCAGAGCCTGAAACTTTAACTGCGTTTCTAGTCAGTGAAGCTTGGAGGACTGATAATGGCGATCATAACAGAAGAACCAGAGAAACAAAAATCTACACAGTCACAGATCCCACCACGCAAGACCCATAAACCCAAACCACCCCCTACCTCAACCTCAAGCACAACACAGCCACCCAATCCATTCTCTTTCTGGTTCTACTTTACTCTTTCCGTTTCTCTCCTCACCCTCGCCTTCGTCTTTGCCTCTTCACTCTCCCCACAAGATACAAAAACTTGGTTCCTTAACTTACCAAACACTCTTCGCCAACATTATTCAAAAGGCCGCGCTATTAAGGTGCAGACGCATCCTAACCAACCACCCATTGAAGTTTTCACCGTCCAAGAGGGTCCCACAGTGTCGGAAAACGTTGTCATTGTACACGCCCTGGGTCTCAGTTCATACTCTTATCGGAATCTTATTAAATCCCTAGGTTCCAAGGGAGTGCGCGTTACTGCAATTGACCTACCCGGAAATGGGTTCTCAGACAAGTCTGTGGAAGATTCCGTTGAGGGGGTTAATGGGATTTTTGGTAGGTTTTGGTATGTGTATAGTGAAATTCAAGAAAAGGGTTTTTTCTGGGCGTTTGATCAAATAGTGGAAACGGGTCAGATTCCGTATGAAGAAATTCTGGCTCGGATGTCAAAGAGGAAGGTAACTAAGCCTATCGATGTGGGTCCCCAAGAGATTGGAAGAGTGTTGGGACAAGTCATTGATGCCATGGGGCTAGCTCCTGTTCACTTGGTGTTGCATGATTCAGCGTTAGGATTGAGTGCTAATTGGATTACGGAGAAATCAGAATTGGTAAGAAGTGTAACGCTTATTGATACATCTTCTTCAACTGCAGGTGCTTTCCCTATTTGTGTTCTGAAATTCCCTGTGATTAGAGAGATTGTTTTGGGGTTTCCGTTGGTTTACGCAAAGGTGGTAAATTTGTACTGTTCCAAGAGAATTGGTGTTTCGGATGCTGATGCACAGAGGGTGTTGTTGAAGGGCAGGGATGGAAGGAGAGCGGTTGTAGCTATTGGGAAGAATTTGAATTCTAGCTTTGACATTGCAGAGTGGGGTGGTTCAGATGGATTGAAAGATATGCCAATGCAAGTGCTGTGGTCTGCTGGTTGGTCTAAAGAATGGAGCCACGAGGGAGATCGGGTTGCTCGTGCACTTCCGCAGGCGAATTTCGTTACACATTCTGGTGGCCGTTGGGCTCAGGTGAGCACAAGATTTATTGCTTCCATACTTGTGCATGATTTTATTTTATTTATTTTCATGAAGATATTGGTTAATAGGATTGAAATGAAATGCAAACTTGGTGAATTGCGCCAAAAATTTAGGAATTATGAAGCATTTATTATGTTCTTCCCAGTAAAGAGTGGTTACTGGTATTGTTCCTAAACCTTGATCAGATGTACAATAATTTCTGTACTAGATTTCGTGATGTTGTGACTATGCTATGCTACATTCATCTAAACTTTCCTGAAGACTCCAGCTTGCTATACGTAGATTGAACTTTATAGTTATTCAAGCTGCCATCAAATATCAATGTTAAGTTTTCAATGTGCCAACACACCTAGTAAAGAAGCCATGCTTGTATTTGAGCTTGCTTGTTTTGATTTTAGCATAATCAGTTTATATGGGTTTTTCCTAATCTGGGGCAAATCATGAACCATGGTCTGGCGAAATAAGAACTTTTTTCTATTACTACAACTTTTTCACATGCAAACCTTTCCTAATCTGCATAGTGTTTGCTGATTTGAAGTTTTGGAGAAATTGCTTTTCAGAGATCTGCCTGTCATATTGTTCTTTGTGAGCTTTTCCTTGGATTTGCAACTGCATCGAAAATATGGGGTACATAATGCCTACAAGTTCACTTGCTGTGTGCCTGTATTTTACAACTTACCCTCTTTCCTTCCCATGATCATGAAATCTTCCTCACCATTCACAGCTTGCCACGTGTATTGTTTTGTAACGAATTCCCCTACTCCCTTTTCTGTTTGCTGCTTACGGTTATTTTTGTCATCTGCAACCACATTTTGCTGTTTGCCCCTTTTTCCTATTTCAGAATTGGATTGGGCTCCTGCTCCTTCCTCTTTCTCTTGTCCACTTCCTCCTATTTCAGCGATGGTTGGGCTCTTGGTCCCTTTTCTGTTTTTTGTTTTTTGTTTTTTTTTTCTTTCTTTCTGCTATGCATGAACTTGGCCACATCAATACCGTCCTCCTTAAGTTTCACCTTGTCCCCAAGGTGAAAAAGAGGGAACTTCTCTTTAATGTCACTCAGATCCTCCCAGCTATTTTTGCAGTCCAGCTGACCTTCCCACTTAACCAACACCTGAACCCTGCCATTCAATAACCTGCGAGCCTCCAAAACATTAGCTGGTTTCACTTGCAATTCTAAGGTGTTAGCCAAGCACTGAGGAATATCCAGAACAGGAACATTGGGGTGCACTGCTCTCTTGAGCTGTGACACATGAAAAACTGGATGAAGTTTCAAATCCACATCATACAATAATTAAATATCATATGAGAATAACTATTCTTTTTTACATTTGCCACTAGAATTGGGCAATTGACTGATAAACTTCTCGTACTGAATATTTTCTTTCAATATTGTATATAAATACTATGGTTCTTGAGAGAAGCTAGGTACCACCATCTACAAAAATCCTTTACTAATGTATCCGGAAAAAAAAAAAATCCTTTACTAATGAAGTAATTATAGGAAAGAACTTAATTGATCATGTTCCTCTCCTGTAGTAATCTCAGATACAGAATGAGAACATAACCTTCTCTCATTGTGGAATTCTTATCTTGAATACAATCGTTTCTTATCTTGTGGAATTGAGCACAACCGTATCTTATCTTATATAAGGATCTTGGTTCCTTTGGGAAGAGAAAGGAAGAGGTTGTTCATGTAGGATATTCATGAGATGGGAAGAAATAACTCAAATAAGTTACTGAGCTAATGAACTTTGTTTTTGGCTTTGCTAAAAGATTTCAATAATTGAATGCTGATAAATCTCCCCCCACCTCCCAATCATTTTCGTATTCTTCCCACTTGTACTATTTATTTGTGTTTCTATATCACATAAATCACCATTTTACCACGTGGTGTGAATGTTCTTTTCCTTTTGCTGTCGAAACTAATCCAATTTTGTTGTGATCTCAGGAGGACGTAGCAGTTGAGATAGCTGAAAAAATTTCTCAGTTTGTCTTGTCGCTACCAAAGTCTGTCAGAAAAGTTGAGCAAGAGTCCATCCCAGACCACATACAAAAGATGTTTGATGAAGCAAAAAGTAAAGGTCATGATCATCTTCACCATCATGGACATGGTCACCAGAGTCATGATCATCTTCACCATCATGGTCATGGACATGGACATGGACATGATTACCATGGTGATGATAACATCGATGGTGCTGGTTATATGGACGCATATGGGCTTGGCCAGGGACCTTATGGTTTGTGAAAGTGATCACTATGTTGTACTGGCCATTGTTCGCACTAGCAGATACCACTCTGCTTCATATTGCTCATATATTGTATTAGTCGGGATGCTCGTACCATATAGAGTTCTTGACAGCTAAAGCCTACATTTTGTATGTTATTTATTCTAACTGTATTACTTTTTCAAAATCTCTGTAGGGTGAGAAGTTTTGGACTATGGAGCGATTATGCATGAAAAGAGGCTTGTTCTAACTTAAAAACCAATCACATCTTTGAGCTGATTGGTATCATGTACTCTCTTTTGGAGCCATTTTGTGTTTGGATTTTGAAACTATTTTTAGAAGGTGTTTGGTGAGATGAAATCTATGTACTGGAGGTATTTTAGTAACTCAGACGATCATGAAATGTTTGATATACTAATTAAAATCTCGTAGTAGAAATATGAGAATGCATTGTACTCCATATATTTTTTAAATGATTTTTCTTTGTTAAGATATTGAAATTTATTTTAGCTAAGATATATATGTTTAAATTTATACGACAGAATCGTTTAAAGATAAATAAATCGTGGGGCAGTTATGCCACTCTTGCCTTCAAATACTCCGTTCAAATGTGCTCTTATTCTCACGTTTTTTTTTTATTTATTATTTTGAGAAAATGAAATGCACCAATTGTTTATTGTTATGTGAAACATCCAGTGGCGTAGCCACATCCAAGTCAGCAGGCACCTGTTTTTTTTTATATATAATTAATTATAATTAACTAAGATAAAAATTATAATTTTGCACCACTTAAATAGAAAATCAAATACTCAATACAAAGTAACAACAAATCATCTAAATGCAAACAAATAATAAGGAACATGTATAGTATGGTGATTTTTGTGTTTTACCTTTTTTTATTTTTTATCCTGTATATTTTTTTTCCGCTTTATTCTAATCAGTTATGTTATCTATTCTTACTTCTATTATTTTAAAAAAGAAATACTTCTAAAATTACTCACAAAAATGATTAGTTGACCTATTTCAAAACATGGGCCCAATTAAACCAAATAAACACATTTAAAAGTAGGAAAAAGGGTTTGTCTTTTTAAAGGACACAAGGTTGTATCCTTTTAGTTTTGACACTATATCTTACGTGTAAAACATAGTTATAATTGTTATCAAAAAAAAAAAAAAAACATAGTTATAATATGAATTTTTTTTTTTTTCTATTTCCTCAGTCACTTCAACTGACATGGAGAGAGAAAAAAAATATTATTTTTCATGTTATAACTATGTCTTACTGGTAAGACATAGTGTTAAAAACTAAAAAGACACAATCTTTGTCCTTTAAAAGAACAAACACTTAACCCTTGAAAGTAACAATCATGTAACCAAATGAATAACAGGACTATAATTATGGAATATGAAGGTCCATTGAACTATTGTGTTTTGGGTTATTGCACACAAAAAATAGTCAAAAACTTAATTCCCAGATGTGAGAACTTTCCTTCGTGTATAAAATTATATAAGTAATTATAATTGAGCCCTAGCTAAAATTGTAAGTTGACATTAGCTAAAATTGTAACAGTGGTAACATATGAAGATATGGAGCTGCTTTCCGTGTATGACTATATAAATATTTCTTTCTTCTTAATTTCTTCTTCTTCTTTCATCTTTTTCCAATTGAGGTTTTCTTCTAACTTTTTTTTCTTATTTGCACTCACCACCCAGAACCCAGCCATTCTGCGACAAGACACGATGTTTTGTTCCTTTCGTCAAGATTTTACGGATACTTGTTCTTGGAATATGCATTGGTAATTATATTGTCCGTTGGCAAAAAAAATTGATTTATATTTTTTAACCTTATAAAAGTGAAATTATTTGTCTTTGCGGACTATAATTGTTTATCGGGTGTTTCTAACATAAGTGAAATTCACGCCCCCTTTATTTTATCAACAACTTTTTTTTTGTGTTTGTAGTTATTGATTTTATTTCTTTTGAAAAAATGAAGTGTTGTTTTACGTTTACCTTTTTTTAAAAAAATTATTTTAATGTAGAGCTACAATTGCTATTGGTAATGTAATTGAATTGTTTATTGGTGTTATTTGTATTTTATTTCACAACAAGAATGTGAATTTTGGTTATTAATTAGTGGAAACTGTTAAAGAGAAAAATCAATGAACATATATGTATATATATGGAGTATGAAAATTTCTTATACATATTCATTAACAACTTCTTCTTTTTGTGTTTTTTAAAATTTTAAAATATCTAAATACTAATTAAATGATTTATGTGGATCCAATGTCATTTAAATGATTTTAGACATTTGTAGCTGATTATTCAATGTTTCTTTTTAATTGTGACGTTTGTTGTTCCTCTATGTTAATGTTCTTCACAGGTCACGACTAGGGGTATAAATGGGTCAAGTTAAGTCAAACTTTGACTTTGATAACCTAAGCCTATGTAAAATATTTGGAACCTATACTGACTTATTAGCCTATTAAATACTTGATTTATGGTCTGCCATATTATAAAAAACTAAAAAAACCGAATATGACTTGTAAGGCTTACCAAGTTGTAAACTTAAGTTTGTAGGCCCAAATCAAATTAAAATATAAAAAATAAAAAATAAAAATAAAATATTTTATTCCCAAAGACACATGAAATCAATTTTCATTAACATCACGTGAAATTAATTAGAGGATGAAGAAGAATTGCGTCGTCATTTATTTCAAATTCAAAGTATATGAAATTGAATAACCTGTGTCCATATTAAAAACATCATTAAATATACAATAGATTCAATAATTCTATATATTTTCTTATTAATCTTCTTGATTTTTTTGTTTTGGTTAACAAAAATTAGGGTGAGCTGAGGTGTGTAAATTCCATCCCAATGTCAGGGCAAGCTTTTAGATTTAACGTGTGCTGACAGATAGGCCACTTAAAACAATATTTGAGCCCCAAGTCCCTAACCAACTTATTTCACACGGTTTACCCTTACTAATTGCGTCAATTATATTGTCGGTTTTCTCCTAAGAATAAATATCTTTTTTGATCTAATAAAAAATGTGATCTCCAATTCAGTCTTGTAAAAAAAAATTAGTCTCAAGGTTTCTAAAAAATTCAAAGTAGATTCACTTAGTTCAGATTGTAGTCCCTCACAAATTCAAAAAAGACTCAAATTAGTCTCTCAAAAGAACTAAAATGAATCCAATTTATATTTCATAAAGATCAATCCACTAATTTTTTTTTTTTGTAATAAACTAAAGTGAAAATCGTATTTTTTTTGTTAAGGATCCAAAATGATATTTACTCTTATTTATAAAAGAAAGTGTTGAAGGCCGAATGCTTAACGCTTTTACCTTTTTTATTTAATATTTATTATTTTAAATAATTAAGAAATGTAGGAATATTGTATAATACGGAGAGTTATGGCCAATAACGTGCATTCAGTTAAATTCCTGGGATTGAAAAGGACCAATATTGCCCATTTGAAGTTGAGTGCACTGTTTTACTATATTCACAGTATTTATTCCCAATGATATTCAGATTCTCTCATCCGTTAACACTGAATTAACTCCGAACTTCAGAAGTGTGTGCAAGAATTTTGTAGAACGAATATTGATATTCTTTTCTCATCTATCTCGTGCTTTTGGAATAGTCTATATATGGTTAGCAATGCTTTTAATAAGTATGCTGCTGATAGTCTCGTGAACGTGAAGTTTTGAACCTAACATTGTGTCAATGTATTCAAGCGGGCATTAATTGCAACGCATAAGGCACATTAGTAATGGTAATTTTGTATATACAGGATCATAGCCTCTGATTTTATAGGTGGGCTTAAACAGCGTGAATTAATTTCTAATAAATCCCGTAGGTCCAATTTAGGACGTTTTACTAAATGCCCATATTAACAGTAACCACGATCAAGGTTCAGTATTCGTGTTGCAACGGAGTTAATATAATAAGACGAGTTTGTACTATATATATATATATATGGGTTAGGATCATTTTACACCAGTGTAAGTTACACTCTTAATCTTGTCCGTTAATCCCACTTATATCTAAGGGCTCAATTTTTTTAGTAATGTGAGCTATTGGATACAAGTGAATCAATGGTCAAGATTGAGTGTAAGACTTCTAACTCTTACACCGGTGTAAGAATATCCTGTCCCTATATATATATATATATATATATAATACGACGAAGCAGGTAGCTAGTAGCCATTTCAAAAGCTCTGCCAGACGCACACTGCGAACACAATTGCAGTATTTGATATTGTTGAAGAAGTAAGCACGAGTGGGTCAAGGGTCAGGAACTTTGATAATTTTCATGAGATTATAAATTCGAATGTATTATCATTTTTATTAAAAAGAAAATATTGTCAAAGGAGCGTGGCGCGTGAATTATAAGTGCATGGTGAGTTAGACAGTCAAAAATCAAATAAAAAAAATAACATAGAGAAAAAAAATATTTATCCTTTTAAATAACATAATTAATGTTATTTTATTTTTATAAAGGGATGAGACTTATATCTTTATTTATTTATTTTCACTCTCTTCCCAATGATCTATTTTTTTCTTATTTAAAATGATACAACTTTAAATTATTTAAAATGACATACACTTCTTCACGATTTGGATGAAAAGTGATCATTTGGTCATGTTATTTGATCACAATCATTCATTTAAAAATCATATATATTTGTTTCTCTTATCTCATCATCAATGATTAATTGTGATCAAATAACATGATTACTTTTTTATACGAGATGATTCAAATCCGAGTGAAACATGTTGTTTCTAAGTTTTTCTTTTGCCATTTTCTGATGTTGCTGCTTATAAATCTCAATCAATGAAAACTAAAAAAAGTAATATAAAAAAAAAAGTTATATTTTTAATTGGGAATAAAAAAATTTGTGTTGTAGAAGATAAAATTTATCTTTTACACACACAAAAATGTATAGACCCTATATTTTCTTTTTCCTTTTTCTTTTTACATGTTGCCTCAGACATTATTATGTGTGTGTAAAAATAAAATTATCAATACAAGAGATGTTAATCTCTTTTTTAATAATAAATCACCGTACAATGTATTTCTAAATTTAATTGTCTACTCTAAATTTTTTTTTTACACCTACGTATATTTGGACATTTCGTAACTTATAAGGAGTCATTCAGTCCATTTCCTTTATTAGCATGTTATGTGTGTGTGTACATTTGGGTACATGAAAAGACTAACACCTAACCTATGAGAAAAAAGGACGGGTAAATAAATGCACCTTATAATATAAAACGATATAGTAAATTGGATTGGATATTAATTTCAATAACACAAATGGATACGTGAAAAAGACAACCGATATGAACAAGGACGGATACATAAATGCACTTTATAATCAAAATCGCTATATATAATTAAATTAGTTTAGATCATTTTCAATAATTAGTTTATTTTGTATTAAATATAATTTATAATAATTATTACTGATTTGGGTACGTTAATTCGTGATTTTTTTAATTTAAGACTAGGTCACGATTCACGAAGCAAACAATTCATTCTTAATTATTTTGATAGTTAATTGAATGAATTTAGTTTAATGGCTGAAACTTGAAAGGTTTATTAAAAATGAATAATTAATTAAACTAAATTTGATTGATTAACAGACGTATCGTACGAATGTTGCTTACTATTTAATAAACTTGATGACCCTACGAAATTTGCTTACCCTGACAAATGCCGATCGGAAATAATTGGAGAATGAATCCTTCATTAAAATTTGATGTGCCATTGTAACGTGAAAATTTTGTATTTATCCAAAAAATGTCAAACTGGATTTGGCTTTTGAGCACAAGTTTCGTCTCCGAAGCCAGCCTAGAAGCGAGAAATTCTTAAGCCCTACTAAACTCGAATAGCATCGATTGAGTCTAACAATGAGATAATTTTGTTCGAGTCGAAAATATCCACACGTTGAATTAATTCTTCCAAATCAAATCACATGCGTATTTCAAATCAAATCAAGTTCTATTCATTGTTTAAAACTAGGTAATGTTTATCATTTCATCTGAATAATCCTTCGCGTTACAAGGAGTTTCACAAAATTTTCGTCCCGAGAAATTTACTAATGAAGCAATCCTATATTGCAATCAGCAATTCCAAAAGATTATATTAACAACTATACTGAAAAGGAAATGATTGATGATAGAAAACAACTTTATTGTTTTATACAAGTAAAAATGATAATTTCTTGTTATCAAAAAAAAAAAAAAAATGATAATTTCTAATCAAACACGCAACATTCTTGTACGATTTTTGACGTTGAAACAACTAGAACCCAACTTTTAATATGACTCATATATAATTTCTCTTTTTGATTTCTAAAGGAAATTGTGAGTGTTGAATAAATCAAATCTCATAGACGGGAAGAGGACAAATTGCCAAATATATATAGGGTCTTTATTTTATCATGTTACATGATGTCATGCAACACTAAAAGACAAAAAATAAAAATAATAAAAAAATATGATAAGACACTTTGTTCAATAATTTGGTTTTGTCTTATCTTAACATAACCAAATTATTTTTCCTACAACATAACTCTTATTTATCCCATATATATAATAGTAATTAATAAATAATAGACTAGAAAAATGAGCAAAATATATTAGTAAAATTTTGCAAATTGGCAACTATCACCATCTCTTTATCATGAAAGCCGCCACGTCCTGTATTAGGAATTCAAAGGGACGAAAATCACAGTAAGAAACAATCAAATAAAGAAGGTTTATACTTAATATAAGACAAGTTAATGTAAATTTAGCGAGAAAGATATGCCCACTTCGAAGAAAAGAGAAAACCAAAAAAATGCTCATCCCATTGGTGGCTAAACAAGTGGAACCTTGCTTCTTATCTTTGAACATTTTGCATCACGTGTTGGTTGGTTCTCTTTTCTTTTTACTTGGCAAACGCATAGGGTAATCTCTGTCTTCTTTTGTCTATAAATACACTCGACTTCATTAACAGTTCACGTCACAAACATTTCATTGTTTTTTCTTTGTTGTTACTCTTGACAAATTAAGGGCCAAGGTTCTCTGCTTCTCATCAAAGAAGGAATTGAAGAGATGTTTCAGAACATAGGGAATACCCTCGCTGGGGATAGCATAAGAGGGAGAGTGGTCTTGATGAAGAAAAATGTGTTGGACATCAATGACTTGGGTGCCTCCCTTCTGGATCGCCTTCATGAGTTTGTGGGCCAAAGGGTTTCTCTGCAACTCATAAGTGCTGTTCAAGTTGACCCTGGTTTGTATTTCCTCAGATCTTTTTCTTTCCTACATTTTTCTCATACAACTCTCTCTCTCTCTCTCCCTCTGTGTGTGTGTGTGTGTGTGTCATGGTTGCTTAGTGTTCCCTGTTTTTTTTTTTTTTTTTTTGATAACAAGTGTTCCCTGTTTTAATATACTTGTCTTGTTCATGAGAATAATCTATATATATATCCAACGGGATAGCCTTTAACTTGGTTGTTCATTCTCTACTTTGATTTTCATCAAAAGTTGAAGGGAATCTAATTCTGAATTTTCCAAGGCATGATTAGGTACGTGTGTGGTTGGAGACTTGAGTTATCTTTGAAGATAGATAGGTATCTAGATTCGTATTCTATTTATATTAGAATATTTTAAATGGTACCAAATATATTGTGCAAGAATGACACTTGGGAGGTGGTATTTGAAGACGATGGAAGAATGAAAAAAAAAAGGATAATAAATTGCTAACAAAAATATCCTCATTCTAAGAGTTATTCGCATTCAAAAATTATAAAAGGTTGTTTTGGTTATTGAAATTTATTTTTCTAATAATATTTTATCTTCAACTAAATATATATTTATAAAATTTTACCCAATTTTTCTGATAATATTTAGGTCTGTCAAATAATTTTTTTTAAAATTTTTCTATTAAATTTTTTTTCTTATCATATTTCTAATAATTATAATTTTATGGTAAAATAAAATTTCTTCAATACGAAACATCCTCGAGTCAATCTTTAGCAACGACTAGTAGCCATGACTATTTGAAGATTTGTTGCCATCGTTAGGTAGCTTATAATCAGCGACCCAGAATAGTTTTTTGAGTTTTCCTTTTTATTTTATTTTTGGGAAGGAACGTTTCCTTTTCGTTCTTCATGACTTCAAGATTCAAGGTCAATCACATTTAAAAAATTAAAAATAAATTATAGCCATCCACCAGTCAACTGTTTATTTATAGTTTTCAGTTACACGTTCAATAAAAAAATATTATTTATATAAGAGAAGGTTATATTTATAATTTTTTCTTTTATATTTTTTTATAATTACTCTTGTTATTATTGGATTAAAATTGAATTAACGATCATAAAATAATATATTGTAAAGAAAAAATTATAAGTATAACTTCCTATTTATATAACAATTATGTATTTGAAAAAAAAAGCATGATGTTTAAAAATAGGAAATATAAAATATTCTTACATTAATTTAATAAAGCAATTTTTTTTTTTTTTTATAACAATTTACTAAACTGATTACATCAATAATTATCATTCATAATTAACAAATAACTATAAAGATTAATGATATAATTTCTAAGTTATGTAACTTTTTATTATAAAATTAAAGTTATTATACCTTAGATTATGTCAATTCCTCTAATGTCAACGAGATGTGTTCACCTTTATGTAATTTTGGGTTTTTTTTTTTTGAAACAAAACTTTTGAGTTAGGGGGAAGTAAAAACCACAAGGGCCTACTTACCAAAAAAAGAAAACCACAAGGGCCGAAGCTATGGCAAGGCTTGGGCATGGGGTCCAAACTGTTGGGCCATGTCCACTTCATCTTGAACATTTATTCCTTTTGCCCATGAAGGGATAGAAAAGTGAGGTGCTGCACTGAAAAAGAAAAAAAAAAGAAAAAACTTACCACATAGTGATAGCTCAGTTGGCGTATGGGAGTTAAACAGGTGGAGGTGAGAGCATGTGTTCAAATCTCTCCAGTACCACCTTTGGGAGGGGTTTAAATCTTTAATCCTGGACCCACCCCGAATCGGATTAGTTGCGAAACAATGAACCGATTGGAATATTTCCAAAAAAAGAAAAGAAAAAGAAAAAAGTTTTAATATAGAAAGCGAATTGGCAAAATTATTGGGGCCCAGCTGTACCACCACGGTGAAATCTTGATAATTTTAATAGGAATAAGATATTGTAACAATGAATTAATGTTATTATCAATGTTATTATTAATCAATTTCATCGTTAGATCGATTATGTTGATCTAAGAGTTATATTTTTTTTCCATCTTTGTATGGTTATGATTCATCATATTTAATGTTTTCACATTAAATATGAAAAATCATAATTATACAAAGATAAAAATAAATATTAAATATTAAATATAGGAAATCATAATCATACAAAGATGAAAAATATAACCGTTGAATGAAAATAATCGATCTAATAATAAAATTGATTGATAATAACATTGTTAGTAACATTAATTGGTCGTTAGAATATGCTTCTCCATTTTAATAAACTATCCTTAAAACCATTGAACAACTATTTGCTTCGCAACTCACTCTAATGTCATCGTTTTATATGTGATTTATTTATTTTTTTGGGATAATTTAAATTTTTACGCCTAAGGAGATTAATCGTAAATTGTCTGTTGTTAAATTCAGTACTTAACCAAGAAAACTAACTATCTTTGTATGAAGTTTTATTTACTACAGAACCTGAATGTTATTATGATCACAAATTTTTGAAGGGAATGGCATGAAAGGAAAACTTGGGAAGCCTGCACATCTGGAAGACTGGATTACCAAAATCACACCCTTGACAGCTGGCGAATCGGCATTTGCGGTTACCTTTGATTGGGATGAGGATATAGGAACACCAGGAGCATTTTTAATAAGAAATAATCATCACAGTGAATTCTACCTAAGAAGCTTGACACTTGAAAATGTTCCAGGCCAAGGTGACATACACTTTATCTGCAACTCTTGGGTATACCCTGCACGTAAATATGAAAAGGATCGCATTTTCTTCAGCAACAAGGTAAACTACAAACATAACTAGCTATCAATATTATGCAAGCAATTTAACTGAGGTTAACTATCTTTTTAGCTGTATGTATATTACTAGTTACATATTTAATTACTGCTAACTAATGTATTGCAGACATACCTTCCAAGTGAAACACCAGGGCCACTTCTTAAGTACAGAGAAGAAGAACTAGAGAATTTAAGAGGAAATGGAAGAGGGGACTTGCAAGAGTGGGACAGGGTCTATGATTATGCATACTATAATGATTTGGGCAATCCGGATAAGGGTCCAGAATATGATCGTCCAGTACTAGGAGGGTCCAGTGAATATCCCTACCCTAGGAGGGGAAGGACTGGTAGACCACCCGCAAAGTCAGGTTAGTTTTGTATATTGGTTATTTGGTTGCTTTGCTATCCATCCAAGCCTATTTTCATTAAAAATGTCAGAGATATATAAAAATTCATTAAGGTAGCCTCATCCACCCGCTTAAGCTTTTGAGTTGAATTGATTTGGTTCTTTATATAGTATTAGAGTATGGGTGTCACGACTTCGACCCTCTCCTGCCTCTATTTTCTCTTGTAAAATCTCCTAGCACAGGTAGCTGAACTTGTGCATTCTCCACCCTTTAAGTCAAGTAAGCTAGGGGGCATGCTAGAGATATATAAACAACCATTAATGCAGTCTGATCCACCAGCTTAAGCTTTTGGGTTGAATTTGTTCTCTAAAAAAAAATTGGAAAATAAATTTCAGTCCTTTATGTTGTAGTTTTAAATTTCTGATGGGGTGTTGTTTTTTTATTTTGTTGTTATCTTACCAGATCCTAATTCTGAGAGTAGATTGAATCTTGCAATGAGCTTAGACATCTATGTTCCAAGGGATGAAAGATTTGGTCACTTGAAAATGGCAGACTTTCTTGCTGATGCACTGAAATCCGTAGTTCAAGTTCTCAAACCCGAGCTGGAATCTCTATTCAACAGTACCCCCAATGAGTTTGATAGCTTTGAAGATGTACTTAAACTCTATGAAGGTGGGATAAAGGTTCCCGAGGGTGTAGTTAAGAATATTACGGATAACATCCATGCAGAGATGCTCAAGGAAATTCTCCGAACTGATGGTCAGAGTTTTCTCAAATTTCCCGTGCCTCAAGTGATTAAAGGTATTTTGTATAATTCTTGTACAACTTGCATGGACATGGCCACATGGGTAACTCAACATGTTATCTTACATCAAAGAACCTAGAAAAAATAATATTTTTTGGCATTCTTAATGATTTGGAGCAGAGGATAAGTCTGCATGGAGAACTGACGAAGAATTTGCTAGAGAGATGCTGGCTGGTGTAAACCCTGTCGTAATTCGCTGCCTCCAAGTAAGCCTAATTGATTTTAACCTTAATTAATGAGAATCAATAGAATACAACTAAAGAATATAGTATCTTTGTTACAAGGGTAAACGATTTTTCCGGTCGGGTCAACGGAGATAAGTTATCTCCGGTGAGTCCAAAACGATGTCGTTTTAGGGCGGAAATCAAAGTATTTTTGTAATTCTAATATATTGTAGAGTTATATTAGTCTTTATCGTTATAATTTTTTAATCTTATAACTCAAAAGGACGTCGTTTTGAACGAAATAACTTATCTCCGGTGATCCTATAGAAATACTTTTCCCTTGTTATAATTATCTTTTTTAACTTGATTGACTATATTTTTACAATCATCCTAAATAAATTGCAGGAATTCCCACCAGCAACCAAGCTAGATTCTAAAGCCTATGGTGATCAAACCAGTACAATAAGGAAAGAACACATTGAGAGCAACCTGAATGGGCTCACCGTAGATGAGGCAATTTTCAAGTTTGATATGATATTGTGTTTTAACAATAAAATTTTATGTGAACTCTACGACAACTTCGTAGTAAATTCAATTGATTTTTTATCTGATCTTCTGATTCACTCTATTAATTTGATTTTTTATCCGAATAGGCAATTAGACAAAAGAAGCTGTTCATATTAGATCACCATGATTGGCTGATACCATACTTGAGGAGGGTAAACTCCACTTCTACAAAGACTTACGCCAGCAGGACCATTCTTTTCTTGAAAAATGATGGGACCTTAAAGCCATTGGCCATTGAGTTGAGTTTGCCACATTCTGAAGGAGATAAATATGGTGTCATTAGTAAAGTTTACACGCCTTCTGACAAAGATGTTGAAAATTCCATCTGGCAGTTAGCTAAAGCTTATGTAACAGTAATCGACTCGGGCTATCATGAGCTTATCACACACTGGTATATATATGACTCTAAAGAAATCAAACACAAACTTAGTTAATCTATTAATGAAATTAATTTTGTAATCTTTCCCATATGTCACAGGTTGCGTACTCATGCAGTGACTGAGCCATTTGTTATAGCTGCAAACAGGCAACTCAGCGTGCTTCACCCTATTTATAAGCTATTGCATCCTCACTTTCGTGACACCATGAATATAAACGCACTTGCACGACAAATCCTCATCAATGCAGGTGGCTTTCTAGAGATAACAGTTTTTCCATCTAAGTATTCCATGGAGATGTCATCCGTGATTTATAAGGATTGGGTTTTCCCTGAACAAGCACTACCTGCAGATCTTCTCAAGAGGTAGTAAAGTAAACCACACATATTGCACATTATGACCATTGCTAAATATTAATTAATGGTTTGTTCTTAATATGGTTGAAATCATGATAACATATAGTTTTAATTTGGTAAATGAGCTGATACATAGTTTGCTTCTTTCAGAGGAATGGCTGTTAAAGATTCAGCATCACCGCATGGCCTTAAACTATTGATTGAAGATTACCCTTTTGCGGTCGACGGGCTAGAGATTTGGTTTGCTATCAAAACATGGGTTGAAGATTATTGCTCCTTTTACTACAAGACGGATGAGACAGTGAAGAATGATGCAGAACTACAGTGTTGGTGGAAGGAATTAAGGGAAGAGGGCCATGGTGACAAGAAAGATGAGCCTTGGTGGCCAAAGATGCAAACTCGTGAAGAGTTGGTTGAAGTTTGCACTATCGTTATATGGACTGCTTCAGCTCTGCATGCAGCAACAAACTTTGGACAATACGCTTATGCAGGTTATCTACCAAACCGTCCAACTATAAGCAGAAGATTCATGCCTGAGAAAGGAACTCCAGAATATGATGAACTTGTGGCAAATCCTGATAAGGCTTTTCTTAAAACAATCACGGCACAGCTTCAGACTCTTCTTGGCATTTCACTTATAGAAATATTGTCTACTCATTCTTCTGATGAGGTCTACCTTGGACAGAGAGACACTTCTAACTGGACATCTGATTCGGAGCCATTGGAAGCCTTTCATAAATTCGGAAAGAAATTGACAGAAATTCAGGACAGAATCACAACAATGAACAATGATGACAAACTCAAAAACCGAGTTGGACCAGTTAACATGCCATACACCTTACTTTATCCTACCAGCCAAAGTGGACTAACTGGCATGGGTATTCCTAACAGTGTCTCAATTTGAAAAGGCCACTCCCCTACAGGGTCTCCTTTTTACTATCCTTTGAATTCCCATTTTATTTGATTTCTTTCTTTCTGTCACTGTTCTGCTTAAGGTTATAATATAAAATGTAATGATGTATGCATGGGGCTGTTCCCACTTTATTTTTTAGTTGATCATGGATTCATAATTCATTGGGCTGTTTGTACGTATGACAGAATATAATATAAGGATTTAATGTTGTAGATAAGTTATCTACCTTCATTCTAAAAATGATGTCGTTTTCAATTGAAAGATTAAAAAATTATAATAAAAAAGACTATTATAATCCTGAAATAAATTATAATTACAAAAATATTTTGATTTCCATCCTAAAGCAATGTTGTTTTGGGCTCATTGTAGATTACTTAACTATATTTATCACAGAAAAAACGAACACGTAATATAATAAGGAGAATGTTATATTTACAAACTTTTTGTTTACAAACTACACTAAATCTGATTGGTCTGTATAAAGATATATATTTTGACAAGATCAGTTTACACTTGTGCTATAATTACGTTTCTATTTTGTTTTCTTGAAAGTTCTGTTATGATCAAATGCCAAAATAAAGAGCCTATTTGATAGATATATTAGAAGGAGGTACAACATATCATGTAAGTTTTATTTTATATTTAATATATTTATAAATAAAGCAAAATAAAACATAGAATGGTAAAGCATGTTTGTTTGTTTTTTTCTTCAAAAACTAAAATATAAAATAAAACATGTTTGGTTATTTATTATTTATTTCATTATTTTGAAATGTATTTCCCATGTTTTTATTTTTAAAATAAAATAATAAGAATATGTTTTTGTTATTTTTGTATTCATTATTCTCTATTATCATTTCAAATATCAAAACAAAATTATCAAACATGTATTTTGATATTTTTATTCTGTAAAATAATTTTAAAACTCAATTCTATAAAATAATTATAAAAACAAAAGAGCAAAACATAATCATACATAGTTACATACCCATAATATCACTTTCAAATTGACGAAATTAGCGAGAACTAAATAAAAACCTATAATCTAAGTGTAAGTTTGGGCTGAACGGTGGACCAGTCAATTATATTTGGGCCCAAATCGAGCCTGCCCAATTACTTTCACTGGGAGCATTAAAGAAAAAGAAAAACAAAGCGTGAGGGAGAAGCCTTGAACTTCTTCAAGCTAACTAGCGCCAAAATAAATAAACCAAAATTTTCCTTCGTGTTCAATTTCCTTTGCTAGTCATTTGGGGAATGCTTTTTTCGTTATTCGAATTTAACAAAACCGGGAAAAAATGTCAGATTCACAGTCCAATCCAGAGGTTTTCAGTGTTCGGATTGTCTCCATCGACTATTACATGGCACCGCCAATCCCAGGCGCGGATATCTGTTACAGCAGCTTCCATGGTACGAGACCGAACTTAAGTGATTTCACTTTCAATGTTGAATTGAACTGCTGAAGAACAAACGACAACGATTTAGGGTTCATTCCGCGTTCAAAATTTTCAGTGTCTCTATCTGATTGTGCACGAATTCTCTGGTTTTGATGAAGTTGTTGTGTTTCATTGTTTCGTTTTTATGGTAAGGTGGAAAAGTGAACGAGGTTCCTGTGATAAGAGTCTATGGTTCTACCCCTGCTGGCCAGAAGACTTGCTTGCACGTACATCGAGTAAGATCACACATGAATTCTTTTTGTCTTTTAAACCATTTTTTGGTTAAGAAACCGGATGCGTAGTTAGCTATGCTTCATATTTACTTCCCTTTTATTTACCACTGTGTGCAAGTACTAGCAATTTTGCTACCATAAATGCTACATCAGAGCTTTACCTTTTTGTATTATGTAATGTTGTTTCTGTTTCTCTATCTTTCGTATTATACTATGGTTAAACTTAAATTGTTTATCCGCATTATTATTTGCAGGCTTTACCTTATATGTACGTTCCGTGTTCAGATATACCACTTCAACCAGACCAAGAAGGTAATAGTAACTGATATTTACTGGTCCCCGTCTTGTCTGTATCAAGTGTTTGTTTGTATCTTATATTTGAATTTGCTTAATTTCATTCGTCTAATGATTCTTGTAAATGAGTTACTTGTTTGCTAATTTCTTTTCTTTTCTCTTTTTAACTTTCTAGGCCAATTTTAATCATCTGGATTATGTTTGTGATTTATCTAATTTTCTTCAGTATTTATGATTAACATAAATCTGACATTTTTTATTCAGTGACTTAATGCTTAGAATACATTTTTCTTGATGTTTCATAGGTGATGCATACACCTATAGGGTAGCTGCTTCTCTTGAGAAAGCCTTGAAGGTATCCTCGTACAAGTTAGAATGTGTTTTGTACTCTCTATTTTATGCTTCTTCTTTTGTCTGTTTATAGATGGAGTTTCTTATATTAAAGATGTAGCATTAACAAATTTCATTTCAACTTCTACAGCTTAAAGGCGGTGCTGGTTCAATGAGACAACATGTACATGGCTGCAGCTTTGTACGAGCAAAGAAATTTTATGGCTATCATTCTTCTGAGGAGTTATTTGTAAAGATATATCTGTATCCATATATTTTATATAATTTATTTATTTAATTTTTTTTGCTTTTGCAATATGTTTCAACATTCACAGTTGCACGGCATTCGTATCCCACTTGTATGTACAAGCTGTGATGATAGAATGTTTAAATCATGGGAAACCTTACCCAAAAAGGGGTAAGCCTTGACTGGTGCTTAAGATATTATCCACAAGATGTCTCCCGTGCAACTAATCTTCTCTTGGTACAATTTCTTGACTTTACTTATACTTAGCTGCTGCTTGTACCTCAGTTTTCACCTTGTTCAGAGTACTACTATTTTTGTTGATAAGTGGAAAGTCGTCAGTGAAATTACTCAAATTATTACATCTTAGTTCGATGTTACAGAGAATAAGCTTTCATCATGACATTTCCTTTACAGGCTGGTGCTGTTCTTGATAAAAGTTTGCAGCCACATGAATCACATATTCCCTTTATTCTTCAATTTCTGGTATGTACTTTCATATGATTTCTTATAACTGAAACTTATTGTAGTGTAAGTGTAACTAAAGATGATAAAAATCGTTTTCTGATGAATCATGGAATTAGTCATTGCTCCTTTTACATGGCATTATACGCACCATTAATTTTATGTACCTGGCTGCATTCACCTGCTGAATTCAAGCAATCTAATTTTATGCTTTCTATTTGTTATTATTTATGAAGGGGAATCTTGACATAAACATTTGGTGTTGTCACCACGGGAGTCGGAGATCAGAGGTTCGATTCATGTAATCAGCCTCTTGCAAATGCAAGGTAAGGCTGCCTACTATAGACCCATACAATGGGCCTGACCCTTCCGTGGACCCTGCGCATAGTGGGAGCTTCTTGGCTCCGGGCTGCCCTTTTTTTAATTCCGCATAATTTATATGGATTGGAATTGGAGTAGTTTGGGTGTGTTTGGAATATCCAGCTCCTGTCTTGTTCTTGGATGTTGTAATATGTTATTTGTGAATTGTGATGCATTTAAACAACTGTTGTCTTATGAATTGCTCATTTTATTTTTTACCTGTTGATGATAGACTTTCTGTTAATGGTTCCTGTTAAGTGACATTTTATCTGGTGATGTTCAAATGATATTGTGCCATTTCCAATGGCTTCTCAAGTTATATGAACTGAATGTGTTTTTCCATCAATGTTCTCTCATTTGATTGCTTGATACTAGAGAAGGGACTTTTTTGTTGATTACTTAGCTCTCTCTGTTGTAGATGCCCAAACACAAAATCCTTCAGCACATTTTTTTTGCTTAGTTTTGTCTCATGTTTGTAGATATATAAGTTTTTATTTTTTAATATGCTAGGTTGATTACAACTTGTATGGCATGGGTCATTTACACCTATCAAAGATGAAGTTCCGCCATCCCATACCGGACTCTTCTCGTGAGAAATTAAATATTGATAGCCAGCACAGAAAGGTGAGCTGACTTGCATGTTTTCAGCTTTCAAAGTCCCCCTAATTTCTTTTACTTGTTTAACCACCAAATTGTTATCTGGTTTGATGATATATGTCCCTTATTTATATTTGATATCATAATCTTTTCATTAGACAGGTTCAGGTGCTAATGCATGTTTAGAGTCAAAGTTGTGGATATCTTCCATGATCGCATCTGATTGGATGTGGTCACCCCCTGGCGAATTCGGTGCTTCGCAAAATGATAAGGCTTATTGTCCTAAACGTCAAAGCATCTGTGAGCTTGAAGGAGACACTTCTGTAGATGGTTTGTCTGGTTTCATGGTCATACAAAACTCAATAACACAAATGCGCATGCACACATATATACTTGAATGCATAACAGTGTCTTCTTCTACTGCTATCTTTCCTGATTATAAAGATATATCTTATTTGGCAGAGATTCTTAATCAGCAGTTTAAAATGTATTCATCTCTCTCACAAACATGCTTAGATGTCAACATGGTTCAGTCACTTGTACCGATATGGGAGGTAACCTATTTATCCGTCTTTATATATGTCTATTTTACATGTTATGTTCTCTGGGTTCTATCTAAATTAAATGCCTTATATTGTTTCAGGAACAGCGGAAACGAACTGGGATTCATGAGGCTACTATGCCTTCTAATTCTGGACAACCGCTTCCGGAAGATGTTATGAAACTTCTCTCTGTTTGTCTTGACTTCAAGAAAAAACTTATTGAATTGTGCAGTGAAGCTGAAACCTCTCTATTTTTTACTCCTTCTGAGAAGGAATTGAGGTTTGTGCGTGGCCATTGTTACATGATGGAAAATTTAGTAAATCTTACATGTGGAACATGATAACTCTTGAATTGCTGCAGGGAAACAGACATAATAGGCTCGGCATCACCCCCAGCTTCATTATGTAAAAATGCCGAATTGCATGAGGAAGGGACTGACACAAGTCTAAAATCGTTGACTATTGATGAAATGCAAACATCTGAAATGATTGGAACAATGGACGTAAAGGCAATAACTTTTTCCATGATTTTTCTTCTATGAATAACGGGATTTTTTCATGATAACTCCTACCTTTTTTTTTGACAAGATAACCTTCTTTGGGGGTTGGGGGTTGGGGTTTTATTGTGTAGTGTTTTTTTGAAGACTCTATGGATGTGTGTGTCTTCTCCTTGTTATGTAATCTGCTATGCATGTTGTTACCTACAAAATAACAAAAGTACTCTTCCTCCCAAGTCCCACCCCCTTCTCAAAATAGCCATATCTTGCCATGATCAGTTGCTCTTTGTAAAGAACCAATTCAACCCAAAACCTTAAGGCGTTGGGTGATGGTTTTTTTAATGGTTTATATTATTCTCTAACACACCTTTTCATGCAAGAGCCTTTTGAGCTTGAAGCGTGGATATTGCATAGGCCCAAATTTTTTTATTGGTGTACCTTATGCTTATTTAATTCCACAAGTGGAGGGGGGGGGGGGGGGCGATGAGGATTAAATTCGTGACCTTATGGTCACTGAAGCTCTGATACCATGTAAAGAACCAATTCAATCCAAAATCTTAAGGTGTTGGGTGATGGTCTTTTTAATGGTTTATATTATTCTCTAACACTCTGCATGTAGTCAGAATCCCATGAAAGATCTATTCTGAAAGATTGTTCAATGTGAAATTTTCATTCTCTCTTTAGCATCACCGACCTTCATTAATAATTTTTATTGCTGATTGTCTAGATCATAATCACTAAAATTGTGTAAATTTTAACTAGAGCCGGCTTTTCTATTGGTGCACATTCACATGCATTAATATATCTGAACGTGAGATTAATGATTTCATGCATTGCTTACCCTCCTAAATGAAAGTTGATGATTTTATTTTTATTTTATTTTTTATGCTGGAAATAAAAGATTCATGATTTCCATATTCTTTGTCTTATTTTCACTGGTATTTATGTATACTTTATCTGAATAATTTAAAATTTCATAAGAACCTTTTAAAGGAAAAAGAAAATAATCTCACTTATTAATTTATTTCTCGTTTTTCTTAAAAATAATTCAGGAACAATAATCACAGGACCAACTGGAGCCATAGGGATTTTAAATTTATCACGGCACTATCCGACCTTTGATTTTCTTTTACAATTTGGTCTATTGAAATTTTCTCATGCATTTCTGTATTTCCTGCTTTGTAGGCTGCAGATAAGGAAGCACAAAATCTTCTTAAGTGGCTTGCAACTTCTCAAGCTGCAGAGGATATAGACTCTGATGATGAACTTGTTTGTGAAACAATCTTGAGTCCCTTGTTACCTGCAGCAACAATTGATAAGGTGCTGGAGAAAGCTAATATGGCTTATGAGAGTGAGTCCCAGAAGGAGTGTCAGGATATTCTAGATTCAATTGATGATATGCTTGAGTTGGAGTTACCAAAGGAAAAGCCTTCTTGTTCCTTTGATCACAATTGTCCTATTGAGGCTTCATCAAACAGTATGATACCCCAATTTGATGGTTCTAATGATGATGAATTCTCAAGTCCGTGTACTAGTTTGGCTGGAACCTCTTCTGCAGCAGAGATAGATAGTGAATTCAAAATGGCTTCTGAGTACCATGTACTGCACAGTACTGACACAAGTACAGTTGGTAAAGATAAAAGGACTAAAAAATGGGGGTCTTTGCCTTTGTCCATGACAGATAAGTTTAATAATGATGGAGAACATGTTACTCTACATGCGGCTCATCCTTTAGAAAATGAAACTGGAGATTCAGCTCACTTAGATTACTTCACCAGAAATGAGGTTAGAAATAGTGCTTGTATTATAAGAAATGTGGGCAAAGGTGCTTCAGATTCAAAAGAAGTACATAGATTGGTTAACTGCTCTTTGCGGGACCTGATGAGGCGAAAGCGATCCTATCGAGTTGATCAAGCTGAATGCGAGTCTGGGACAACTAAAAAGCTTCTTTTAGACAGGCATGGAGGACTAAATACATGCCTTTCGCAAAAACAAGTGGATTTGAAAACAATTCAAACCAATGAAGAAGAAACAGAACTCCAGAAGAATTGTGATCTTAAAGTGGGCAATCATGATAATTTAGTGTGTGGCAAACTGCCCCTTCTAGCTGGCAGTGATAGTTTTTTACAGGCTTGTATGCCAAAAGATGAATGTTTTGGTCTACATGAAATGGAGGGTCTGGAAGCAAGTACAGTGTTGAGGAACTCCACAAATGGAGTTTCTTCTTTAATGCATGGAGGACCAGGGCTCCATAAGCCTGAAAATTTAGATTTTACTGATTCCATATACCACTCTGTAGCTAGCAGTGGTAAAAACCTTAAGGTTGGTACAGCTGATGCAAAACCTATAGTTCCTGATGTCTATACTCCAAATCCCTTTTTAGGTGCTCAGTTGAGAACTGATGCTGATCATAAAGGCAGAGCTTCCGATAGGTGTCAGCAAACTGATTCTGCTGCTTCAAGTAGTGCACAGAGCTCATCCATTGATGATAAAGGGTCTGACAAACATAATTGTTTGGATCAAAATTCTTGTGGAAGCATATCTTTCGAGCAACATGATCCGATGAAGCTTTATGAGAATGCTGTGGGCGAAAGTGCTGCAAGTGACAAGCTAGTATTGCTAAGTGAAAAAGTTGATATTCAAAAACTTGGTGAAAATTTGTTGCACAGTATTGGCTCAGAACCCATTGTTGATGACCTGAAGGGTAATCACATGAAATTAACTGAAACAACCACAGGCAAGAAAACCGCATTGGCTAATAAGAGTCTTGAGAGTAATTCTCCCATGCCAACAGTCTCTAATACCCATTTAGGTTTGGATGAGGACAGCTGTGATGAAATGTCAGGTTGTAACTTCACCTCCCTTTACCCATTTTCCCTGGATTTTAACCTTACTTGCATTTGTCTCTATTTTTGTTATATACTCTGAATGGGTTTTGTGCCTATTTTTCTCCGGATTCTTTTTGGTGAGTGTGTTATTCATTCAGTCTCATGCCTATTGTTAGACAATAGAGCCTCTCTTGTGCTAGGTTATGTATTAATATTAGCTGTCAGTCAGCCGATATTAATATTTTTTAGGGGGGCACAAAACCTGCTATTCTATAGAATGGCCAGTAATCAGCACTTAAGAAGGAAACTGAGATGGTGCTTATATAGTTATATCTTGTTCCAGGTGTCCAGAGGTCCAAACATTTAAGAAAAATCTATAGCTGATATCCTTTCATTTATTGACATCTCTGATCTCACTGTTTCATTCTTTAGATTGAATGTTGATTTATTTGAAATTACTGTGTAGTTGATGGTTTGATTTAACTCTTTGAAGAAACTTTGATAGAAACATGCTCTTTTCACTGGCGGGTGGTTGCTTAAGGCATCGTTTTTGCTGGGAGATAAATGGGTCTGGAATAGGGGCTATGTGGAAGCAGCCACATTGGCAGTGGAAATAGGATAATGAATGTTAATATCTGGTAGAAACTTTTGAGGCTAGCAAAACTTTACAAACTGCTATCATTTTATTCGTGGTCTCCCTCCTCTTGGTGCTGGAGAATTGCGTTTTTAAATGTTCATCTTTATCATATACACATGTTTAAATGAACTATCGTTCCAATGAATTTTGGTGACTTAATTGAACCAGGATGTAAGGCATTTTATGAAATTTATACACTCTATGTTAGTGTGAAATGTAGCTGACCCCCCTTGTGGGATAAGGCATGATTGTTGTTACTGTTGATTTTAGTTTGTTATGTCTTCTTCCTTGTTCTCTGGCCTGATCTTATTGGGTGTTTGATGAAACTTCTCACCAGCTTGTGTTTATTTCTTGAAGGGAATGCTCTGGATGTTTTTCGTCCCATTTCTGCCAGGGATTCCCAGAGAGAGATGGAAACTTGGAACAAGCATATTACAATTAAAACCCTTAGATCTCATGGGACAAAGGGTGTTGCCACTCTCTATCAAAATGATGGCTCTCACCTATACATATTAACACCTAATATTTTGCCACCTTCTGTGGGTACTGTTCATAGATGGCTATTTTGTGATGAAAGAGGTATATACTAAAACATATGTGCATTTCTTACCTAATCAGTTATTTGCTTTGATCCATAATATCTGTTCTTGGAAATTCACTATAGAAAAAAAAAAGAAAAAAAGCCTTCTTGTCTGAAGGGTATAGGATTTTTTTATATTTGGAAAATGAATTTGAGATTTCGAATTGCAATATAAGTGTGACTCATTGGCAAATCTTTGAGAAAAATATTGGTTTTTCTTTTGCCTGTTGATTATTATTAGCAGAAAGAGACAAACCCAAAGGAGAAGAATGGAGTCCGTGTCTTGTTCAGACAATGTTTTGAATTTTATTAAGTAAAGAGAGCTTGTTTTACAAGCTTTTACAGCGGTTCAAAATGAAATGACACACAAAGCTTAAGATACAGAACTAAAACAATAAGGCTAAAGGAAGCAAGCATCCCTATGTATCTAACAATTGTGACAAGGTAATGCCCTAATCTGGCCTTACTAATCTTCTCTCAGCTGGGCATACTCCTGATCAAATGCCTCAAGAAACTGATGCAGAGGACAAGGATGTACCTAAATGCCCTTCTGGACCTCCTCTTAGGCCTAAGTTGTATCAGGATGCTGGTACAGAAGAGAAGCCTCCATGCACTAGCGAAGGACAAAAAGAAAGAGTAAAAGCATGCCTAGATGGTTCACAAGATATTTCTCAGATATCAGGGCCTGATGAGAAATCAAATTTTACCCCTCTAAGTCAAATTGGATTTCGAGACCCTGCTAGTGTTGGCCGTGGACAGCAATTGACATTACTTAGTATAGAGGTACTGGAGATAGTATTCTCCTTAATTTTTCGTGCCTGCAAATTTGTGTATATGTCTTCTACAGCTATTTGATGTCTCTCAAATTTGCATGTCGGATTCTGATTTGAAGACCTTATTTTATTTTAGGTATATGGTTCTTTAAATCTACTTTTCCAGTTTTCCTAGATTTCTGCAAGAATTAGACTCTTAATATTTGGTGACAATCACACACACACACAAAAGAATCAAATCATCATTCCCCATTGCTGATCATACTCAAAAGTGATGATTTTGATAAATCAATAACCAACCATATTTTTTATTTCTTTTTGTTTGATGATTTCTTTTAATATTTATTGCATGCTTTATGAAGATCTTGCTTCTGTTATCAAACCAGCTTGCTATAGTTATAGTTCTCCACTTTCAAATTCTTATCCATCATTTTTGAATGATATTGAATTAAAAACCCAAGGGTGGTAGTTGTTGTTACCTGTTAAGACTAATACTTGTAAAATGTGATTAGAATCTTTTTTATAGCAGGAACTAGGGATTCCATTTGGCATTTTTTGGTTGTTATTGTGAAGTACATTTTTTATTTTTTTTAACTTGTATTATCTTTGAATTATATTTTAAAATTTTAATTTTGTTTCTTTTGTTAGTTTTCTTTTTGTAAATGAACATCTCTGTAGTTTTGTTACTCTCATAGGTCTGACTTGACTGCAACACTGATAGGTTCTTGCAGAATCTAGAGGAGACCTTTTACCTCATCCTCAGTTTGATGGGATCAACATTGTAGCTCTTGGTTTTCAGAATGATAGTGATTCTATTGTTGAAGTTCTTGTTCTTTTGCATAGTAAATTTATACCTTGTCAGAGGTATGATAATGTTACTTTGTGTTTACTCATTCTCTTTCTTGATTTGCTTTCTATTGGTGACAAATTTTATGCACCAGTATACACTAAATTTCATACAAGCTAATCATGTGTTTACAAAATTGCTATTCATGTTGATTCTTCATGGGTTTTGCAGAAGTTTTGATGGTCTATCAGGATGCAAAGTATTGGTCTTCACTGATGAAAAGCACTTGTTAAAAGAATTTATAAAGATTGTGTCTTCATCTGACCCAGATATTTTGATGGGTTGGGATATTCAAGGGAGTTCTCTTGGTTTTCTAGCTGAAAGGGCATCACATCTTGGTTTAGGTTTACTTAATAGTTTGTCTCGCACTCCATCTGAGTCTTGGATTGCTTCTGAAGATGCCAAAACTTCTGAAAAAGGTATCTTGGAACTGGACATCCCTGATACCCCTAGTCTAGATTGTTGCATGAAAGAAAGTTCAATAATTGAGGATGAATGGGGACGAACACATGCCAGTGGAGTTCATGTAGGTGGAAGAATTGTCCTTAACGTATGGCGATTGATCCGTGGAGAAGTTAAGCTAAATTTATATTCTGTTGAAGCTGTAGCTGAAGCTGTGTTGAGGCAGAAAATTCCTTTAGTTCACCACAAGGTGCTGACAAAATGGTTTTCCAGTGGTCCTGGACGAGCAAGATATCAGTGTATCAAATATGTTATAGAGAGAGCAAAGCTAAACCTTGAGATACTAAACCAACTTGATATGGTACAGTAGCATTATAAGTTTATTTTCAAAATGAAGATTTTCTTAATGAGTATTTAATGCACACAGATTGGGTGCATGTTTTGGTTATATTTCTACCAGAGTCTATTTTTTAGGCTTGTTGGGGTGCTTGAAAATCTCAAAACATGTGTGCAATTTATTTACACATACCTCTGAAGTTTCTCAGAAGTCATTTTTAGCTTCTTTCTTTAGAGCTAATGGATGATGCAGTAATAGATTATTGTGTTTTTGTGAATATATGGTTTGTTGGATTCCTTATTTAGTGTTTTCTTTTTTTTTAAAAACAAAAAAACCCACTCCCCATGAAATCCCAACTTGCAAAGGTAGGTATAAGGGAAAATCCTCATACTCAACCTTACTTTTGCACATTTTGCAAAGAAATTGTTTCCTATATTCGAACCTAACCTTTCGGTCACAAAGGAGTGGCTCGCCCTCTTTTTAGATTGGTTAATTAGCTTTCTTATATCATAATATTTTGGGGTCCAAAAATAAGGAACATTGACATTTTCTTTTTCTTGTTCACTGATTTGTAGGCTTTCCTTATTTCCTGTTTATTTTTCTTTTGCAGGTGAATCGAACATCGGAACTTGCTCGTGTCTTTGGCATAGACTTTTTTTCTGTTCTGTCTCGAGGCTCACAATATCGTGTTGAATCCATGTTTTTGAGGTTGGCCCATACACAAAACTATCTTGCTATCTCACCTGGAAATCAACAGGTTCCTGCAAAATTCTCTTATCCTCTCTTTTGATCTGTGGATAACTAATTATAATGTTAAATGTTCTTGATACTATCATAAACCAAGCATAATAAGATTATATACCTTAGTATTATTCTGGAGGTCTTTTCTTTAATCTGGAAAATGTTGAGTTGTGCTTGTAGTTGTCCATTAGTCCACCAGCCCTCCTAGCATGATTTCATTTGTGATTAGCACTTCTGCAGTTTTTACTGTATCCTGTTATTTGATATTGTATATCATTTTATTGATTGATTTTCTTTTAGATGATGCTCTAATAACTAATAAACCTTATTTGATAAGCTGGTTGTCTCTGACACAAGGAAGTACATCTCAAAACTAAGAAAATGATAAAAAAAACAAAGGAATTTGACCCAGAAACGCAATAGAAGTTGTAGACTTTGTGCCAAAAGATCCAAGTTTTAATTAGAAATTGGAATAAAGTTGCTCCCCAAGCTTTCCTCTGCTGCCACAGCAAGTCTTCAATAAATGCTCTCACAAGCTCCTCCACGTTATTTCTGTACTATTTCCTCCTTCTTTATTTCTGCATCACTTAACTGGGCAAGCATCTTTAAATTTATAGTACTAGGGTCAAAGCATACCATGTCTACTACTAATATCAAATACAATAAGCTAACCATGTTTAAGGGATCTCTCATTTTCTCAACTTATTTTTCTAATTTTCTTCTAGGTGTGTTATTTTAATTCATAGTAGTTAATTGCGCCGCAATAGCGCCGCGAGCCTCGCCGTATGGGCGTTGCGGTGCCTCGCCGCAAGAAACCGCGCTGCACCGGAACGCAATAGTGGCCATTGCGATCGCATTTGCGGCCATATTGCTGTCATAAGGCAAAATGTCAATTTTGTCCTAAATTTAAATGTGTAACAGAAAAAATTTAAGGGTTTTTTAGTCTATCCGTGTCTCTCTCTGTCACTTCTACTATCTCTGCCTTTAAAAAATGTTTCTTTTTGTCATTATTTCTGTCATATATCTATTCTGCTATTTCCGCAACCGCAACCCGTTATAACGCTATAGCGTTTTTCGGAGTTGGCCGCGACATGCCGCAATCCGCATATGATAACTATGTTTTAATTACGACTGACTGATGAGATAGAATATTGAATGTGATAAATGGATAATTTCAATATTAAAATGGTTCTTGGGCATTGGCTTTGTGTTCAGTGCCCTCACCAGGGACCATATGACTAGCCAAGTCATTCTGCATGATGAGTTTATATCTCTATCAACATTCAGCTTCTTCTTTTTTGTAATTCACCCATTCAAACAGGTTTATATTATTAATCAAATTATCAAGTTTTCCCTAGGTCAAGCTATCTGCATTTTTCTTTTGGCGATTAAAACTGACTTTTATTATCCCTTACTCATAATTGCTGCAGTGTTTTGTTATGCTGGGGCTTCTTTTATGGTCTATTTAATGTTTGTTTTCTTCACCTATATCCAAGGGCTTAACAACTTTTTTTTTATTTAATTTCTTTTAGGTTGCTTCTCAACCTGCCATGGAGTGCCTGCCCTTAGTAATGGAACCGGAGTCAGGATTTTATTCAGATCCTGTTGTTGTACTTGACTTCCAGTCTTTATATCCATCCATGATAATTGCATACAACCTTTGTTTTTGTACATGTCTTGGAAAAGTTGTCGCAGCGAAGGCTAACACGCTTGGTGTTAGTTCGTTTTCACCAGAGCAACGTGTTCTGCAGGATTTAAAAGATCAAATCTTGCTCACCCCAAATGGTGTTATGTTTGTACCTTCCAAGGTGATTTAGTCAATCATTTTTTTTTTCTATTGAGTAGTCATGACTTATGAGTCCTGACCCACTTCTTAACTCCTTTATATTTTTGAGTCCTGGACTTGATATTAATGGACCTGAACGAATGCCATAGATTTGCCAGAACTGTAAATTGTTGTAATTTGCGGGGCTAGTTTCTCATTAGCTTATCATTGTGATTCAGTCTTTCTTTTTTTTCTATTGAGTAGTCTTTTGAGTCTTTAGCCACTATCTTCCATCTCCTTTTGTTTTGTTAAAAATATAATATAAAATATAAAACCATTCATCTACTATTATTACCTAAGAACTTAATATTTTGGGTTGAAATGGTAATTGACATGATATTAGAGCACAATGGGCTCTTGTGTGAAAGGGCGTGTTACCACGTCAACATCAACAACAACAACAACACTTTTATTATCCCAAACTAATTGGGGTCGGCGGTAGATGAACACAAATGAAAGATACGAAGAGATCGTGTGATAGGATTCCAAGTATAATAAAATAGAGATATAACTGGAAAAACAACTGGTATTAATCTTCTGAATCCAAACACAGATTCAGACGAGAAATTACACTAGCAAATATCAGAGTCTAAATGAAAATACAAGTAAGACAACTTAATAAGATAAAAGGACCCTCAAATTACTACTACCCAGAGCATTCGAGAGGCTCTGGTTCTCTCCCAGAATTCCAGCCTAAGTCCCAAATTCTTCAAGTGGTCCCAAAACAGAATTATTCTCTGCTATATGTAACCGTGGGTGTAAACATGAGTGGTGCTGATTGTGTAATGCGACGCCAAACATTCCTTCTAACCAACTGCTGACTCGACATTAGTATTAGGAGCTTGTGATCCTCTACGCCTCCTCCTTGAATACACCTTCCTAAATCTGCTGCTTAATGCCACGTCTCTATCATCGTGTTAGAGAATTATAATATAAAATATAAAACCATTAATGTGCCTTCATCTAATACCTTAAACTTTTGGGGGAGTTGATTGTATGACATGGTATCAAAATCTTTGTAACCAAGTGGTCCTGAGTTCGATCATTGCCGCTGCCTATTCTTCTAAATAATCTTCTAATAAATATTGTGAGATTTCCTTGCCCAGGTATGTAGGTTTGTATATTGTCCACCCTTCAAGCCAAACAGACTCTTGTGTGAGGAGCATGTTAGAAATATAATATAAAATATAAAATCGTTCATCTAGTTTTACCTAATAGCTTAAGCTTTTGGATTGAAATGTTTCTTGACACCTTTGTATTTCATTGTATATATAAAGGAGCCTTGAATTTAGTATTAATGGATTGGAATGAATAACATAGATTTGCACAGCTATAAATTGCTGAAAATTATTGCTGATAACTGTCCCAAAGACTCATACGTGCAGCATTCTGTTTCATCAAGATTAGTACAAGTAGTTCTTTTTCCTTAGCTTGGCAAACTGTTATGTCAACCTTTTCCTTAACTCAATTAGCTTTTATATATATATATATATATATATATATATATATATATATATATATCTTTTATTTGTATCTTTTAGGCATAGTAGATGTTTCATGTATTAGTGCAAGTGACCTTAGTGGAGAGGATGAAGTAACTTCTATCTATACTGCACTGTCATACAGGTTCGAAGAGGTGTAATGCCCCGCTTATTGGAAGAAATCTTATCAACTAGAATAATGGTAAAACAATCAATGAAAAAGTTGGCTCCTTCAGAGCAAGTTCTTCAGCGGGTATGGATGTGAATTGGAATTGAATATCTTCTATTTGCCCAGTATGATTGTCCAACACTATTAGTATAATAGTAAGGAACTAAATACCTATGATTATAAATGTTAACAATCTATGTTCTTCTAAAAGTATCATTTTTTCTATTTTATAAATATTATTGCAGTATTGGCCAGATTTTACCAAAAAATAAAACAAAAATAAAATTATGATTCTTTTCAGTTTGGAGGATTTTCTGAAAAATTCCAGAACTTTTCAAAAAGATAGAAGAGATTGAGAAATTTTATGAAAATTTTCCAACTGAATGTATGCTAAATATTTTTACCTACATATGTCACTGCATTTCATGGATTTAGTTTCATGTGCTGTGTGTGACGTAGGTATGATTGTTTTATATGCATAATGTAAATATAAATTACGAAGTATTACAATTTTCTTTTCAGATACTTAATGCAAGGCAGCTTGCTTTGAAGCTCATATCAAATGTAACATATGGTTACACTGCTGCTGGATTTAGTGGCCGCATGCCTTGTGCAGAACTTGCGGACAGTATTGTTCAATGTGGCCGTAGTACACTGGAAAAGGCTATATCATTTGTAAATCTACATGAAAAGTGGAATGCTAAAGTTATTTATGGAGATACTGATAGGTAACACTACAATATCTTTAAGACCTCTTGAGATTTGCCTAACGTACACGCACCTCTATTTTTTAGAAAGTACACTGACCTTTGTTCACCTGTACCGAAGATTGCATACAGGGGTTATATGTGTCTGGAAAAAGTTTGACCGGTTCGGGGGTGTGTGTTTGTCTGATAAAAATTCAAAATGAGGGAGGTGAGTGTACTTCAAGGCAAACCCTAGGGGAGGTCCGTGTAAGTATAATAATATATACCCTTCTGCTTATGTGGCTTGTGTGCTGTAGAGGCAAAAGTTTCCAATATCTTTTCCACTCTGATATTCTGCTTGGCAAATTTCAGACTGCCACAGCTGGAATTGTCGTATTAAAGACATCAGTTAGGTAATACAATTAGTTTGAGGAATTGGAGAGGTTGGGTTGGAAGAGGGGAACTGGGGTTTTGGGATTTGGAAACATTCAGATCTGAAATTATATTATGACTGCTGAAGTGAAAGGCCCAATTATATTAGGACAATCCTTTTTAATAAAATTAGGAAACACAATAGAGGTTATGATAAAGACTTTCTGACAGAAATTCTTCAATAACATTCTTAATTCATATAATATCCCATTAGTATTAGGTTTCTAATTCTAACATATAGAGCTTGCTTAGCCTCTCTATGCTCATGGGTTTTTAAGGGTGATTCTAGGTCAGACTTGTAAAGGAACTGGGTTGCTCTTACGACTTCATACATTTTGTGTTTTCTTTTCTCCTTCTATTTGCTGTTGTTTTGTTTGTGTCTTTTGAACTCATTCCTTTCCATTTCTTAATGAAATCTTCCTTTATTAATTATTATTATTATTATTGCTACTACTTAAAACTAGCTAAAATAACTAATAAAATTCCCAAAGAGGTTCACCATAAAAATTACATAATAAAAACCCATTTTGCCCTATATTGTCATCACATGTAAAAGAGATGATTGATAGTGATTGAAGAATGGCAAAATCAAACTTTTTCATTGGTCATTTCTTCAAAACATGTTCTTGTTCCTCCTTTTGTGTTAATTATTTTCCAACAAAGTGTGTACATACAGCTAGCTGGGATTATGTGACAATTGAATGATAGCCCTTTGGTGTCTAATTTTGACCGCCATATCATCTCCTGCATGATTGTTATTATTTTTTCAAGTAATGATTAGTAAAGTGGCAGAGCTGAAAGGAAAAAACAGATTAGTAAAGTGACTGTATTTTCTGCAGTATGTTTGTCCTCCTGAAAGGACGCACCATCAAAGAGTCCTTCCAAATTGGGAGTGAGATTGTTTCTGCTATCACTGCTATGAATCCTAGTCCTGTCACCCTGAAGATGGAGAAAGTTTATCACCCCTGTTTCCTCCTAACTAAGAAGCGATATGTTGGCTACAGTTATGAAAGGCCTGACCAAAGTGAACCAGTTTTTGATGCTAAAGGTATTGAGACAGTACGCAGGGACACATGTGGTGCAGTTGCAAAGATAATGGAGCAGTCTTTGAGACTCTTTTTTGAGCATCAGGATTTATTGGAGGTATAAATGCTTGCAGATTGCATCATTCTGGTACACATCACAGTGAATGTGACAATTGTTTAAAAATGATTATGATATCTCTGGTATAGGTTAATGCATGTTTGATTAGGTGGAAAATGATAAGCTAAAATATTGAGGGGGTTAAAATGGTCTTTTATAGAAAGGTTTTGATGTTCACTCATCATTGCTTGAAGGAGGGTGGAAAATCACTTTCAGCTCACTGACATACTAGAGGAGATTAGCAGTGTCCAAAATTTGTGAGGGGGAGTTTGAATGAGTTGCATTCCATTTTAAATAGTTCCACATTTTTTTTGTCGTACATAGTGTGAGTCTGGTGAATAATTTCATGGTCATGTATTCCCTGCTATACATTTTCTGCATAATTAAGTACTTGGATGTTGTATTCATGCAGCCTGATATTATTATTGTTATTATTATTTTTGCAAAAGAAAATCATAATAGAAATTATCTTAGTGAAAAGTCTATCTTTTGAGTCCTCCACTCTGATTTATGCTCTGTTAATATCCCTCCTTGTTCAAGCAACTTCTTTTTAATGTAAAATGATAAAAAGAATATCAGCTATTTATTATGGATACTTCATCTGTAAAATTACAATATTAGTTTAACCTGAATTCGTACTTATCACTTTTTATTTGCTGCCTGCAGGTGAAGACTTATTTGCAACGTCAGTGGAAGAGGATTCTTTCGGGCAGATTCTCCCTTAAAGATTTTATTTTTGCAAAGGAGGTTCGCTTGGGTACCTACAGCACAAGGATCTCATCACTTCCTCCTGCTGCAATTGTGGCCACTAAGGCAATGAGGGTAGATCCTAGGGCAGAACCACGTTATGCTGAGAGAATACCTTATGTTGTAATCCATGGAGAACCTGGAGCCCGCCTAGTTGATATGGTTGTGGATCCTTTGGAAGTTTTGGCTATTGATTCCCCATTTAGAACAAATGATTTATATTATATTAATAAACAAATAATACCGGCTTTACAGAGGGTATATGGGCTTGTTGGTGCTGATCTGAACCAGTGGTTTTCAGAGATGCCCCGTCCCATTAGGGAAGCTTCTGCTAAGCGTACTTTCACTCCAAATATCCATCGAACCAGAATTGATTATTACTATCTCTCAAAACATTGTGTACTGTGTGGTGGGTTGGTCCAGGCATCGGCCCATTTATGTAATCAGTGTTCTGAAAATGAAGTAGCTGCTGCAACAGCAGTAATTAGTAAGACTTCGAAGTTGGAGCAAGAGATGCAACATCTTGTTGCTGTAAGTATATTATGTTTTTCATCAATTGCGTTAAGGTTTCTTTAGAGATTGTGTAGGTCTAATACTCCTCATTCTCATTCAATTTATTTTTCTTGTAATGGGCTTGTGTAGGTTATTTAATGCATGGAGGAAATCTACTTGAAAATGATAGGTTGTTGTGTCATTGTTGTTAGTATGTTGTTTTGGTTTGCATTAGATTATCTGTTTTGTAACTTCTGCTGTCTCAGGTCAGTTTGATGAAAGTTTCTGTCATATCAAAAGATCTGTCTTTCTTGTTCCTCTCCGTTGACCCCTTAGATTTATGCTTCGTGATGTTTTCTTCCTTTCTTTTTTTCCTGGTGATAATTGTGTACTTTTTTTTCAATCCTGTTGTAGATATGTCACCATTGTGGAGGCGGGGATAGGCTTCTTGAGGGTGGCGTAAAGTGCACGTCCATTTCATGCTCGGTGTTCTTTGAGAGGCGGAAAGTTCAGAAAGAACTACTAGCTGCCACCCATGTTGCTGCAGGTAAAGGCTTCTATCCAAGATGCATGATGGAATGGTTCTGAAAGCCTGTTTTCCTTGCTAGTATAACTAGCATATGGTTAGATTTTATTTTGGCTGGGCCTTGCTGTTTATGGCACTACCTTGTATATATTTTCTGCACAAAATGGTAAAGATATCTTTATCTCACGTTAAGCTAAAAGAATTCTGTATATATTGTTCTGTTGTGAATTGTGATTAATTAAGTGTAAAGCTGAGTTAATCAACGTGGATGTGTTTTCTTTTTTGCGCATTGAGCAACTCTGCAGTGGTTTTGACAATTTTCTTTCATCAATGTATAGGTTGTGTATATTTCGTGATTTTATGCTATTCGTGCATGGCGGTAGATTATACAATTCTTGATCGTGACAAAAAAACATTCGACCTTCGTGAGAATATCAGATGTATTGGCAAGGGATATCCGATTTACATATAAACTCAAGGGATGTCAATTTACGGATAAAAATCTTCCTTATGGCTTTTGAGTGCACGAAACCTAAATTTGCTTAGAAAATAGAAGATCCACCAGAGTATTGTTATGATATGTTATGCATCGATATGTGATATGACATGACAAAAGTTAATTCTAAAAAATATTACATTTTGACACATTAGAATATATTTTGATATTAAATAATATTTTTAATATATATAATATAGTTTATATTTATATATATAACAGTCTATAATAAGTAATATAGCCAATTAAATATTCAAATTTCATGATATAAATATAAAGTAAAATTAATTTTGCATGTCTTGTTAATTTTTCATGTCAAATTTTACAATAGAAAATATTTGATTTATAAATTAATTTATCATGTTTAATTAAAAAGATAAAATAAAATAAAATTTGAATCTAAAAAAAAAGTGTTCTGAAAATATCAACTGTGTGTCGGAATGTGTCGGAACATTGATCGCATGTCGAAACATACGGGAGAGTTGACTGCGTGTTGGAATGTAATGTATCAGTGTCCGACACACATTTTTCACTTGTCATCGCAGATGATATGCAAACGAGTTGAATGATGCCGCATACCCCATTTTTGAAATGTTAATTTTTTTTTTAACTTTGAACTTTAATATTTTATTGAACTCTTAATAATAAATTATAAAATAAATGAAATATAGTAAAACAAGATTTACGAATATGAGCATCGAAAACTTTAATATGACTAAAAAATTAATTTGTTTATTACATAAATTTACTTAAATTCAAATAAAATAAAAAAGTATTTATAAAAATGTTTAAAAGTATATAAAATAAAAAAATAATCAGTTTAAGTAGAATTGAAAATTTTAAAATTTTGAGAAATATTACATATATATAATTTTTAAAGATAATTATAATTAAATATAGATAAATAAATTAAGTTCCTTAAATATGTTTATACAAGCCGTGAGCGATTTATAAGTACCGCGCGAAATAACAACTTTTTCATTTTAAAACTAAAACCGGCAACGGATCAAATCTTTTGCTTTCAATAGTCGAGGTTTAATTGTTTAAATTTTTATTGCAATATTTACCACGAAATGTGTGTGAAAAAACGCCTAAAGCTGATTAAGTAGTGCATTAATCAGCTGTACATAAAACTTGTAAGCCAAATACTGATAAAAAGTTTTAAGGCCTTAGGTTCCGTAGAGGCTGAGGCTTTATGAGGAATCGATAATATTTAGACAAAGTTATAATTCTTAATACTAGAGATAAAGTTGATGTTGATAATTGTTTAGACATGTCAAGTATTCACGATGAGCTCGGGGGATTATTATCAACGAACTAAGGCTATATTGTCATATCAAATAGGTATAATATCATGTTACAATCCAAAATCTTAAGTATTAGGTTTATGGTCCTCTAATTTATATGGATTTCACTTTGCCCGTTACCAATCAAGGTGGGGACTCATCACACTTGAATAACTCAACAATCTTTCCCTCAAGTGTGAAACTCAATACTGGTATACTCCCCCTCTCTCCGATTACTCAGGCCCAAAGTACTCCACCCATCTCTAGCCAAACATCTAGCTAGTTCGAGCTCAACCTAGCTCTGATACCACTGTCAGACGGGTCCAGGAGGAGCCCATGGAGGGGAACCACCATCAATAGGTTAAAGCTATACCATCATATCAAGTGGGTCTGACACCATGTCACAACCCAAAACCTTAAGGCATTGGGTTCATTAGTTCTCCACTTATATGCACTTCACTTAGCTCATTATCAACTAATATGAGACTCATTTCACTTGAATATCCTAGCAACCACCATTGGTATACTCCCCCTCAACTGAGTATTCAGACCCAAAGTACTCAACCCCCGCCTCCTAGCCAAACGCCTGGCTAGCCTCAGCCCAACCCGACTCTGACACCACTTGTCAGGCGGGTCCAGGAGGAATCTGTGACCAGAGGTGTAAGAACTCGCACCGTTAATTAAGGAATTTAATTAATAAGTTATGCAAAAATAAGAAATGATTTCATAATTGACCCTAATAATTATTATAAAGCTTATATAATTATAGTAAGCGATTAAGAATGCTGAAAGTCGCTTTTTGGAGGAAAAGTGCAAATACCGGTTCTGCTAGTCGGTATAAATGCGTACCAAAAAAGTATCCCGAAAAATTATGAAAAGTGCATGATAATTACTAGAATATTATATAGGACTTGTAAAACGAGTTTCAAGTTAATATAATGAGAACTGGTGCCAGAAACTGATACTGGCTATGAAAAGCGCGTACCGGAAAGGTGCTCGGAATAATATAATAAAAATATGTTTATTCTTAAAAAAATGAGTAGATTCAGATTTCAAAGTTTGGGATTAATATGCTAATCGTAGCTATTATTGTTAATATTGTGTTGTATTTTAAGTGGACCTATAAATGCTTAATGGCACTAAACCCTAGGCCATATTGGATGCTGCCTACGTGAGTCTTTTGCTGACTTCCCTTCAGCCTTCTCTTCTCCCCTTGAAGTCTTGGCCTTTGCTCATGAAAAGGGACCAAGAAGTCACCTTTGTTGAGAGTTTTCTTCTTAGAGTTGTAAACACTGAGCTTGTAAACAGTGTGAGGGAGTTGTGAAGCATTTCTGAGTTGATGCTTGCTGTGTATTGGGCGTTTTTGGGGCTGTTCTTGCTGAGTTTGTGTGTGTGGGGCTTGTTCTTGGTTTCTTGAGCTTCAAGAAGCTACCTTTTGGCTTAAAGGATCAAGCTTGGTAGTCCTATTCGTGTCTTGCTCAAGTCAGAACCTTGGTGCTGTGTAGAGTGTCCCTTGTGTGCCTCATTTTCGGAGTTTTGGTGCCTTGGAGGTATACCATGAACACTCTTTGTCATTTTGAGGTTTAAAGCTTGTTTAATCAATTAAAAAGAGAAATTTTAACCATTTGAGTAAAGGAATGTGTTTCTGGGTTCATAGCATGTTGGGTTATATCTGTTTAGGGAGTCATTGGACTCCCAATCGCTTTTGGACTTTTAAATTTGGGATTATGCAGAAGTTGGCTCGAATTTCTGCATTCTGTTGAAGAAGTACTCGTATACTTTTCGTGTAGTATTCGAATACTTGTTCATGGTAATCGAATACTCCTTGCGGGAGTATTGGAATACTTTTCTATGAAGAGAAGTATTCAGATACCTTTGAAGAAATATTCGAATACTAGAAAGTATTCGAATACTGTAAGGTTTGGTATTCGGATACTGAGGTATTCGGATACTGGGGGGAAAGTATTCGGATACTTTCGAGTATTCGAATACTTTTTAATGGAAGTAATCGAATACTTTCTGGAGACCGGGAGTATTCGAGTACTCATCGAGGAGTATTCGAATACCTCCTGCAGAAAATGCATAATATGACTTATAATGAGATGGAAAGCCTTAATCACTTAATGTAACCTTGATAGATGGTTATTGATGATTACTTACTGTATAAACATATTGTGATTGTACTGTTTGCGGGCTTTGAGCTAGTGTGGACTCTTGGCTTGGATAGTTAGCTTGCAAGGTAAGTTTTCGTGTCCTCGGTTTAGCCATGTTGTGGTTCCACCATGTCCCATGGGAACATGGTATTTGCATGCTGTGTTACATGCTTTTGATGTTTTGGAAATGCTGTTGAGCTATTGTATGTTAGTGCTTTGTTGATATGCATGGAGGTGTTCCACCTATACGGTAAGCCTGAGTACGTAGAACATACAATAGGGTGAGGCTGTGGGTGAGGTGCAAGCGGTGTTCCTTGTACTACATGTAGGTATAGACGTATTCCTACATTTCTCTGGCCAGTAGATAGTGATAAACACACATGCCATAGATATCTGTTGCACTACATAGTTTTGGAACTGATAATGATATAAATGCTTTTAGAACTTATATTGCATATGTAAGTGAGCTTGGGGTGGAAGATCCTTGAGGACCCCTTGACTTACTGAGATTTCTTGTTTAGAGATCTCACCCCACGTTTGGAGAATGCTTATTTCAGGATCAGGTAATGTTGAGACCTCAGGCGGCAGGAGGCCGGAGCTGAGTTAGATTTGCTGTTATTTATGCTGACATGTTGGATGCTGGATTTGCATGCTGCTTTTATGCTTATAGCTTCAGTTCATGTTTATGGAGTTTTATGTTAAGACTTGTTGTTTACGCTGTTTATTTGGTGAGCATGGGGATTGTCCATGACACATAGTATTGTTTCGTCTTGAGTCTTTTGGGAGTTGTAATAATGTATCAGGATATTGTCCGGATTACGAGATGTAATGCCGTGATTTAGATACACACTTTATCTATATATTGAGGTATTTAAGTAGATGTCTTATTGCAATTTACATACAGGCGATATTTTATGAAATTGATTAAGTAATCAAGATGGTAATAGATAATGACGTCATAATTGAAAGAAAAAAAAGAATATTCCGCATTTTTATTTAAGCACCGCTTAATACGATGTAATGATAACACTACCGAATATATACGGGGTGTTACAAGGGGACTACCTCCAATGGGTTAAGTTAGGCCAACCACACCAAGTAGATCTGACACCATATCACAACCAAAACCTTAAGGCATTGGATTCATGGGTCCTTCCACTTATATGGACTTCAC